AATGTCTCAGAAGAGAAAAAAAAAAAAGCAGTCTAGTGAACGTCCGGGCAAAACAGGGTTTGGGGAAGGGAGAGGGGAGAGGGGAGTGTTCCGGCAATTGAGACTATTTCCGAGCGCTGAACTTAGCGACAGGAACGGTAATCGATCCCGTTTGTTGTGCCAGGTTTGCCAACGCTTCCTAAATACAAACGTTGTGCAACGCGTGGCTTTCCCCCGACGCGCAACGCTCCGAGCAAAGAAGACCCTGAAAAAGGATGGGAGTGGTGCGCGCGACTCAGCCAAAAACACTGACCTGGGTTGGCTACACTCAGCTTGGATACTGCTCATAACGCGCGTGATGGACCTGTCCACATGCCATGGCCTCACGGGCTGAACAACCGTTCTTCTGGCGAATCAGCGCTTCTCCACGCCATCCTGGCGTGCCGTTCATGGTTCGGCCTTGACACCGGTGGGGATCTACATCTTTCCCACGGGGATGCGACCTACAGCCTCCTTGTTTTTCGAGCTGAGTGGTCTACTGTAAGAAGCTTTGTGATCGAGAATCTTCATCCTCTTCTTCTTTGTTCCGCCTCTATTTGATGAATATCCTGGTACTTCCGTTGCAGGGTAAAATCAAAGGTCTACGCAAGTACCGGATATCCAGTGCACATTGAGCCAAAATGCAGACTGGAAGAATGCGGCAAGGGGAGCTCCATCGACCTGTCATAATCCATTTCATTGAGCTGATGAATGTTGCTCATTTCTGTTGATGGTTTTATAAGCTCTTCAAGATACTACTGGTCCTGGAGAAAAAAGTTCCTTGGCGTGGCGAGGGCAACTATGGTCCTGCGGTGATATTGCCTCTCCCAGTCAGGCTCCGTGTTTTTCGTGGAGAACGATTGGAATGAGAAGATTTTTCTGGCTAGCATTATTTAGAATCGGTTGCCATCTTCGAATAAATAATGAAAAAGTCATTCATTCCATGTCACTGGTCTATATGGAAGCTGCATGTCGGGTAGACCATATCGAAAGAGCCACGACTATCAAATCAGCATCACCAGATGCACAGCATTCTAGGAAGCTTATCCGCCCGCTTCAAGGGTTTGGGATAGGTTGAATTGAAAATCGAATATAAATACATATAAATATAAATCAGATTATGCACCCAACATGGTCGTATAACCTGCATGTTGCATCCGCGCCCGTGGATCGCATCGGGCTACGCCAAGGTTGATCCTGCGCCGTGGACATTGAGGTCTCGGGGCGTTGAGGGCCTTGGGGGGCGCCTCGTCTGGGAGATTCCAATCGTAGGCCCCCAATCGGAGCTGCAGCGTCACCTTGAGTCTCTTTTCGGCGTTGGAGCCAGCGTCGCCTTGGGGCGCTGTGTGACCAGCGAGAGGGAAGGGAACTACCGAAGCCAAGCGTGGAAACGGCACCACTGCAGCCGGCCCTGCTGTGAGACTTGGAGGAAGCATGACGATGGCACGCCCGTCTGGGATGGTTTTCCCTCTGAATCGCGTACATTGGGTGTCCGCGTCGGGCGGTCATCGTTATTGTACGACGCTGTGCATCTTGCCCGCCCTCGTACAGCCGGACGGGGACTAACTGCCGTCGTTGACCGTCGTTTCCCGGACGCAATATCAGGACGATCTCGCGTCTGTAGTATTTGGAATTTGGGCGTCCAGCGCGCATGGGCCTTGATTTTGATGCAAATGACTTGGTATCATCTGCAGGATCGAAGGATCCACTAATCACTCAACGCCCGGCGGGGCTCCCGTGCAGATTATGAACGGGACCATTCCAACCCCAGGAAGGCCTAGTCGATGGAGTCGATGGAGAGAACATTGGGATCTTGCAAGTCTTGGCCATCGAGAAACGCGCAGATAGAACAGCATCGCCTAGGGCGCAAGTCAGATATCTCTTCCAACAGGAATCCGGCCCAAGGGTCAACCCATCATCATGATCCACCGCTCGTAGCCTTGTCTCTCCCAGACTGTGGGCCTCGGAGTATCACCTAACAGCGGCATCGGCGAGAGTGCACGAGCATGTTTCTCCTCCTGTGAATCAACTAGTTCGAACTCGTCGCTAGCTCAGCTTGTCCGCCTGACAGGATGCGGCCTGAGCCCTTTAGTCCTCGGCATTTTTCCAATCCACGGATCTTATTGCGCCGACCCCTTCTAGGCCTTGTGTAATCCTTGCTTTGGGGGGAAGGGGACAGGCTTTTTTTTTTCCGGAGACACATCGCTCGATTATACGTAGAAATAGGACAACAGAGAGACCGTAGCGATATCCAAACTGGATCTAGCGAGAGTAATCCAAGGCATCGGGCATGTCGGTGGCAAGCTTTTGACTATGCTCTTCGTCTGAAATCCGACATACTCCGACAGATGCATGTCAAGAGCTATTAGACATTTCCTTCCAATACTCTCCTGCAGAAATAAGAGCGGCCGCTCTACCCTATGAACGTGGACTATAAACTTCTGCATGACCCGCAACCACAGAACCAAGTATATTGTCCGGAACCATGGACTACGCGCCCAACGCTATGACAGGTTAGATCCAGCTCTCAACACCGTTCTGGATGGATGGCGCGTCGCCAGACGCTTTTCTCTTTCTTTGTCTTCCCTGTTCATAATTCAAGTCTGTTGAGTCATCTCCCTTGTTCATCCTGAGTGTGATGATTCATCCTGATTCCTTTTTTTAAAACCCTAGTTACACAGTCCAGACTAGTCTGGCACAACCAAGAAGAACCTGGAAACCCTATCAGAGCGAGAGATGGTGCTCGCTGTGTGATGAAGACGTGAATGTCGACGGATCTGGAGAGGGGCAAGCGGGGTTTTATAGTCGATCGTCCAGTCTAGACTTGCTTTTTTACTCATTGTTGTCTGGTTGCGCTTGGCGAAGTCCATAGTTGTTATACTAGTTGACAACACTCCGCCTTCTCAGTTCATTCCGATCAATCTCACACTCCGTTCAAGTCGCTCTTCCTGGCTATCCCTGGTCCGTAGTTTGGGTATATACGACCTTCCTGGCGCTATATCAATGTCGTCCAGCCTCTCGCAGCCGCACAAGAGGATCTGAAGTCACACTCCTCAAGTCGTACTATATATGATTTTCCTAGCCCAATCTCTCTCTCTTCCTCTCCCTCTCCCTCATTCTCCCTCTCCCGCGCATCCTAACTTCTTCTGGCCTTTGATTTTACGGGGTTTTTTGGGTTTGATTTTTGGCACCATCTGCAGATCGTATGATTGGCTCGGCGGCTGAATCATTCGAAATCCAACCTGTACGACGGTGGTGGAATCATTACATCGTGTCCTCTACCTTTCTTCTGGCACATCCTCCTTCTTCTCATAACCCACAACCGCCCAGCCCAGCACACCCAACGCAGGGTCCATCTCACCAACCCCATCGATCGCTGTGCCACCTCGGGAAAAAATCGTTATCCGCTCGAGCCATCTGCTAAAGAGCCTAACCCACCGCGAGGCCTCTTATTTGTCTTTTTGACCCTGGAAAGTGCCCATCCCTGGCCCGTGTACCCGCGCACCCGCGTCCCCGCCCCTCCCCCTCGATTCCGAACAAAAAGAAGTGGCCGTCCCTCTGCCCCGGGACGCTTGCCCACGATTGAATTCTTCACTCAGGGCGCCTATCCGATCCTGCCTATCATCTGGGGGGGCGACTAACGGTGGGACTGACAATTTACTGTTGGTTTCGTTTTATTTTTGTCTTTTTTTTTCCTTTTATTTTGTTTATTTTGTTTCTTTTTTCGGTTCCCGTTGCGGGAGATCCCGAGCCCGAGCCCGAAGTCCCATCTCGAGAAATCGAGAACGAAAGCAGTGTCTGTGGCCTTTCAGTCATTGGCATTGGCATTGACATTGCCTGTTTGGAGTAGTTCTCTCATCCTTCGGGACGTCGCAGTGAGCGCGCGCGAAAGAGAGAGAGAGAGAGAGAGAGAGAGAGAGAGCAGTGGCTGCTGTGCCTGATTCCTCTTCTTTTGTGATTTACTTCGTCCAACGAGTACAAGTTCTATCGGGGATGAATCGCCGATTCCTATGCTTCTTCTGATTTGTGGTTGATTCCCTCCCCTCCCCCGAGATTCCCTTGCTGGTCTTTTTCCTGCTCCCTTTCTGGTCCCCTTTTGGGTTTGTTGAATAATCGCCGTGATTCATCTCGTCTTCCTCTGCTCGTCGTCCTCCGGCTTGTCTGGTCGACTTCTTAGGGTTGTGGACGTGGTGGACTTGTCCCCGTGACCAATCACGCGGCAGTCCAACTTGTGCTTGTTCTGCTTTGCTCGCGTCCGCAGTCCGGAGTATATTTCTCGAATCTCTCGAAGCCCTCCAACATACACTTTGAACATCCTCCCCGCCCCCTTGAAACGACTCCAACACTTTGGACCCGCCCGATTCGATCGGTCTTTTTTTGGATCCCTCCATTCTCCGTCTCTGGTGCTCGGGTGATCCGTTCTGTTTGGCCCTGCTTGGTCGATACTCCGTCATCTCATCTTCTCATCTGCTCCCTTCCGGGTCCTTCCTTTCCCTACATCGTTCAACCCCCTGCAACTCTCCAGGCTCTCAAACCGCCCCTCCCCCGTGCGTCTGCCGGTCCAACCCGCGTTTGCTCCTGATTTCTCAGGCCACGAGGCCATTTGGTCCGGTGCTGTCGCCGCCCGATCTTCCAGGCACCGTATCGTCAGGCACCACAAGGCATCCTCAGGCATTCTCGCTCTCGGCTTTTTGCCCTCAACGCCTTCACCGCCTCCGCCCCTCCCAAACCCCAAGCATCGCCGAAAGCTCCATCCACTCGTTCGACCCCCCTGCCCGCGCTGATCGACTTTCAGACGCCCCCTCCAAGCCTGCATGCAATCCTAGCATACCCGCTCACTTGCGTCACCAGCTCCTTCTCACCACCCTCAGTCGCTCCTCCCTCCCGTTCTCCCGCGACTTCGCGTTCAAACGCGCCAATTTCGCGGCCTCGCTGCCGTCTGTCCCTCGACTATGTATGGGACGCCTCACTCCGTCCCAACCATGAACGGACTGGCTGAGGTCGTCGACGGCTCAGGCACGATCGATCCGGCTAATTTGAGTAACTCCGGTATGTTTCTTTTCTTTGATCCTCTCCCCTCCCAACAACTGATCCTACTTGTCTTGCTCCATCTCGGCTCTGCTGTCGCAAGATATTCTGTTGCCCGTTCACCTCTTTCAGGTAAAGAGAAGAGAACCTTCACGGCGCCGTCCTCTGCTTGATCTACTTTTTTTTAATTCCCCTGTTGCGATTCCTGATCTCGTGGCGCAACCTCCTGCGCGCGATCGGCTCCTTTGCGACCGGTTTCCTGGCGCTTCCTCTTATCCTCCCCTCTCTCTGTCATCATGTTTGTCTCGTGCCCGTCGCCTTCCTGTAAACTGATACCCCTCCTAGTCTCTGCTCTGCCGGCACCATCCCCTGCTGAACCCAGTCTCCGTGGGATCAAGCGTAGTCGCACTCCAGATCATAGCGGGAATGGTCATCCAGAAGGCGATCAGGACGATGGTACGTGCGCGATGGGAGAGGGGAGAGCGAGGGGGGGAGGGAGTGAAAGGAAGAGAGAGAAAGAGAGAGGGCATTTTGGTCTTCATGTCTTTTCTTTCCGATCCCTCGTGAACCCGCAGCTTTTTGCCTCGATCATGATTTTTCTTTCGTCTGGTCGCATCATTTTTGGGGTGGGGGGGGCTCATTTCATCAGTGTAGCTCGCTAACCAGGCTTTTCTTTTCCGAAACAGAGGATCAAGGCCGTCGCAAACGCGGTCGTCCCCCAAAGACTTCCCGAGCTGGCTCTAGCGACCATCCAGCTGGGAGCACCCCGGTGCAAACCCCCCAGATGCAATCCCGCCCACTCCCTCACCAACCTGCTGCATCGCCTCCGTTGGCATCGCCCCCCGACAAAGGCACGCCCACAAAGACTCTCGTCAAGGCCCTTCCGACCGTCCGCGACCACACATCGGATCAGCTGAATCCGGAAGGCGACGAATACATCCCCAAGGAGTTTGATGATGCGGGAGAGACGAAGGTGGATCCCATGGGATATCCCCAAGGTGGCCGTGAATATAAATGTCGAACATTCCGCGTCCCCAACCGAGGCACCAAGCTCTTTATGCTAGCGACCGAGTGTGCGAGGGTCCTGAACTATCGGGATTCGTACCTACTTTTCAACAAGAATCGTTCGCTGCACAAGATTATCGCAAATCAAGTCGAGAAAGATGATCTGATCCAGCAAGATATTCTCCCGTATTCCTATCGCTCTCGTCAAATTGCCATTGTCTCTGCCCGATCTATGTTCCGGCAGTTCGGCAGTCGGGTAATCGCCAATGGTCGTCGCGTTCGGGATGACTATTGGGAGAGCAAGGCCAGGAAGCAGGGTTTCACGGAAGAAGACCTCGCGGGCGAGAAACGCCCCGGTGCCACCAAAGCCCGGGATGCTACAACCACGGAAACCACAACTTCGACCCTATTGCCCCTTCCCCATCACGATGTCATCTTTAGCAACACCATTGATCCCTTGCCTCCGGGTCTATCGTTGGATGTTACAGATACTTCGTCGCCGTTTAATCAGCTACCTATGATTCATATGGCCACTACGGATGATCCACGACTCCGAGACTACAACACCATGCCACGTTCGCGCCAAGAACTGACTGGTCAGCCCTACCAAGACAATACTCGTACTAGTACAGGGGCAGAGATCATTCACCAGGCTCAAACAGCCGCAGATTTCAACAAAGTCCTCAGCACGCAGCGAGGCTTTCGTCTCAGGGGTTTGGATGAGTTTTATGCCAAGCCCCGTGAACTTCCCGAATCAGAGGCCCAGGTGACCACTGCGCTGGACTCTGGTTTGTCTGTATCACAGCCCATTCAAGCCGTCCAGGGACCACCGACGAGTATCCCAACCGCTCCTCATGGACAACATCCAATCCCTCATCAAGCCATGATGTCCGGTCAACCATCTTATCCACAGCAGGCACATCATCAGCCCGTCGGCCAGTCTCCTGTACGGGGGATGCCCGCAGGCATACAACCCAACCTCATGCACCAGCGATCCAACCCATCCATCCCAGCAGGTGTACCCCAGGCCCCTTACGCATACCCTCCTCAACAGTCGCAGCAGATGTGGGGTCAGCCACCACTACATCCACAGCAGCAGCAGCAGTCCCCCATGGCCGCCTCCACTGCACAAGGGGTCGGGATGCCTCAGTTCAACCAACAAATGCCTCCGGCCCCTCCGCAGGCACCATCCCCTCTTCATCATGGCCAGCAGCAGCAACCTCAGCAGTCCCCTCGCAACCAACACCGCCCATCAGTGCCGCACATGCCGCAGCAGTTTCAGCAGATGCAGCATCCTCAAGTACAGCAGCAAATGGGCAATATGGGATTCCCCTCCGGCGCTCCGGCTGGATATCCCAACATGGCAGCCCGGGCCATGTATCCCTCTAACCAGGGACCGGGTGGTCAAGCTTTCATGCCAGGCAACCCACAGCAGGCAGGCCTGGCTATGGGCATGGGTACCACGGGCGCTATGCCCGGGTGGCCCGCGGGGCCTACCGGACCCATGCAGCCCGGTCAACCCCAGCCAGGTCAATCTGGCAGCCCATTAGGTGGGTGGTCTGGCTACTAGATTGCGGTTTGGCGTTGTCTAGAATGGCGTTTACGGCGGTCATTTCCAGCATCAGAGACGTCCTTGGTTTTGTTTCCGCTTGTCATTTTTTGACCTCTTTTACCTGAATACCTGAACGCTCTCCGCTTCTTTCTTTTCTTTTGATGTTCCGCCTTTTTTCAACCTGGCGACCCCTTGCATTTCGTGTCTGCTTGCGTGTGACGATCCCGCAACGAGGGATTTTCGGTAATGTTAATCCGGGCCAGCCTTCCTATACCCTTTCTTGTACTCGGTTGGACTCGGGTCTCGATCGATGACTGCTATTTTTTTTCCTCTTCTTAGTCTTTCCTCTTTTACTTCATGCTTGTGTTGATCATTTTGTGGAACCCTTCTTCCGGCGTTTATTTCTTGAAACTGGCGTTCGCATCCTTTTGCCGATTTATTACCTACAGGACTATAAGTATGTATGTCTTATATTTGTCCCGTCCTATTTTTGCTATACAGGATCGATAGGGGAAAGAGAGAGGGTAGGGCGATATTTCCATGTCCACTACGGATTTTTACCGGTCCTCTCTTGCCAGGTCGAGTCACGACCAAGTGTCTTTCCATGGCCGAAATTCCACCGCGTGTCTTACCTCTTTCTTTCTGTATGTGTTTGGTCTGCCTTTTTTTTTTTTTTTTTTTTTGCCTGTGTATCACCGCCTTGGTTGATTTGGGGGACTCTTCAAGTTATGTTCCCTTCTGTCTATACTTTTTCCCTCGTGTGCTATAGTGTGTGACGAGCTTGGTTCCTCTTTCTTTCTTGTGTTGTCTACGTCCGCCAGTTTTTATCGCCCCTTCCTCGCTCTGGCTAGCTTCAAATTGACAGTGATACCTTGCTCCGCTTTCCAGGGCTTTTTTTCTTTCGTTTTGATTTCTTGGGTAACTGTGGATCAATCTTTCCGGCTAGATAAGATAAACAAGGATGGAGGGGAATCAACAGGATGATAAAATATACCATTTCCAACGAGCAGTAATGTTACTTTCATTTGTTGTATGCGTATTTTGATATTTTGACAGTAACAGCGGGAATGGGTAGAATATTGCGATCGAAATGTGAGATGGATAGAGAGAGCGAGAGAGAGAGAGAGAGAACACAAAAAAAAGGCAAAAAGCAACGTCCCCGGGAAGGCTCGAACTTCCAACCTCCTGATTAACAGTCAGACGCGCTAGCCGATTGCGCCACGGAGACTTGTATATGACGCACGGCCGAACTTATGACTCTAGAATGTGAGGGCATAGGGCTGGAATGAGCCATCTCATTGATGTGAATGAGGCTCAAGGAATAATAAGATAGATAAATACTACTGTTGCTTCAGGGTATCGCAACTGAGGGGAATGCATATTTTTAAGGAATTCAATATCCTATCGCTCTCAGAGTATCTGTTCTACAGTACTTTGAGAAGTCCGCGTGGTGAGATCTCATGCCCTATAGATATGACCAGTCTCCTCGTTTGTTTTCCCCCAAAGTTGGCGCCGTCATTTCGAGTATATTTCGGCCATCATTTCGTCGTCATATTCACTCACAGTTATTAGAGGATTCGTGTCCTCTTTGTATCGTTGTATCGGAGTGTAACTTTGGTTGGTTGGTTGGTGGATGCGGGTAGTGTTGAGGAAGAGCCCTCCTTCGATATCGATGACCGCGGCCAACGTCCTCTGGAGAAAGCACCTCGATCGGTCCCAGAAAATGGAGCGCTGCTGTGCCATTACTTTGTTCCGAAATTTTGGGTATGCCTCCGCTACTGGGTATGTTCTGGCTAATTTCGTGTGCTTTGTGGGACTGTTGAATTCTGCGACGGAGCGGGCAGGTTGTATGAATGGTATCGATTCTTCTTGTATGGTAGTCACACTGTACTCGGCAGTCGAGGGGAGTGTTTTTTTTTTCGGAAAAAGGCCGGGACTCTTCCGTTCTTCACGGTTGAATCAATATGTGTGGTGCTCATAAGCCCACCTTCATGTACGTGTGAAATTGCAATTCTTTCCTGTGCCCCTGGTTTCTTTTTCTTCTGCGCTATTGGCGGGCTTGGATAGGGAGATGTCACGGTTCAAATAACACCTGTTACTTGTGATGGCGTTGCTGGTGATTTGAATACTGTTGCCTGGTAGCTGGTTGGGATTAGCCGGGTTAATTCCGTGGGGTAATATTTATATATATATATATATGCACGTGTACCCCGTAGAGTGTCTCGGATACTCTCTGTGCGATGCGACCGGAAGCATGTTTAAAATTTAAAAACTTATGATTGTGCGACCGAGAGATCCTAATGGCAACGCTCTTTTAAAGCCTTTCGAATTTCCAACCCAAATTTCATCAGCTCATATGGTCAACATGATGCATTTCCCTATGAATCCTGAAAGTGACAGTGTGAAGCGGCCTATCAGCAAATAATTCGAGCTTAAGAAGGCGTTAGTCATATTTTTATGTTTTCCCTACCATTACATCAACCGTCTCCGTGGCGCAATCGGCTAGCGCGTCTGACTGTTAATCAGGAGGTTGGAAGTTCGAGCCTTCCCGGGGACGTTTTTTTTTTTCTCTTTTGGCTTTTCTTGATCGATTTCTCCCGTGGGCCGTCATTCGAATAGCGAGCGGCTAGAAGTTAAGAAATTACATTTTTATACACCCCGGAGTAGGGATCAAAATTATATATATATTTTTTATTTTTTATCACTTTTTTTCCTCCCGCTAACATAACAAGATATCAATCACGATTGACATTAGAAACGTAAGGAAACCGACAACGACCATTTCAGTAGATCATCAAACTACAGAGATATACGAATCGAATGTTGTTAACCAGTTCACTAAAGTATCTATGCCCGCCCTCGCCTCCCCCTAGCCTAATCTCGATACACTGCCTAATAATATCCACGTCTCCCTATTTAAAATCGAGTATATATTCACTTGAACTTTGAACCTATCCAAATTCGCTTACTTTATATTATATGTAAGAACCCCCTCAAGACTAAAAATGGAGATAGCGCTAAAGAAATAATGAATAAATACCCTATCTAACAAGCTCGGTAACTAGAATATAGTAACGTGGCTACGAAGAAGGTGTCGCTAGAATAAAGAAAATGCTAGATTTTGAGAGAGCATTCTTATTCCACTAGATATTAGAATCTAGGTCGGCTAGCAGAGATCCAAAGAAGAAGATAAGGTGAGAAATTCACCCCTCTCTATAACACTCACGATCACGCTAACATGCTTATTGATAGTATCGTCACTGATTCTAGCAGATATCAAGCGCGTTTTTTCTAATTTCTACTAGCGGAAACTATCACTAGATAAAGTGCCTTTCTTCACCTTGCTCTTTTTTACCTAGCTCTTCCACATCAACCTCTTCCGTAGCTAGAATTTACTTCGAATCAAAAAGAGTGTCAGTGACCTAACACAAGCTAGTTAGAAGGATAATACTTAATCTTTCCCCCCTACGGACTTCTCAAACATTGCTATACCAATAGGCCTTGAGATCGATAGCTAATTCGGCAAGGATTTTTATTAGCATTATATCAATATTTTAGAAAATAAATTTAGAGATTAGAACCTAGTAATACTCGCCGACTTTGTATAGATATGCTTGATTCTACATAGGCGCTTTTCGGTAGCATCCTACTAATAGATAGGCGTTTCAATTTCCAAGATAGATAAGAGAAGTAGCTTTGTTTTGCATGTGTTAAATTAAATATAAGGTATGTATCAAACGAGTCAATTTGTCCACACTACATAAGAAAGAAGACGAAGTAAGATATAGTTTATTTTGACTTTTTGTGAAAAAGAAAACCTCAAGTGCCGTATAGTGTTTTATAATCTCGCATTCTCCTATTTGCATATACTAGGCTTTTTCGATTTGTTAGGTTTAATGAGTACCTGGTTAACTCATTCACGTCCCCTAGATTGCCCGAGATGTATAGATTAATGTAGGGCCAAACTGGTGACCACGTAATCCTCAATTACTTTTCTCTTCCGCCTGTGTGCTAAGAGTAGAGTATTTTGCTATCAGGTTTCATGAAACGTGGAAGTGCAGCTCTATCAATTGACCAAGGCTTGCAGACTCAGCTTTAATAGGTCACAGGCTAGAATACAAAGCTCATTCAATCCATTTGTCGCTAAATCCTCCACATACGTACCACGTGACCAGAGGAATAATAATATGACTTATTCCGGTCTGTCTATGCTCGAGACCCATTTCTGTCTTGTGATTGAATGACAATAATACCGCAGTACTCCTAGCAACCTCGATTCAGACGTCTCGCTTTTGCATTTTAAATTATGATTAAGCCCTGTGCCTGGGGGTAGTAAAAATAGTTGATTACCAAAACTCTTCGTGGCTCAATTCTTCGGGCCTCTACCAACCCTCTCCCAGGAATCGTGTCACCAGTTCGTCTTGCACCATATTGTGCCAACTCTTCTTCCCAACTCTACTAGCAAAGAAGAAATTCAATATAGTTGTTTTCAGGGGAGCATGAGATATATGGCTATATTATATTTTAATTCAACGCATACAAATTATCGAATCGTCATTTAGTCTCGAAACGAAAAGCAAGACCACTCCGCAGTCGCCGAAGCGATTAGCATTCATGGACCTATTGTACCTATATTCACATACCAGGGCGTATATAAAGGACTATTTGTGTATATATCACCTTTTGCAGAAGGAACACCGTATATCAATGTCTTGATGTCTTCTAAAGACTTTCGATTGCCGCTCTGGAAGAAGATAATAACTGTTATAGATCTTGCAGACCTTATAACTCGGGGAGCTAGAGCAAACAATAATAAATCCGAAACTGCTATAGTCGAGCTTACCTTGAGGCAGCATTTTACGATCGGGCTCTAGCTACACTTGTGGCACAGGGGCACAAGGGTATAACAAAAGAACAATTGGAGTTGTAGGAGGCGATTGGAATGTTGCATAACGGTGTGGAGCGACTTCTCTAATTCAAAGACGAACGATCTGAGCATTATCTAGATGGGTATCTTCGGAAATTGTCTTTTATGAGCGACGCTGTATTAGCCTAGCATATGGACAAGGCAGTGAGGGATGTGTGGAATGTTTAATTTCTGTATAATTAAAAAGTCCATAAAACTCATTGTTGACTTTTGAGGTAATAGGATAATAATAAGACCACTTAATCAACATTAAGTTATAATGTTTAATCTGGTGCGTCTCTCCAAGCAAGTGTCTCCGTGGCGCAATCGGCTAGCGCGTCTGACTGTTAATCAGGAGGTTGGAAGTTCGAGCCTTCCCGGGGACGATTTCTTTTTTTATTCTCTATTTTTGTTTTTCAATCCTGCTCTTTTTTTACCGCTTTTTCAGCTACTAAGCTCTCTCTTTTTGCCCCTGAGAAATCGAAAGCCTAGGAATCACGTAGGTACTGTGATAATTGTTATTCGCTCTCCAACCTTTAACATTGGGCGATATAATAGCTTGATTAGTTGGTTCTGAAGGTACCGAATGGATTATCGAATGTTGCTTATATCTATATATAGTTTTACCCTTGGAATACGTAGAAATCGCTTTAAACTATTGTTGGTATCTGTTGAAGCTAGCTGAGTCAGTTCTATACGAATCATCGCCATGCTCAAAGACATAGTAAGACATACTCCCGGTAATGAAAGATGGCTGCATCTCATACATACAAGGAGTTCAGTTCATACTTATCTCTGTGCTCTCTCAATTTTTTTTCTACCCCAAGTTTAATCAGAAAAAAGTTAAAATGGTATAAACATACATATCTATTTTTATACAGCCATAAAAAACTGACAGCGACAAATTTGCTATACATCTCATTAAAGCAGCGCAATCTAACATTCGAAACCAAAAAATCATTTAGCGTCCAAACATAGCCAGCCAAAAATACAAGCCAATTTTACTCAAACATCTGTAACCAAAGGTGTAGTCACGGGCGCCGCACTTGACGGGCACACACAAGCAGTCACGCTAGTCACGGGCGGCGCTGTGCAATGCGCACTGACAGTCCACGACACTGCTGTCGTGGTCGCCTGCTCGTGCTTCTGCTCCGCGCGTACCAGAACGGGAATCACAGCACCTGTGCTCAGGCTGAAGGTGCGATGTCCGACGACGCGCAGAATCGAGGAGATCTCACCGGAGTGCGAGGTCACACTGACGAAGGATTCCTTCTTGCTGGAGGCACTGGTGAAGAAGACCTGGCCCAGAGCTGTAGTGGAGCGGACGTCCTGCGCGCCGCTTGTCTCGGCAGTGACGCCATTCCAGAGCTCGTCGTCCTCAGCGAAGCCCTTCTCGATGGGCCAGCCTGGAAACAGCGAGTGAATGTAACTTTTGCTGCGACGGTGATCACAGGTGTGGATACTGATACCCTCGCGGAAAAGTTCTTTGACGAGGGGCTTGAAGGTGGCCGCACCATGCGGAAGAGCTAGGCCATTGAAGGTGAGATTGGCAGTTTGCAGGGTGCGCGTAAGAGGGCTGACAAAGTAGTTGTCAGGAGTGTGGATTTTCTGCTCGTCGATCTCCTTTTGCCAGAAGTTGTGAGCGATAAGGGCTTGGGATACACCGTTGTCGGTGAGTTCGGCATCGTGCCAAGTTGCGGTGCTGTTTCCGTCGAGCTCAGCCCAGTAGCACTGGTGGAAAAGCGTGTTAACTGGAGACTGTTTTTTTTGCCTCGACAGCAATGAGAATGTCGAGAGTGGGGTCACTTACATTCCACGCCGGGGTACCGTAGTAAGTCTCCGCAGCGTTGTGCCAGCCTTCGCCGTGGCGGCCAAGGAAGAGCACCTTATACTCCACAGTCTTGGGAGAATCATTGTTCAGCTTCTGCACTTGGCGATAAAAACGCTCCCACTGGGTGAGATCTTCGCCCTTGTGCTTCAGCTCCTTATCGACCGGGTAAGTTCGGTTGATGAGGCCGAAGTTGACGGCAGTCTAAAGATCAAGCACATGGAGATGTTAGACCGGGAAAGTCAACCGTTGGCTTGCAGATCATATCATAGCAAAACATACATAATCGAAAGTGGATGCAACCGTTGCGCTTTCGTCCTGCAAGAAATATCCGGTCACAGTCTCATACTCGATGGTGGTCGCCTGTGCGCAGGCGATTAGACCCAGCAGGGCCGGACTCAGAGCCGAGAACTTCATAGGGCAGGGGGGTTGAAACGGCGAGAAAAGCAACCAGAGACCACGGTAAATGCCAAAATTTTGAGTTTTCCCAGTAGGATCGGCACATCGCTTTTATATCTCAAAAACATGAAGAACAGTTGTGATCCCCGCAGTGGATCAGCCAGGCACGGCGGAGAAGCGACGGCCAACGGAGCGGAACACGTGTTGGCACATACTGGCCGATGCGGAGAAAAAGCGACCTCTGGCTGGACGCTAGCGCTCAACTAAACCTAGTGGCAGCCCATTGTAAGGTGTGCCACTGATGCAAAAAAGCCTGCTAGCGGTTGAGAGTTATTCTAGCGGTCGGCTAACGGAAGAATTCCCAGCAATTTGCGGCCGCCGAACCGAATCATGGTGCAATGATGACGCGAACGACCAATAGGGATCGTGAAGCAAAAGCGTGCCGTCGGGCAAACTTCGGTTCGCTTTGCATTGCTGGGATTCTCGGAGATGAGTAAATTCCAAACAAATTTATCGGAAACCGAGTACATAGAGATAATAATGGATGCCATAAAAGAATGAACTTTAAAACACCAAGCCCCTTTTTTTGTGGTTAAAACAGACGGACCAAGTTGGTCAGGAGTCAAGAATCGATATGAGATATGGAAAAGAGAAAGAAAGAAGTAGTAGGTATAGGTATGTGACAGTATGTATCAGTCAAAATGCTGCCAAATATGCAAAATCCAAATCCCATCCAAAAAGCCGAGCCCATTCCATAAACACAAAGACACAAAATAATATAGTCGATGAGAAGTAAAAAAAAGGTTCTCGAGCATTGGCGAGCTCGGCAAGAATTAAAAAGTCGTATATATCGGACACCAAATATAACAGCCCAGGCCAATAGAACACAAATGCAAAGAATGCTCCGAAGATATAAATGAACCCCGGTGGAACCACACCGAATTAAAAAAAGACGAGAAAAAGAGACAGTATGTAGGAGGAAAGGTTTTCAACAAAATGACAGTGTCTCCGATTTGGGGAGAGTTGGGGGAGGAATGAACAGGCCACACCCGTGGGCGGGCAATCAGGGGTTTGAAACAACAGAGATCCCAAACGGAAAAAAAAAAAAAAAAAAACTCGTATGAGGGACGAGAGGATGCATAGCAGTTCGTCCCAGACCAACAAAAGCGTATTTATCGCGGCACATTTCTCATTCAGGTCTATCGAAATAGGGAGCCTTCCTTCCTCAGGAGGGGTAATGGCCCGAACCTGCGTTATTCGCAAAGGTATAGGCCTTGTGCTTGTGCATTGGTCCCAGATGTTGAGCAGCAAAGCAGGGATCATGCTCGGCAAATTCATGCATCATAAACTCTGCAGGCTTCCTTTCGTTCATATCAGCGGAGACTGACAAATCCGTGTCTTCAATCGAGTAAATCAAAGATGGGGATCCGGACACCGGGTCCATCCCAAATGCCTGTCCAGGGTGCTCAACCGCAGCTTCGAATCCAATAGGGGATACAGTGCTCGAATGCGGCACCTGAAGGCCGGGCGGGAACTCGGGCGAGGAGAGCGAACCAGCATCCGCCCAGCTCCGGGCAGTCATGGGAACTGGGTCACAGCTCACGTACTCTGGGAAAGTCGTGACCTGTGCCGGAGCTGACATGGGGGGAGCCACAGCCTGGTATGGGAAGGGGGGAGTAGATGTCGAGCGGGGTCGTTGGAGGCGAAGCAATATTAACTTGCATTGGCTGAGAGGAAGGGAAAAACTGAGTGGTGGAGTGTGCGGAGAGGCAGTAGTTGCTGTCAGTCGGCGAAGCAGGCATGAAATGCTGGAAGTCTTGCGGGGTCAAGGGTGTGGGCGGTGCCAGGGTGGTTGAGGAGACAGATGGCCGCAGCATGTCTGTCTTGCTAGACTTCATGGATCCAGATTCGGCAAATGTGAAATTCAGAGGGGAGCGCTGGGCAGCGGAAGCCTTTCGCACACCGGCATACCGGGTGTTGAGACTTTGAGTGGACTTCGAATGTCTCATTGAGTTCGCAGCACCTGCACCAGAGCTGGGCATGCGGCTTGTGGGCGAGAGGGAGGACATAGAGGTGGATGCAGCAAGCGATCGGGTGCTGGAAGTACCAATGGCGGCCGGACGGGGACGCTTTCGCCTGGCGGCAAGGTCAAGCTCTTTCCCGGCCTCTTTCCACGACGATCCTCCGGCACGACTGGACAACGTAGACCCATCAGTATGGATGCCAATTCCATCCAAGGACGCGGCAAGGGCACCAGACGACCCCCGGCGGGAGACGGAGATACCGGGCGTTGGCATTGGCATTGCGAACGGCATGTTATCGTAGCCAAGACCAACGTCTGTTCCCATACCATGAGCTGAAGGCGTTTCCTTCGAGGACTCCGCCCACTCCTCAGTATGGGGAAATTGAGATCCCGACAACGCCTCCACTTCAGACTGAGAAGCGTGCGAGGAGCCGGAGATATCGGAGACAGCTTGGGCAGCCTCGGATGAACCATGGGACCAGGAGTTTTGCTCCTCCTTGAGCTCTGACCAGTCAGCGTAGGCGGCCCTGTACTCTTTCTGACCCTTGCTCTCGGGTCCTCTCAAGGTGGAACTCGGGGGAGCCATTGAGGAAGGCGAGATCGGCTCGTCCTCATGTGCCGTCTCGTGCTTGCTTCCTCGGCGGGTGAAGCGGTCTCGAGCGGCACATGCCGCATTCAACGCCCTTTGCAGGGAGGCGAAGGTAGCCTCTCGGGCGGATTCACTCTTGGTCTTGTGGTGTTTCTGGTTGACGTTGGCATCGGCTTTGCTGTGTTCGGAGGGGGTAGATGTGGCGGGCATGGTATTTGTGTTGATCTCCGTGTTTGTAGAGGTCGATTGTTTGGGAGTTGGAGACCTCTCTGGTTCTTCCTTAACGGTAGACGACTGCCGAGACTCGGATAGCTGATCCAGAGTCTCTGACTTCCGGCGAGCGGTCTCCTCAGCCTCTGCCTTTGCCTTCTGCATCTTCTCGAATTCCTCCTGACGTTTCTGTTGTTTGGCCTTGGCCCGTCGGTTTTGGAACCAGTTCTGCGATGCGATCCATTAGTCCCTCGGGGTGTCCTCGGAGGAAGGAAAGAAGAGGAAAAAGACGAGAAGGAGAAGGGGGGGGGGGGTGGGAGGAAATTGACATACCGCAACACGAGGGAGACTCAAATTGGTTTGCGCCGCCAATTGCCGCTTGACATTGCTGCTGGGTTTGGGATGGGCCTGGAACTGGGTCTCGAGGGTCTCGACTTGCTCTTTCGTCAAACGGGGTCGTGACAGGTTCTCTGTGTATTCGTCATAGTCCATGATGGGTTGGTGGTAGTAGTCAATCATCTCCATGGACGGATGGGGGTACAGATAGCCATCAATGGGGTGATGCATCATCGGCGGCGGCACCATGGACGGGTCGTAGGCCATGGCATGATCCATTGGGAGACCGGCATGGGCGGCATAGTTCCATGAAGGGTGAATATAGCTCATGGTTGCGGACGAGAGGGCGGCGAGGAGAGAAAGGAGAGAATAGGGTATCTGGCGCGAGTGGGACCGCGAGGGAGAGTGAGGGGAGGAGGAGGAGGAGGAGTTGGAGGAGAAGGAATGGAATGGGATATGGAAGGGAAGAAAGAAGCGAGGATGAGATGAGCTCAAGGAAAGACCGTCGTAGCACGAGGGAGAGCCAGGACTGAGGGAGGGTGACTATATCATAGAGTGGAGGGTGATGGGGGAGCGTCGAAGGAGTGAAGGTCGAGGAAAAAGCAACAGCGACTGGACATATACCCAATTAAGGAGAGACGGAGGGGAAAGCAGAGCCAGAAGTAGGAAGCCAAATAAAAACCGAAAAAAATGACGAAAATCCCAAAAAGAAAAGAAAAAGAAAAGCGAATGTAGGCTGATTAAAGGAGAGTAAAAGAAAGCGGAGGTTGTGAGGGAGGAGAAGAGGAGACGAAGGCGCGCCAGTGGAAAAGCAAGTGGAGGAGGCGCGATCGGGTTTGGGGGGGGGTTTGAGTCTCTTGGGGTTTGGGTCTTTCTGGGTCTTTTTCGGTCTTTTTGGTCTTTTTGCAGTTTGGGGCTGCTGTTTCTTGCAGCGCGGGTAAGGGGGCAGGCTCGTATGGTACGGGGCCTCAGGTACCAGGTACCGGGTATCGTGTTCGGTATCGACGTAATCTCTGTACCGCAGTTCGACAGTCAGTTCCCTCGATCTTCGAGGACCAGTGCGGGACCTGGTACCGGTGACCAGCTCTGCCCACCTGAAGCACCGGCCCTGCACAGGTCACCTGTACCTGCTCGTCACTCGGGGACCTGACCGTCCCAGTCCGGTCGAGAGACGGTCAGGTACAGTACCTGGGCGAGCCAAATCGATCTGGTGCTGCCGTGCGCTCAGGCCGACCGTCGGCAGCACTCATTCTCAGGTGTGCCCGTATCGTACTCGCATCCAGTCATGCTATCCTCCTCTCCTCCTACCGTCATATCATGCTTTCCAGAACTATATCCATACAATATCATCGATCCCGGACAGAGCACCCCGTACCCGACAACTTGGACGAGGGATCACCGCGAGAGACTGAAGAGGGACCCAGATCGTCTACCATTCCCCGTTTGGGATCACATACGTAGATGTCGTGCCGCAGCACCAGGATGGGGCCTTGACTCCCTCGAACGGGCTGAAAATATCCCCCTCCCCACTCGGCCTCATCCGTGGAGTCGCGCTACCGCCCGCGCGGTTCTAGGGGGTGGCGGCCCTGCTGGGATTGCACGCTGCAGGACTGCTCGGAAGGGAAGCTCACGACTGGGCAGCTTTTGGGCTGCTGCGTCAGGTCACACTGTGCATCGGGTCCAGAACCCAATTCCGATCCCGCCTGGGTTGTGCAGGCCCATGAGAAGGGGGATTGCATGGGCTGCGCGGGCCAACCAGGGGAAAGGGAGGGACGGTTGTTGGGCCCGGGGTGTCACGGAAGAGGAGCCCCGGAAGTGATGCCCGCCAGGCCTTGCGATCCAACTCTCCCTGCTATACGGACTACCCAGCTCTCTTCCCCAGGAGTATGCTTCTACTGCTTCTGCTTCTTCTTCCCTCCAATCTCTGCGTCTTGTCATGACTTGCGCTCCTTCCTCCCCGAGTAAAGCCGTGGGGCGCCGAGTGGGCTATTCGGGGTCTCTCCGCGAGCCCTAAGCAAATTGGATCGACCTGCCAGACCCAATTGGATCGCTGGCACCAATCATCACCGCGGGTCCCGATCAACCGCTGTTTGAGGTTTGGGGCTCCACTATGATGTGTGTATACATAGGTTTTTCTTTTTTTCTTCTTTTTTTTATACAAAATCTTGTACTTATTTTTTTTCTTCTTTTCTGGGATTGTAGAAACGGGCGAGTGGAAGAGTTCTTTTGAAAAATTTATGAGCTCAAGATCCTATATCCGACGCTGTCAAATCGGATAGGTTGGGGTTTTCTGGGTTTCCCGATCGAAGTGTATCGACATTCGCCTATTGTCACTTCGACTCGTATGGCACACTTTTCCGAGTCAATGACAGAGTCCTCGGTCTTATACTTCGATCTTCCCTTCTCTCTCTCTCTCTCTCTCTCTCTCTCTCTCTCTTTTCGACTCTGTAGACGCTCTCCCTTCTCAGAATCACATGTAGATATTGTGGTATGCTCCAATGACGGGGCAGATAAACAAAGGCCGGATCCACGGTTGAACTCGGGCTCGTTCCACGGGTGTCACCCGGGTTCCTGTCCCGTCTGGTCCCTGGCCAAAAGTACTTTCTCTCCAGATCACATCTCGGGTCCTCCCACCTGAACAACATGCGGAGTCGAGACCGGAGACTCGAACAATCGCCCGATCTCTCAGATGCCCTATTCCGGATGGTGCATGACTGCAGGACTGTCTTTCTGGTGCATCGACGAGTGTCACACTCGGCGAGTTTGAAAAACTTCGAGTCTCTCCGCCGCGATCTTCGATATACAACGTGCAGTGCTCTGCGTCATGAGCCGTCCTCGCGGATATCGTATACTCGGGATTGTTCGCTCTCCTCCGTCAGAGGCGTGGGCCGGGTCTCCGCGTGTATCCCCAATACGAATACATCCAATACCTGCAGTACCTGCCGGACACCCCAATACCTCGACGGTACACGCTGGCCCGTACCCCACCCCGTATCTCCCTGTACTCCGCCCCAAAGCAGTTCCTGCATTAGCGCCATGTCTGATCCCAGCCCGGTGGCCCGTGGAGTCGGACGTCCAGTCTGCTCTGCGGTCGACGACGGGACTGCACCTATCATGGCTATCCTGGCTATTTTCTTAATTTTCTTATTTGCCTGTCCCTTTCCCTTTTCTATTTCCTGTTTGTTTTTATTTTTATTTTTATTTTATTTTTTCTCTTCATTTTTTGGTTCTATTTTGTTTTCTGAAAACAATTCGATTGCGGCCGTTTGGGAGGATCACTGACGCGGGCTGAGCTGAAGAGAAAGAAGGCGGAGACACAGCAATCACCGCGTGGGCAAACAATGTCGTATACCTCACCACCTCCTCTGGTGTGTGCACTCGGAAATAAAAAAAAATGTTGCCCCTCCCAGCTCCCAGAAGAACCACTTCGTTGACGGAGTATCGCTGGCCCTCCCTCTGTCCTCAGTGGGTCCTCTTCTTCCCCCAAAGTTTCCAACGCCGTGGATCCCCTGTCCATCTGTCACGGGTGATCCAACCTGCATGGCGTCCGCAAGCCACCAGTCCTGGTCGTGGCCCCCCCCCCTCTGCCCGACCAGGAAAACAGGGATGAAAGGAGTGAAGAAGAGCCACCGAGGGACCGCGAGAGCTAAGCAGGGTATATCCATGCATCGAGCACCATGGACAACCATTGAGACCCCTACAGCAGACAACCCAAGGCTCTGGTTCAGGCGATCGCTCCCCGGACCTCTCGATGGCCTCGAAAGGCTCACATGATATCAGACCTCATCGCAGGAGGAGGTCGCCCGTAATCGGCCGCTTCACGTCCGGAGGTCCCTCACCATTCGCACTATTGAGACCTGAAGCACGCTGGCCCGCCATTTGTCCGACGTCCGATCAGAACAAGCCCGACCCTCCTCCTCCCCCCTTTCGTCCCCGCTAACGTGAAAGGATGCTAGTGAGGGTCAATGGCAGCAGCACGCCAAGCCCAGCTAAACATCAATAGTCGACCGATCCCGTCGATCCTCACTGATCTGCCGAGCTTTGTTTTGCTGGTCCTGGTCTTGCTTCCTGCTTGCATGGGACATGCTACGCCGGGTTTTCTCCATCGCCCCTTGGTTTCTCCCCCCCCCCTCCCTCCCCCTCCCCCTCGAGTGGCGGGCCCTCCAGCCTTTCCGGCTCCTCCAGGTCCCCGGCTCCCCGGCTTCATTGTGTGATCTGCCTCGCCTCATCATCCGATTCCCGGCACTCTGGTTGGCCCTGGTCATGACGGCGCTAAACGTCGGGGATCAAGAGGCTTCCTGCACCGCCAATCACGGTGCCCACACTCAGTGGCTCACCACACTCCTCTCCCTCCCTTCCCCTCCCTTCCCCTCCCTTCTTGATCGCTGGTTCGTAACGCGGTCCTCCTGCAGTCCACCTGCAGCCCCCGGCCAAGCTCATAGCTTCCCGACCTCCGGAGGAAAGGGGGGAGGGGGTGAGGCTGTGGGTGAAAATGACATGACGCTGTGCTTCCTAGCATTGTGCAGAGCATTTGGAAGGGAAAAACAAATTCGACCACTGCAACGCTCTCGAAACTGCCGCTCCTCGCTCTTTTTTGATGCTATCTCTCACGAGGTGTAGTATACCGACCTACCGACCTATGCAAACTACAGACTACGTAATGCACACCGGCCATGCCGTTCAGCCAATCCCGGACCTGCTCTTCAACGGTTCCTGAAACCCAGTTTAGATGTGTTTCTTTTTCTTTCAATTTGTTTTCCTTTTTTTTTGGTAGTTTCTTTTACCCGGAGACCGCCCACTCCGACACTTCCAGCCCGCCACCAAGCCCATCTCCTATCATCACCCCATTGACAGGAAACCGTTGTACAGAAAAATCCCCTTGCAAATGTGAAGCCTAAAAGATAGCTTCGGTCGAATTCCGGATATGCTCCTCAAACTCTGATCCCATCGTGCGACATCCTCTTTTGTCGCCTCCCCTTCTCATCTACAACCGGCTTAGCTTATCCCCAAGTCCCATCTCCCAGGTACGGTACTGGGATCGTGCTTTCTGAATAGTCTGGTCCTCGTGCTGTGAACTACTTATCGGGGAGAAACTCTATTGTCTCGAAAACATAGACTGGGGCCCCAATCGAAGGGAACTACTGTGGCACCACCACGTTTCTTCCCTGCTCCAGTGACCCATTTTCAGAACCCATTTCCACTGACCTATTCTCCTCTTTGCACCCCCCGCTACCCCCCCCAATCTCCGCTCAGATATGATCTACAGCACAACCTACTCAATCCGGCTTCCGGGATCTACTTCGAACATCCCGACGCTTGTCCGCGCCCTACTGATCGGTTCGATGATCCAGTCAGGTGGGCACGTTCTCCCGGAAATATGGCGAGCACACCCAGAATTAAGTTCCTATCTCTTCCTATCTCCTCCCCGGAAACCAAGGACTCCAGGATCACCGCAGGGGAGGGGGATTGTCGGTTGAGTGGGTCGCTGCTCTTCCAACATTGGGCTCAGCCTCGTGAGATGCCTGCCGACTCTATCCAATGGTACCAGGCTACCAAGTAAATGTAACAAACCTAAAGCTCCAGAAGACAAAACACGGGATCCGCTACCACGACAAGGACCCCGTCGACAACGTGGCATTCTTCTGCGGCAAACCTTACCTGGGCCCGAACAGGGGCTGGTTCCCACTCGGCTGGCCGCATGTCGTGGACGAAAGTGCCGCGATCCCAGATTGAGTCTCGGCTTCTACTGGATGTGGCTCGTGATAGACAGGGAAGAATGATTTCACGTGCAGCAGGGGCCTATCCATGGCGTCTATTACATTTGTGGCTGCGAGCTTCCCGTCAAGCAAAAGTATTTGAGATAACAAGGGGCTTTGATGATGATCACCTTAGGGGAGACTGCTTGTTGAGAGCTATGCCTGGATTTTAGTGAAGTCTCCACTTCTAGATTCACGGAATATACGAAGAGAAGGGCGAAAAACAACAAGAGGAGATGAGAGGAGGGACAAGGCCCATAACTGTGCCACACGACTGTGAATATTCTCCTTGACCAAGGCCGACTACTGTTTGAGGCGTGGGGTAGCTCCGTCGAACTATTGTATCAGATTCTCCTCTGATAAATTGAAGTTTTCCGGGCCAATTTGAGATTGGCCCGTGTGCTTGCTTTTACTCTTTTCTTTCTTTTCTATCCACTCTTGGGGCCTTGGGGGGGGGGGGGGGGAAGATCGTGTTCTGATCGTCATTCCTTCTAGAGACTGTACAACATCTTCGGAAGCTCGGAGTAATAAGAGATGGGAGGAGGGGAGGGGCGATCCATCGATACTATCGACATTATCGATGCTATAGATCTCGGGGCCGAGACGGCGTCCGGACTACACCCGGGATGGGATGGTCAGGGATGTTATGGCGTGCATAGCCCGGGTCGTAGTGCGATGGGTCCGTGATACAGATCTCCGTCATCTCCGTCATCTCTAATGGAAATGAGCCTTGTCTGAGAAGATCATCCTGCGGAGACTGAGGATCTTGGGGGATGTACATGAAGCATAGACAAGGAGATCTACCTGTGCATCTCGAATAGGACTATTCTTTCGAATGCGCCCATGAATCCACTCGATGCCTCCAAATCTCGAAATCTTGAATTCTCGAGTACCCCGTGTGAGAACATGTCCCGTTCTTCCAGCTGGCCGAGGTCGGAGTCGTAATCTAGAGCCTGGCAACCCTAATCACCTGACGGAGGAAAGGGGGCCAAACCATGTGCCAGACCGCCCACTCTCAAAACTCAAAAACGATCGACATTTGACAGCGCTTCTTCTTCTTCTTCCTCTTGTGATCTGCACCGCACGGATCCCTTCGCCCCATCCGACTATTGATTGGATCTGGAGGGAACCGTTGTGGTGGAACGGCATCTCCCTCATCCAACTCTGGCCCTCGATACAATACCCATTCCCTGTATGGACGATTCAACCATCGTACGGCCATACCTCGTACCGTTCGTTTCCCATCCATACTCTGTACAGACTGTATGGAATGTATGTGCTCGGCAAAAGGAGAAAGCACAGTCCCAAAAGAAACCAAGATGATCAACAACCCAGAAAATTCCCCGACCTTGCCGGCTTTCGCCCTGATCGACGACAAGGTGTGACGGCAGCCGCTGGTTCGGAAGACGTCCTGTATGTGCAGAGCTCTCGGGGGCAATCTCCGTCATTTCCAGAGTCGGGGGATTCCTGTACATCCTCATGGCTACCAAGGCTCTCTCCCTCTCTCCACAGCACGGTCTCTCTCCCCTTTCCACCCCCTTTAGTCCTGGGATCACCATGTCTCAGGCGTCCGTCGGGCGTGAGAGACGCGTCTTGGCAAAAACTTGGGGGATCCTCAGATCGACCGCGCGTGTCACACCGATATCCACCTCCGATCCTCCTCGAGTCCCCGCTTCTCAAGCTCCAACCCCCTAGGATGGTGTCATGGACGTGCAACGCCAATCACCCCGGCTGTCGAGTCCGGACTCTTGTCTGCCTTGATTTTCGTCCTTCTCCCCATTCCCCCTTTCGGCTTGCAAGAGCGGAGTCGGGGTTTTCGGCTTCAATAGCTCCAACTGAGGGATATGGAAAAAAAAAAGAACTTATAGACTGTGGCTGACTGCTGAGGCTGAAGCCCTGTTTAATGGCTGCTGCCTTCTTGAATACCCCCTTTCGACGAACCCCAGAGCACTAGTCACTCCCCCCGTCTAATGTGATAGGTCCGGTCCAAAAGGGATCAGACAGCCTGGCTCAGCATCCCGTGGCCCCCTCCCTTCTTTCATGTGGCACGCTCTGAAAAAACAAATAGCCTGTGGCGGTGCGTGATCTATGCATGCATGGGCAGGAGCTTGCGGTCAAATGTTTGGGGGGGTCAATGGGTGACCCGGTATTTGTCAAGAGAGGGGTCACAGAGGAGGGGCTGTGGACCACCCTAATTCAGTCCATTGAGAGAGTCCTGGCCCTGGCAGTAGCAGTGGCAGTAGCATTCGCCTCGATGCGTCCAGATGATCAGAGCGCCAAGAGCCAGTCCATGCAATCGGGCCAGTCCGCAGGATCAAGGATCCTGTCGCCGTCCTGCCGTTCGATTCGTTGCGTCCCGATGTTGTGGTTGAGATCGGAATCAAAGGATCTGTGCTCCGTACGACCCTCTCTCGTCCATAGTCAGAGGGCGAGGTACGGGAAAAACAAAGAAACCTGCTCACTCATGTACGTGATGATCCTGCATAACCGCCAGATTCGCCATCTCGTAGGTTGTCTAAGAGGAAGGGACAGGACTTGATTTGATAGGCATCGTGCAATTGTGTTTGTGTTGCGCAAGCAAAATCCGGGGCAAAGCAAAAACTAAAATCAAGAAACATCGTTGCCTTGATCGACACAACCCTCGTACTCGAACGTTTCTGTATCCTCCTGCGGCGATATTCGGCAGTCTTGCGTTACAACGAAGCTCTCTGGCGCCTCTCTTTCTTTTTGGCTTCCTCACGTCCCGTGCGTAGGATGCAAAATGACGCCCCCTTGCATGATCCTTCTCCCACCGGACCGCCTGCACCAAAACCATTCGGGAAACTCCGTCCTTCTGTTCCGCCTATACCAAACATCTGAACACGCTCTACGCTTCTTTTCTCCCGGGCTGATCGCCCCAAGAGGGAGGGTGGAGAGGAGGATTGTTTGTTTCTGTACCGCGCATCGGCAGGACCTGTACTTTTACAAGCTTTTCCGGAGCCAGCGAATGGCCGCCGGACAATACGCTTTGTTAGCCGGGGCTAATAACCCTCGTGAGTGTTCGCCTGTGAGAGTTGCAGCTGGACCTTGCACCCCCGGGGATTCCCGACGCAGCGCTTTGTGATACCTGTCTCTTCCCTTCCCTTTCGGTAGAAGCTCGCTGCCCGCGCAGCACCGAGACCATCAAGGTCCAGATCTCAATCTTCCAGGTTGGAAGGATCTCTGCTCTGGCCATTGCCATTTGGACCTGGTTGCACCACGGGCCAAACCTGCATGAACTGTCGTTCGCAGGACGCAAGCCCAGGCGAATCGGCATGATGAATACTGGTTGACTTCGGGTGGATTTGCCAAGCTGCACTGGCGAGACAGGCCTCTCTCTTTGTCTCACGCTTCCTCTCGCCTCTATACCCGGACCGGCCCTAGTATGTCTCGATCCCTGCAAGGACGGTGCATGGCGATGGCGTTTCAAACCCCGCCGCCTCCGCTGCACACACACACACACACACACACACACACACACACATACGCCCTCGGTGTCTGCTTTCTTTTCTTCGGGCTCTAGATCGATCGGGACACCCTGCCCGAGCTTCATCCGGATTCGCCATCGGCTCATCCATCCTGGTCCATGAGACTGGTCTGCTGTCAGGATGGCCCTTACAGCAATCCTGCACGGTGTTGCATTCAGCCTCTGTCCAATGCCGTCGATTGAAAATCGCGGCTCTTGCCCTCACGGGTAAGAGCTCCCCTCTCGTAGTCCTGCATCCCGATCAACATGCTCCCAATTATCTGCCCCGATTCTCTTCCCGTGGCGGGGATGTGGATCTTCTGCGAGTAAATCGAGCCCTGGCAATCACAGACATTGGAGGGCTCGGCCTCCCGATTTGTGAAGGGCGCGAGAACTGTAACCCTCGCGGAGTATACATCAGATAGAACTGAAATCCCCAGGCCTGCGAGTCTTACACCCGGATGGGCCCTTTCGGCACCATCGGTATCGAATCAGTAGGCCTCGTATAGACAAGGTAGCGTACTTAGGCCAGTCGTCACTGTCGAGTAAGAACAAACTTCTATTCAAGACGCACTCAGAATGAAATCTAATATGCTTTGTATTTTGATTATCCCTATACTGCTCTTTACCAGTTGCATAGGGTTTACAAAGGTTTCGAGTCCAGGTGGACTAGGGGCGAAGAATGATGCATAAGCCCAAAACATGACGTGCCAGTAGTAAACTCTCAGGTCTGCATGTCCGCAGGTCCGCAAACTTGTACCACCTGTGCGCACGTTTTTATATCCAAAAGCAACTTTCTAGCCTATCGCTTTCGCGCGGCGGCCGCAAAAATGCAGTGCAACTCGCCCTAACCATCCGAACGTACAACCTGCACACGCACGATTCTGATCCCTGCAGTCCACTAGGCCGGCCAGCCGACCGGAAGAGCTGGTAAAAAGAAAGGGCCAAAGAGTCGGAGGCAAACTATGGGGCAACACACCCAGCATCTGGAGACCAGAACCCACAGTCCACCGAGTCGAGAAACTCCCCCGAAATTGCGCCTCTATTGAAGGACATTTCGCATCTCAATCTGCACTTGGCCCCCGACAACGCCCTTGACAGACACGCTGCGCAGGTCCTCGACGATCCAGTCTGCTCCTGCCGCCTGGAGCTGCTCGACCGAGTGTGTCGTCGTGAGCGCCAGTACCTTGAACCCAGCCGCCTTGCCGGCACGGATTCCTGACGGCGCGTCTTCTAGCACAAGCAGAGATGTAGAAGCCTCTAGGTCCAGCTTCTTCCGCCCCAAGAGGTAGCATCTCGGGTCAGGCTTGCCGAGCTCCACATCCTCCGCGACGACCAGCATCGCTGGGTGCGGAAGACCCAGCACGCCGAGCCAGCCGTCGATCAAGGCCCGCGTACCCGATGTGACAACGCCCCAGCGTGCGCCGGCAGTCTCCAGGGCGGAGAGCAGGTCGCGGCCGCCGGGAATCTCAGTGGCATCAGACCCGTATTCTTTAGGAATGCGACCCTCGATGAAGCTCACGTCTAGACGGGGAAGAAGACGAGCGGTTAGCGGGGGTGTATATCGAAAAGGAAGAGAAAAATGGACGTAGGGGGGAGGGAGGGAGAGGGACATACAATCCCAGTTAGCCTTGCTCTTGTCGTATAGTTGCATCACGTCGATGCTTCGGCGGCCGTGAGAGGTTGCCAGGATGGTCTTAGGGTCAACGCCTAGCTCATCGCCAATTCTGAGCGCCGATTAGTATCATGGTTTTGCGCAGAGTAGAGGGGCTGGTGAGTCACTCACTGGTGCCAGTGCTTCACAATTGCTGTTGGGTGGAAGGAGTAGAAAATGAGTCAGTCGTTATATCGCAATGCTGAGATGCACAGCTCTTGTAGAATGTGCTGTGCTTGGGTCCCCATACCAGCTGTAGAGTCAACAATTGTGCCATCAAAGTCCGAAAGAACTCCATCGAAGGTGTGGACTTGCGCAGGCGCAGAGAAGGTTCCTGTCGTGGCCGAGGACATGGTGGGGGAGGGGTTGAAGCGGGGATATAGAATGTCCGAGTGATAGAAGCCGTGACGAGGAGGTTGGAGTGCGATGGGGAAATATGAGGCGTAGGAAATGGAAATGCGAAATCTAAATGTCTATAGGCATCGAAGTGGCTGCAAAAAAGAGAGAAAACGAGAGTCGAGTCGAGTGAAGCTTCATGATTCCCCGCGAGGCGGTTGCCCTACCAAATCGCGTAGTCGAACCGCCCGCCGATCGGCGATCGGCGTAACTGATTATCCGCTTATCGAAATCTTGGCGCTCAACTTTTTCGACTCGAATTGTCGGAGAACCAGATTGAGGACCAGCGTACTTTTTCGTCTCCACCCGCTCAGGACGTGCAGACACAATGGTCAAGCTAGGTGAGACTTCCATACTGGCTCAAGGGATCTATGGGCTTTCAAAGAGAGATTTTCTGACTTTCTCCAGGCAAAAACTCCAAGCGTGTGCCTGTCCGGTTGAGACACAAGATCGAGAAGGCCGCTGTTGCAAAGCAGAAGAAGCAGAAGAAACTTGCAAAGAAGGTATGTCGTCAATGCATATATCTATGTGTTTTTCAATATTTTTCCACCAGTTTTGAACTCAATTCTCACGCCATCTTTTTTTTTTCCTTTTACAGAACCCGGAATGGCGGTCTAAGATTAAGAAGGATCCCGGTATCCCTAATCTGTTCCCGTTTAAGGACAAGCTTCTCCATGATATCGAGGAAAAGAAGCGCATGAAGGCGGAGGAGCAGGAGCGCATCCGCGAGGAGGCCCGCGCCCGTCGAGCTGAGGCCAAGCAGGCTCAGAGTGGCAACCAAGGCGTGGAGATCACAGAGGACGACCTGCTGGATGAGGATATGGACGCGGATGGTGATGAATCAAACCCCATGGCGGCGCTTCTCGCATCGGCGCGGGCGCGGGCTGTGGAATACGATGAGGAAAATGGGAGCGAAGATGAGCAGATGGACGAAGATGACGATGATGAGATGGATGAGGATGATGATGAGGGTGGCGCCATGCTTGACATTGCCCCCGAGCTGGTCACCGGACAGAACTTCACCAAGGAGAGCTCACGGCGTCAATTCGACAAGGTTTTCAAGCAAGTCACGGAAGCGGCCGATGTGGTGCTCTACGTGCTCGATGCACGCGACCCCGAGGGTACTCGGTCGAAGGAAATCGAGCGGGAGATTATGGCTGCCGACGCCGGCAACAAGCGACTGATCCTCATTCTCAACAAGATCGACCTTATCCCGCCGCCTGTCCTCAAGGCTTGGCTGGTGCATCTGCGCCGATACTTCCCCACCCTGCCGTTGAAGGCTTCCAACGGCTCGGGCAATGCTCACACCTTCGACCACAAGCAATTGACCGTCAAGGGTACCTCAGAGACCCTCTTCCGCGCGCTCAAGGCGTACGCCAACGCCAAGCAGCTGAAGCGTTCCATCTCCGTTGGTGTCATCGGTTACCCGAACGTCGGCAAGTCGTCCGTGATCAACGCCCTGACCGCACGTCTCAACAAGGGCTCCAGCAATGCCTGCCCAACTGGTGCCGAGGCTGGCGTGACCACCAACCTGCGTGATGTCAAGCTCGATAACAAGCTGAAGCTGATTGACTCGCCCGGAATTGTTTTCCCCAGCGCCAATGGTAAGACCTCCAAGAAGGCCAAGGAGAACGAGCAGGCCCGCCTGGTCCTGCTTAATGCCATTCCACCCAAGCAGATCGAGGACCCTATTCCTGCAGTCCAACTGCTGATCAAGCGTCTCTCGTCCTCGGAAAACCTGATTGCCAAGATGCTCGAGGTGTACGGCATCACGTCCCTCTTCCCCGGCAATGGCGATAAGACCACCGACTTCCTGATCCAGGTGGCCCGCAAGCGTGGACGTCTGGGCAAGGGTGGCATCCCGAACGTGCAGAGCGCTGCCATGACAGTCATCAACGACTGGCGCGATGGCCGCATCCAAGGCTGGGCCAATGCCCCGGTGCTGCCTGTGGTTGCCCCGGCCCAGGCTGTCAGCGCTGCTACCACCGGCGCGGACACCACCCAGATCGTCACAGAATGGGCGAAGGAATTCAAGATCGAGGGTCTCTGGGGCAACGGCGAAGGTGATGACGAGGAGATGGCCGAGTAGATGGTCGGTTTCCCATCAGTCTCGAGCCTTTACGCTCCCATCACGACGTCATCCATTCTTCGTTTTCGATTCTTGGGATACCAACAAAAGGGCGTTTTTGTGTCGGATGTTTCTTGATGCCTCCATTATTTTCTTTTTTCTTCTTCTCAATTAGGCATATTGTCGATACTGTTCATCCTAGAGAAGCAGCGAATTCAATGAGCAAAACATTATTTAGGAGTACTCGCACCGCAGGACCGCATATTGTAAGCCACTGGGGATCAAGTGCCCAATGTAGTTCACTTCCAAGAAGGCGGTTTATATTCCTGATCCTAATAATAAATACCCGGGATCCATCATCAAAAATGGTGGTCTCATGTCTTCGTTGCTCTGATCATTGTTGAAAACCATCGAAGTCGAGGCCAAGACTCCTGCAGTCCCCACACGCGCATCCCCCGAACCTCGCGTCGTGGATTTCGCGTTCTCTCCTCGCCACCTTTCCATTTCCCCCGGATTTCTCGACCATCACCGGCGAGTCTCAGCATCAGCGCAGACTCCAATTGAACAAGATCTCTCCGCCTGGTCCTGATTTCCAGTGCGACGAAATTTCAGATCCCCACGCAAACCCCCGCCATCTCCCGACAAGCGTTATTCTTTCCACTCCCAAAGAGAAGGGTCAATCCCACCACCGCAGAAGCACTATGCCTCCGCGCAAATCCACATCCTCGGTGACTCCCGCTGAGACGGATGAGCCGTCGCAGCTATCACCTCAGGCGCCGGGCACCGCCGACAAACCTGTCACCGCGACGGAGCAGCAGTTGAAGGCGCGGGCCGAGCTGGGTGTCAGCGTCGATGTAAGCCCACCTGCAATTTCCCACAATGCCCTTGAGCCGGGGTCCCACAGGATACCCTAACGGTTCTGACTGCAAATGGGGAACTGAATTCGAAATGAAATACCGCATGATAAACTAATGCCTCTGTTCCCTTGCTATACAGGACTACCTTCTGCCGCGCTCGTTGACGATTCGTCTGGCCAAAGCGGTGCTCCCGCCCAACACTACGATCCAGAAAGACGCCGTGCTTGCCATCCAGAAGGCGGCTACTGTGTTCGTGTCCTACCTGTCATCTCAGTACGTCATGTCCCGTCCTCACGATCTATAAGTTTTATAATATTTTCCATTTTTGCCCCCCCCCCCCCCTTCTGCATCTATGAATCACCGGAAGACAGACGGATGAGAAAGAGAGAGAGGAGATACAACTAGCAAGGGCCTGCCGCTAATCATATACTTGCAATCTACAGTGCCAATGATGCGACTCTGAAACGCACCGTGGCCCCGACAGACGTCTTCAGCGCCCTTTCCGAACTCGAGTTTGATTCGTTCCGCTCCCGGCTTGAGCAGGAGCTAGAGGCGTACACGGAGATCAAGGCCGGCAAGCGCAAGGCGAAGAAGTCGGATGTGCACGACGCTGCGGGATCAGCCGCTGCGGAGGCTTCTGCACCCGCTGGGGCTCGTGATGAAGACGAGGATGTTGAGATGGTGGATAACCCGGCGAAGCGGGTGAAGCGGGATGCAGAAGAAGGAGACGACTCGCTGGTTGGTGGACAAGCGGATGGGGATGAGACACAAGAAGAGGAGGTCGAGGAGGAAGAGCCGGAAGAGGAGGAGGAGGAGCAGGAAGAGGATGAGGAGGAGGATGAGGAGACGCAGGAACGGAGGCCGGAGGATGATATTGATCGCGTGGAGGACTTGGATGACATGCCGCGGCCGACGGATCCTGATGCGGATGAGACGGACGATGATGACGACGGGCCCGCAAGTCAGTTGCGCGATGATTTGGGGCTTGGCTAAGTGGGTATTGAATTCCAAATCTCGAATGCCGAGTCGACTTGAAGATGGTGGAAAGTTGAGGGTTGAAACCTAGAAGCTTGCATGCTGGTGATGGGCGATGGGACTGAGAACCAGCTGTTGCTGTATAACATATAATGACGAAATTTGATTCTTGCATTCTGGTCAGGTTTAATCTGTCTTTCTAGATGATTCATTTTTGCAGTCTCGGTAAATATACATGAACTCGATGTCTCGTACGGAGCCACTTTTAAAAGATCGGTGCATCCGCGTATGATGTTGCCTTGAGTGGGGTTTCACCTTTAATTGGGCTCTTCTGCCACTTTCACAGGATGGGAATTTTCAGGAAATATCTGACTGGTCTCGGAATTCAGATGTTCGACTGCGATTTGAGAGCCTACTTGTACATTGGGCGAGTGGCCACTGTTCTATATATTGAGTATTTCTCGCTATATATAAAACCAGCACTTCCAGCTCAAATGCGGTGGTTCATTATCAAGAATAGCCCGTGAATGCAAGGCTATAAAAACTATCCCTGAAGAAATATATTTATCCATTTGATCGAATTCTAGTTGAATTGATCCATATTGCTCTGCAAATCCAGCAAATTTAATGATGCCCATATAGAAGCCTTATATCAAGAGCTGGACTTGAGTACCTGTGAGCTGGACACTCTACTACAAGCTGGATTCCCCGCACGCCACCTATTCACCGAATGTGTCCGTGGTCGGAGAGGCGTTACAAGGGTCCTATAACCATCATGAATTCTGCATGGTCTAAGGAAAGAAAGGCCAATTTGAACCGAAGAGAAAATCAGAATCGATTCTCATGTATTACACCAGACAGGTGACCGCTCTCTGAAAACGCAGCGCCTATTTGGAGATAAATCAGGTACAAAATATAACATGGTCCACAGTGCCGTACATCGGCAGTAACACATAATCAGGGATAAAGAATAGAAGCACCCCCAGGAGAAAATAACATGAATAAACAAGCCACCCAAGCCCGAAAACGCCAGCGCCCGCATCATGCAACAGATCCGTAGTCTATCGTTGGTATCTCTCGGGAAGGACAGATGAAGGGTGGAAAGAGAGAAGTTGGCAAGGCAACCTCAGTCAGAGAAGCCGCGAAACCGGAAATTGAGCCCCTTTATCAGAAAAAGAAGATGATGATGCAGAAGAAATAAAAGATTTTAAGCCACAAGCGCCGTTGGCAATATACATCATGCCATGATCGAAACAAGAAAACAAAGCAGGAGGTGACGGTTCGATCAGAAGAAGAATCATAGGTGAGGAAAGCGCTAGGAGGATGTCGCGGTGATTGGCAAAGGCATCGTCTCGGGTGCCTCCACGCCATCCTTTTTGCCCAAGTTGGGGAACATGAGCCCATTGGTGCGGGCAGCTGGCATAGGGTGCATCGGTTTGGCCAGAACAATCTTCTTGTCTGCCGGAGCAGCGGCAGTGGCAGCCGCTTTGGTGGAGACCGCGAAGCTGGAAATATTCGCTGCTTTCGGGGGCTGAGCTTTGGGTCCACGTTTCTTGGGCGCAGTGGTCTTCGGAACGGCCTTCTTGCGAGCAGGCTTGGCAGGGGCAGTGGTCTTTGCTCCATTGAGCAGATCGTTGATGCTGGCCCCCCGGCTGGCAGGGTTGGCCAACTTGCCCTTGGTCGGCTTCTTGGTAGCCGGCTTCTCGTCGTGAGATGAAGAAGGGGTGAACAGGCCCGTCTCGTTGCGCGGTCGCTTCTTCGGTGTCGAGACGACCACGGCAAAGTTGTTTTGCTTTTGCTCCGAATCCGAGGAGGAAAGCTCCTCTTCGGAGCTGGACTGGGGCCCAAAGACTGGTTCAGGTAATGACATCTCATATGGCGTGGGGTCTTCCCAGTGTTTCAACTTGACCAGGTCTGCCACCTCGTCCGTGGTCCCTTGGACGATCAGGTCAAAGCAGTTCTCGAACTCCTTACCGACGGGCGGCTCATTGTTAATAAACATGGTGACCCCATCTTTCCGACTTCGAATCACTGTACACAAGCTCTTGACCAATCGTCGCACACCGGGAATCTTCAGGCTCGTGCCGGCGACGACCAAGACGCGGGGGCGGGACCTGACATCCGCATTCATGACCGATGTGATAGCTTCCTCGTCAGGGTTATGTTCGTTGTAGAGAACAATGCGCGGCCGCATGCGCCCCACGCCGTGACTGCGCTGGCCCGACGTTTGACGGACCTCGTTCTTGACAGAGCATTCATCACATTCGGGCGGATCGGCTTCACAGAAGCGGTTGGGCATGAGATCGCAGAGGTAGCGACACTTCTGACAGACCATCTTCGTGATGCTGCCATGCAGTTGGATGGTGACGGGCCAGCGACCCTTGACGCTGAGTGGGATCTCCGTCTCGAGGGGCTTCATGGAAGTTTCGAGGCCGTCGATGTTCTGGGTATACAGTCGTTTCAGTCGATTTTCCTTGCCCAGCCGGGCCAACATTTCGTGGAATTTCGTGGGCTTGCAATTGGCGGCCTCGACGGATAGCGACCGCACCATCTCATGGAAAGGGGCGGTCAAGGCATCATCCTGGTAGACGGCGGCATCAAAGAGCAGCTTGCCTGAGGCCTTCAAGTTGTGTTTCTTCTGCAGGGACTTGAATAGACCATCGGTGGAGCGAAAGTCGGGGACTAAAGGCGGCGGTTAGTTTCCATTGGCGGCTTCGTGGCCGCGGGGGAGATGCGGATTGGATTGGTGGGCAAGGCGAAAGGGAAAAAAAACTTACTACCCGCCGAGGTGGAGATGCCAGCGCCAGCGATGACGACGATGTCTTTTTGATGGCGGAGAGTGTCGACCAGCAATTTAGTTTGATCCTGCTGGTCGAGAGAGGATTTGGCCAGCGAGAGATACTGGGTGGTGCGCTCCTTGGGCAAGGGGTTGCGGCGCCGTTTCTTCGCGGGCGGCGGACAGTCTTGGCGCGTCGAATCCTCAGCATCCTGGGATGACGGGGTCAGGTACCGCTTTGCGGGTTCGGGAGAGGATCGCGGCGAGATCGACTGCACGGAGCTCAAGTCCGAGTCGTCCGATAGCGCATAGCCGAGTTTTTCCATGACGACGAATTGGGGGGCAGGCCAAATCTCCGTCTGGAAGGGGGAGTTGGAAAGGAGAAAAGATTTGAGACCCAGGGGGGGAGGTCACGATGAGAATGCGTTGGGCCGAATCAAATGAGAAAAGCGGAGGGGAATGAACGGGTTCGTTTCCACACTCTCACAAGCACACACAGACAGCGGATCGCGGCAGAATCATAGGAACATCCAGAAACCCTGACTGTGATCAATGGAAAGAGGTGAAATCCCGACAGAAGAGGGGAGCGGAGAAAGGAGGTGGAGGAAGAAAGAACGAGAGAGGCGAGGGAGGAGTTGGAGGAAGAGAAGAAGTGGACGATGAGGTCAGGTGTTTCCGGCGAGGGAGATATTGATTGAACGGGGGCGGAGAGCACGCAGTGGGAAAAGGAAACAGAGGCACACAATCGGCCCGTCCCAAGAAAGCTAAAGGGCACAGCAATCCTCCTTTGTTTTGACCCACGGGAGTTTCGGGAGGCGCCGTTGGAGTAGCAAGCGGAATGTGGTTGTTATGAGGAAGTGAGATCGTCAGGAAGAGGGGGAAAACACCCCGGTATGCGGGTCAATCAAGGTTGGCGGTAGGATTGCTCGTAGGAGGGCAGAGGGACCAAGTGGGACGAACAGGGAGATGAACACGCAGATGCACGGGAAGAAGAGGGGTGGACGGTTAATGGTCGACTCTGCAGAACATGAACGTGGGTGGAAGCAGATGAAAAGCGCGGGACGAAGCAGCTTGGGGCGAAGACTCGATGATGCGAAGTCACATTGGCGGATGGAGGAGTATCAGCATCATAATCCAACCGGGGAACAGGGTTGGGTCTGGCCGCATTAAGGTCGCTCCATGCCTTGAGTCCTTTAGGTTTCTACGCGCTTCAGTCTGGCTAGGATTCAATTTAAGCTGCTTGTCGTAACGAAGTATATAGGTCTGTAGACGTCTCTCGCGCCCCGCCCCCCCCCATGGTCGGGATAGCTTTGATATCCGTTTCTCGACTCGCTTCCAGAGAGAGCAGTTCCCTCCTCTTTGCGCGGGCATTGCTTGGCCCCAATGTTTTGCGCCTTTTCATGCTCGCCTGCTTTTGCTTTGCGCCCTGACAGTTTGCAAAAGCCGCCAGCGCCGTCGTGATTGGCTGCGCTTGCCCAGTGGGTCCAGACATATCACCTGATTGGTGGGACCCGCGTTGGCAGGGCTACCGGTCATGTGACCCTGCGGTGTCCGGGATGTCAGGTGATACGATCCTGGCGTAGTCATCAATTGCTGAGTCAGACTGCATGCCTCAGGCCCTGCGCATTGTTAGTGTCAACCAAGCGCACGCCAAACAAGGTCAAGCAGCGACAGCAGTGAACAAACAGGATACAAGATTCCTCTGTGGATCCCGAGACAAAAGACAAGGGACGCGCCCAGATCAGCACATCTAAAAAAAAACCTCTCAGTGTATACTTTATATATCTCTGGGGCTCCCCGTGAATTGTGATTCGCAATCGGGTCTCCCGGTGTTCCTCCCCGGACCGTTTGTCCTGCTGTCGTGGGCCACATCAACACTATCAACTCGCCCAGCCTAGTCGGCGCTCCGAGATCGACCTCTCTGTCAAGTCATGCGGGGTTCTACAGATCCCGCTGCATGACCGTTTCTCTCCAACTAATCGTGCTCCCGTGAGAATGCCATTGATTATGGAAGAAGGCATTAACATGGACGATCTCTTCGGCGAGGGCAATGCCTTGGATCTGGGGCTGCCTCCGGCACCGGCCCCGCCTCCCAAAGGACTGGCGCAATGCCTCGATGAGATGCGCCTCCTGGGCTGTCGCCAGTAGGTTGATCTATAGGACCCTAAAAAAAAAATGAGAGAGAGAGAGAAAGACACTGACAATACTCATTAGGAAAGTAGCATGGTCCCGCTTGGGATGTATTGCCTATATCTCTGCCGACGGGGTGCGGGTGGGTGTGCGCTATCTTCAATCCCGACCCTCGGATGGGAAATGGGTGTTGAGCGAGGAATCTCTGCTACACCCTGTCACCGAGGCCCATAATGGTAACCTCCTGCTCCATCTCGCCTGGAACGAGACTGGGGCGGAGCTGGCCGTGACCGACTGCCTCGGACGAGTGTCCATCTATTCCATCTCCATGGCGCTGAACAGCATTAATGGGCTGCGCCAGGCGTCATTTGACTCCAGTGACGATAGTAATCAGATCGTCGGGTTGATGTGGTTGAACACGTCCCGCTCGGTAAGGCTCTACTGCGCTCGTCAATGATTCTCTTTGGAAAGAGGAAGAGGGAAAAAAGGAGAAATTGGAGGCCCCGTCACTGTGATGCTAATATTGTCCTCTTCTACCCTTCATCCAGGTTCATGCTTTTCACCAAGCAGCGAAGGTCAATGGTCGCTGGGCCTATTCGCCTTTTCGCCGACGTCCCGTTGGTCCATTTCATCCTGCAAACAAAGGCGCTCTGATCTGTGTCACTCGCGCCGGTCAGATCAGACTCCTTTATCAGAACCCACCGGACAGCAGGTGGCATGAGCTGCCTGCGGAGCTGAAGAACACCGGCTATTCAGATCGACTGCTGACCCACGCTGCCATGGTGGCCACCCAAGGTTGGCTCTGATCCCTCCCCCGTAGATCGGGGCATATTTTGTATGCTGACAACTGCAAATAGGCGGAATTCTGCTGGCAACCCATTCAGTATGCCAGAAAATCTGTCTCTACCGAATAATGATAACCTGGAACCCACCGACGTTTGATATGGCTCAGGCCAAACAGTCGAGTCAATACCCTATCCCCTCATTCCACATCAGCCACTGCAAGGTCGACATGCCAAGCACTATCCTGAACGTGAATCGTGGTGCTGACGTCCAAACCGATCAATCCATGCCTTTTCCTAATTCCCTGTACTCCTTGACTCGACTGGAGATCACCCCAGGCCAGGCCGATAGCCCCGCCGGGTCCACGGCCAGCCTGTGGATTATGGCCGTCTTTTCAAAGCCCCTCCATGCCACCCCCGAATATCCGGACCAACAGGGCCCGCCAAGCGTAATTGTCCGATGGCAGTTAGAGTCCGCGCCACAGGCCTTCCATCCCAAGTTTGACGAGGTTGCCACCAAGAAGAATAATGCTCAAGCTAAGGTGTGTTGTTGATTGACTCTGTTTGCGGGATTTCTAAAGCTGATTATATTTTGTGGGTGTCACAGCCGAAGGCAGAGATGCGGCGACTCGAGGACATTCACTGTGACAAATATATCGTCTCAGTGGACCTGGTGGAGCATGGTACTGCGTTGGCCATTACCCATGACGATAGCTCTATATCGTTCTACGACACGAGAACCATGGCTCTCTTCAATGGTTTAGACGATGCCAGCACAGTCACCTGTTTGGCCCAGGCAGGGTTTCATTATCCCATAGACACGCCTGGTAAGAATTGCTGTCCATTTATGAATGTCTCTCCTTGCCAAGATGACGAGATAGCTGATTTGCACTAGGACTATCAATAAGCTTCTCGCCAAACTCAGCAGCGGCCGTTGCACTGGATAGTGAGGGACAGCCTCGACTTCGATGGATGGAGCACACCTTTGGATCTGCAGGCGGCCTTTACGATGAGAGTATGCAACCTTCTCGCATGCTCTGAAGGATGAACGATGGACCAAAGAGGCTGACTGATTGTACTAGGTAAATTTGCGGCTGCCATTGCGGCATTGACGCTTGCTTTTAGCCGTGGATCTGGTGGAGATATCAACACCGATGACATCGTGATGGTGGCGCTGAAGCAACTGTCGACCGGTAAGTGCCCTGAGGATTCTTAGAAATCCACAGGACAATGCCACTAATACCCGATATAGAAGCGCATGCCGCATTCATTAGCGAGATCTACCGTGCCTTGCCCGTCAACTGCAACTTCAGCGCGGACCAGGAGAAACTGATGTCACATCCTTATGTGCCGCGCTGTCTTAGTCTTCAGGCTACCCTGGGCTTTAAAGGACGACTTCAGACCCGTCGAATCTCGTCTGCCGTCCCCTGGGCCGTGCTGCAGTTCCGCCACACTGCAATGCTCTGCGTATATTTCTTCCAGAATGCTAAAGGAGTACAAGGCGAAACCTTTGACCCCGGTAAGTGACGAATTGCGTATCTAATGCTTCGGTCCCTTGCTGACGAGACCCGAAGACATTCTCCGTATGCTTCTAGGAAATACGAAATGGGCGCTTGATTTCTCGTTCTTCATCCTCAGCGGAATTTTCGATCTGGCGGATGAATTTGATAGTGTGTCCACAGACCAAGAGGCCTTCAACCAGAAATGTATGAAACTAGCTATGTGCAACGCCTGAATCTCCCCTCCCCCCAAACTTCCCACTTTGATACTAACAAGTCTTTTGCAGTGAAAACCACATCCTCCCTCCCCCTCATCATCCTCCTCTCAGGCATGTCTCGCGCCTTTCTCCGCCTTGTCTGTCGCGGGCTGCGCGGCGTCCAAACCAGCTTCACTAGCCTCAACCCTGTCTCTTTCTCCCGCGACTCCCGTATCTACTATACCGAAATCTGCCAAACACTCGACAAATCGCCCGTCCGCATCGACAAGTTTGAGAAGTTTCTGGCGGGTGTCGACTCCGCCGTGAAGCACGCTTACCAAAATGCCGGCTTCGGAGACGCCGAAAAGCCCAGCGCTGAGAAGGAACTCCTGCTCAACGCGCGCATCCCACCCGTCCTCGTCCCGGCCGTCCATACCCTCCTCCTTCAAACAGTCCCCACCACCAAGGCCGAAATAAACTGCAAGCACATCGTCCTCGGCGATTACAGCTGGCTCGGTCTCGGGTCCGACGCCCGAACCCTCATGTACCGCCGCCGCCGGGAAGTCGATATCTTGAAGAAGACCCCACTCCGGCCGCTTCTGCCGCCGGACCGTGCCACCCAGACGCAAAAGCGGCGGCGTTGCGTTCGGTGCTGCGAGGTCTCGGGAGAGACCGTCTTTCCCCGGTCGATTCCGTATTTCAAGATGATTGCGAAGTTGAATATGCTGCGCACCTGTCCTTGCGGCGGGGTGTGGATCATGGAGTGTACGGAGCCGACGGCAGCGCAGGGACCAGAGGATTTGGCGCAGGGAGCTTCGGCGCCACCAGGGATGCCGGGTTCGGTGGCAGTTGCCGTGGGCTCGGGGTAGATAGTCGGGATAATTTATCATGACAAATTATTCATGTATAAAGAGATTCTGCCCTATTGATCATGATCATCAAGAAATGGATAGATACACTAGTGGTGTTTTCATTGCATCGAGGTGCTTTTGTAAGTAGGGGGAAATTTGTCAAGAGGTGGACACCATTGATGGGTGATATCTACGGAATCATGTTCACAAAGTCTGTATGAATACAAATACCCACATCCTTTACCCCTTAGCAATTCAAGTGCACATAGAGTCTTTGTAATGGACAAGAGGGAGACTACCAGGCGGAAACTTGTCCCATCGTAGTGTGATATAATGTAGCCTGCCACCTCGTGATAATCTTGCGTCTCTGCCCACTCGTATACTACGGCTAGGAAGTTACGAAGGGAATTTGGAGGAGATAATACAATCCTAGTATAACGCCCACTTGGGCATAGAGAGAGAGGCAGAGAAAGCAGGACGTTCGAAAGTATCATGTCATGTCAAAAGTCGATTTGCATCCTTCTTAAGATACATAATCAAATTCCATTTTTGGGATGTAAAAAAAAAAGAGACAATTGACCCCGCTCAGGTCCACACATCACACATCCTGCTCAATGTGTCCAAGGGCAAGTAACGTCCTCTTCCCACAAAACTCCAGATCCGATCCAGTTCTGCATTTACGCCTGTGGAATCCAGCATGTTAGCAAGGGTGTGGTCCCAGGAGAACAGGGTGGTGCAATGTGTGGGCGATGGGGGGTCCCTTGTCGAGGTAGGAAAACATTCGACAAGAGGGACCGGAGCATCTCTCTCAAAGTTGCCGGGAAATTCATCATACCTTAACAGCGTACTTCCGCTGAGGGAAGTGGATCTGGCGCTTGCGCTGGCGCTCAGTGGTACGGGTAGCCTCGTACTTGGTGAGACGGCGACGCAGCTCACGGGTGAGCTTGGGACGGAGGTCGAGGGGAAGGTACTTCTTGTTCTTGTAGAACAGACGCAGCTGGGCGCGCTGGTTGGCGTTGATGACGGTGAGAACACGGGCGATCGACTTGCGAACGTCGTGGCTGTTGAGACAAGGGCACAAGTCAGTATAACTCCACAAAATTCTGGAACCCATTTCGTCGAAAATCTCTCAAAATCGTCTCTTCCACTGGCTGTAGCAATTCGATACCGACTGGGATTTGGACTTTCTTCGCTGCGTGGTGTTTCGTGGTCGTAGAATGATTTGCCTCTTCTTGAGAAAATTTCGTTGTGTTGCTTGTCCGGTCCCCGGTCGCATGAAAAAAGTCCCCTCCCAGTCGATTCATCCTCGCAATGGTCCAGTGGTTGATGGAAGGTTGTCGGGCTCGTATACGCACATTCTCTGAGTCTTGGTGGAAGCACCGCTGGCGATCTTCTGGACGCGGAGCTGGTTAAGCTCGGTCTTCAACTCCTCGAGCTGCTTGGAGAGCTCATCCTTGTTCTTCCCCCAGAGCTGACCAGCCTTGACCTTGGACGACTAGACACAAAATTCATCAGTACGGGATTCAGGCGTAAGACGGGAGTATGTCGAACATACCATGGTGGCGGCTTTGTTGTGTATGCTGGGTTGTCGGCGTTGAGAATTGAAGATGTCCGTAGACCAAATTGTGGTTGTGGGACTAGGGCTAAGCGAGTTGGCCGCACTAACCGGGCACGTGATGAAACGCAAATTTGGGACTCAGATTTCAGGCATAAACTCCGATTTTTAACACGTGATGTCACGGGACACCTCGGTCGCAAGGCAGTAAGGCAGCAAGGCACAGTCACCCTGGATCCGGTTAGCGTCTCTGACTGCACTTACGTCGACAGGCGGCCTTGCTCTGGTATGTCCGGGGTCCAACGGTGTGACATCAACAAGAGCGGATTGAGTCGGCGCCGCCTTGAAACATTCCTGTTCACAATATTCCTCTGCCGAATATGGCTTCCACCAGCTCTGGATGGGCACAGCTGCGGCAGCAAGCCCGCTCGCTCGAGACTCAGGTATATCGGATCTGGTCCGACCAGGATACCCTCACGGAAAGCCTTCCTCAAGACTAACGCCACGTTCTGGAACAGACTGAGAACCTCTTCCATACGTATGCACAATTTGCTTCACTTACAAAACCCCCGCCCTCGCCGACCGAAGAGGAATTACGACTTGAGTCGCAGTTGAAAGACCTCCTCGAACGAGTACGTCCTGTTGCAAACACCATCCCCCAAAACAAACCTGGTCTGCTATGAACCTCACTGATTACCTGAAACCAGCGTGAATCTCTCATCTCGCAACTCTCTCGCCTGCTGGATTCCGAAGCCACTCTCACGTCCTCAGCCCTCAAGCAGAACAACCTCACACGCCACCGCGAAGTCCTCTCCGACCACCGTCGCGAGCTTCAACGATTGAACGGCGCCATCGCCGAGTCGCGCGACCGTGCTAACTTGCTTTCCAATGTTCGCTCCGACATTGACGCATACCGTGCGTCAAACCCAAGTGCTGCTGAGGCGGACTACATGTTGGAAGAGCGGGGACGGGTGGAAAACAGCCACAACATGATGGACGGTGTTCTCAGCCAGGCCTACGCTATTAATGAGAACTTCGGCCTGCAACGTGAAACCATTGCTAGCATTAACCGACGTATTGTTGGTGCAGCCGGCCAAGTCCCGGGCATGAACTATCTGATCGGGAAGATTGGGACCAAGAAGCGGCGGGATGCCATCATCCTTGGTTGCTTCATTGGGTTCTGCTTTTTGATGCTGCTATTCTTTCGGTAAGCGGGGCTGGGCTCGGCTTATCATTTGCTTTCTGTTTGTGTTCCTGTGTTCCGCTTCGTCTGTTCACAGTCGTCCCGTTGCAGCTCGTATAGCGACTTAGTTTCTTGTTGGTTTCATCACGGTGTTCGGGGTTGGGCATTTCTTTCTGGAATCCCTGGTCTATCAGGAATGATGATAATACTTGCACTTGGCTTGCGATGGCGTCTATGTTTTATTCTATCATACACATTCTCTATATTATGTACAAATCCAATGGAGGGGAGATATTACATCTTCTTATCGTCCCACGCGCAGAGACCGTTTCAGTAAAGCACTCTTGAGTTGAGCTCTGATCGCGGTCATTGTTTCAAGCCGAGAAAAGCCTTTCTCTCCGCAATCAGCTTCTGCACTCCGGTGTTGAGGGTCTCCATCTCCGCGGGCTCAGCACCACCACTACCAGCCCATCGGATACGGCAATCACTATCAACCAGATAGACGTAGCCGACCTTGGAGTTCATCATGCCAACCGCCTCCTTGAGCAGTTCGTCGAATCCTTTCTGCACGAGGAAGTAGCGTGAATGATGCGCCTCGGGCATCTGCTTGCGCATCTGCCACATAAACATCTTCACGATCCCCGCCCTCATGCGATTCTCCTCTAGATTAATATCCACCTTCTGCACAATCTGTGCCTCCTTATCTAATATCTCGGCCAGCGCAGGGTTCTCCTTGGCCCCGCTGAAAGTCTTGACCTGGTTCTCTGCCCACATGCTAGAGAACAGATTGACGATGCTAATCTTGCCACGCAGCACTGACGTCGTATGCGCCGAGTCCATGCCTTTCACAAGCGTCTGACCATGCATATTGGGGAAGTAAAGCGCCTTGTCGGCCTTGAAGAGCCGCGGATTCGAGTAAAACGTTTTGCCTTCTTGAAAGCGGAGGTTCGACCATTCTCGGAAGTAGGGTTTCGCGACCTGTCGAGTCCTAGAAAAAGGTAAATCACCTGGTCAGTTTATGAGAGGTGTACATTGTCTCCTTCTATGTTGAAAAGACGAAAACGTGGGAGAGCCGGGGCACGTACAGTTCTTTTCGACGCGCAAGATGCCGGTCGTAATCCACGAAGTCATCGCGTCGTTGCTTCAACGACCGTGTATCCACTCCAGTGTTCTCTCCTTCTAATGGCGGTGCTGCGACACCGATTGGACGATCTAGCATTGGCGGCTTGAACTCCGGGTCGCCGGGCTTGAGTTTCATGTCCGGGTTTTGTTGGAATTGCGCTCCACGCCGCAGTGGTCGCGGCTCTTTGTTGAGTGGAGATGGCACTTTTGACTTAGAGGCATCGCTGCTACCTGGATTTTCACTGTTGTTGTTCTCAGTGCTATACTGGCGAATCAAGGAGGGTTTCGCTCGGATATGCGACAGCGTTGGCGGGCGAAATTGGCAGCTCAGGCAGCGTCCGGTTCGTAGGAGCGGGAGCTCTGAGACCAAAGACATGGGTCTTGATGGTTTCCACATTTTCGGCAGAAAAGTCTGAGGTTCTGAGTCGAGGTGTAGCGGCTTGAAACTTGTACTGGTCGGATGCCCTGACAGATGCTTTCCTTCGATCTTCAAAATTGCCCGATCGGGAGCATGTCACATGACATTCATTTATTGGCAGTTCGAATCCGAATATGGACATCATGGAACCGAATGATAGATAAATATAGGGAGAGGGACGGGGACTGGTTCAGGTGGTATTAGGAATATTGAGAATAAAAGGCTGGGGGTTTCATCTTTCAAGATGATTTTCGAAAGGTCTTCGTACGTCACTCGTATACACTTCATATATCGGTCCATACCATTATTGGGAGAGAGTTATTAGAGAAAAAGGGAATTATTCGGCTGATCTAGAGAATCATTACGTTTAAACACGCATCTGCTAAGGTCCATCCACGGGATATTGCCCATGTGATGTAAATGCATTCGACCGGTATATACTAGATACAGAAAAATCAAGAGAGGAATCATCGCTAAATTCAATCCAGCCCAATAGAAAGGAAAAGGAGGTTAAAAAACAAACAAGAAAGCAGTCATGGCCCGACCAAATAACGCGGGACGCCGCAGGTAGGGGTGGAGAGGGGAATATTCGGCATCATCAGGGACAAATTAGCCAGTATCTCAGAAGCTCGACAGATCGTAAAGAGCCACAAATAAAGGAAAAGGCCGATGCGCAGGTTCTTTGAGCAAGTGGTATCAAGGGTGTAGTCGAATCCTGCCAGTTGATCGGAAGGGGCTTTTTTGACGTATCCAGAAAAAATCAAGAGCAAACGGTATCAGGAGTCACGAGGCGAAGAGACGTCACTCGGCACGTTCCAAGCCAATCTAAGCCCAAGTTCATGGGTTGAAGAGTCTATAGTATATGGCTCACGAGTAGAATGTGCTCTTTTGGAAGCTCTCCGCAGAGATGTCGCCCATCTTGCCCTTGAGCTCGGGTGGTTGGTCGTCCGCAGGCTTCGAGATGGAAGATAGACTCTGTGTTCGCTCGGGGATGGCAGCACCCTTCATAGTGCTTGTGCGGGTAACAGGCTCACTGCCTGAGGTGATGGCCTGTTGTGCTGGCCGCCGCTGGATAGTCTCCAAGTACGGGCCTGGTAGGTAGCCGACGCGTCCGTCACGGGCACGGCAGCGCCACCACTCGGAGGCATTTCCCATGGGGTCGGACTTGCTGAGAACAGCGACGATATCGCCCTTCTTCACAGCCAAGTCAATGCCATTGCTCTCCTGGGTCTCGGGAGAGTAATCATAGATGACACGGCAAAAGTCCAGCTTGGACGGGTCGAGCGAGGTAGACTGAGGCTCGCCATTGGGACCGATCAGTTGCTGTCGGCGACGGGCCTCCTCCTCTTGAGACCGAGCCATCACCTTGATGAGCTTACCCATCAGGTACGGTAGACCGAACACGGCCACAAGGAACATAAAGAAAGGCTTCTTGGACGGCTTGGCGGGAGCCGGAGAACCATCTGGAAGAGTAGCTGGAGCGGAGCGACCGCCCATGAAGGCAGCGAAAGCAGCCGGGGTAAGGGATGTGGCGTCCGCTGGGGGAGGCCGACCGGTGAGTTTGGCGATCAGCGTGCGGAACCACCGAATGATTGTGAAGATGCCCAGAGCCGAGCCGAGGGTATTGCGCAGATTGCCAAACTGTTCTGCGACCGAGACCATGGCTGTTGCGAAAGTTAGATATGGATGCTGAGACGCCTAGGTGTACTAGTAGATTATTTGAACCGGCGACTTACCGAAGAATGAACTGTGAGTGGCCATATAAGTGCTCTCAAGCATTTGAGCAAAGCCGCCAAAAGCACCGACGATGCTTTCGATCATCTGGAAGGTGGCCTGAGTGCTCTGGCTAAAGGAATTGGTCAAGCTGTTTGGGTCATTGGGATCCTGTCCCGGCATGCCGCCATACATCCCTCCCATGCCACCCATGCCACCATACATGCCCCCATAGCCTCCATAGCCACCGTACATGGAGCCCATGGAGCCCATGGAACCAAAACGGGAATACGGCGACGAGTACGCGCCATAGCCACCGATACCTCCATAGGGAGAGGTAGCACCAAAGCGGGAGGCCCCGTAGGGCGAGTAATTGGAGGCCGTCGAGTTGACGACAGAGTTGAGAGTGCTGGGACGGGAGGGAAGATCGGGGGCGGCAGAGGTGGTTGCGGGGTTGCCCACAGAAGGGGTAGTTGTAGTCATGGCCGTGGAGGCCGCTGGATTACCAGCAACAGGTGCAGTCGATAATGCGTTTCCTGTACATCCCACGCCGTCAATATCAGGGACGCGTTGAATGGGAAAGCGGGAGGATGGCGATGACTCCGAGGAGGGGGGTTTCATGGGGACGAGGATGTTCGAGATGAGGAGACAATGAACTTACCACCAGCAGTAGCGCCTGCTCTCTCCCACGGTTTGGGTGGCGACTCCGACGCCATCAGATTGGATTCAGCAACCTTGCATCGGGGAAGAGGAGAAGATGATGGTCTGGGGGAGGTGGAGGTGGAGCGATGACGGGGAAGGGGAGAAGGGAAAAGTCAAGTCGCATGTGGCCGGGAGTGGAGAAGCCGAGGATGTCGGCGTTTGCCGACACTGGGGTACAATCTGTTAATAATCGGTACAGGAGCACGCTCGCGGCCCCGGGTTTGAGAGCGAGCCGAGGAGATCAATTTATGGATTCTTTTCGCTAAGAATCATACTGCAGATATACTATTTCTCTTCTCACCCGATCTCTGCAAGAAATTCGGAGGGGAGGGAAATCTCTGCGGTGGCAAACCTGTACCTTTTGTATGGAATCCGGAGTTTCAGGCATGCCCCGACCGCGGCAAACGTTCCGAGGCCGGGAAACGATCTCACAATAGCTCGGGATATCGAGACTTCGAGATCTCGGGATGTTTCATAGATATATGGCACGCCAGTACTTGGCAGCAAATGTACTCCAGGACAAACCAAAAAAATCTATTTACTCCTGAGTATGGGAGATCTGAAAGACACACTTGCTATCCCGACAGGTCTAAACAGACCGGATGACTCTATACAGAAGACCGAAGAGTAAACCCCGAATCACCCAAGAAAAGTAAACAAGATGAAATCACGAAAAGAAAAGGGAAAGAAAAATTAGAGGAGGGAATTCTCATTCCCTAATGTCACTCCTGAGATAATCCCGATCATTCAAACCAAAGCCATCTTCCGAAACGCCAGAGTACAGCAAGCCGCTTATGTACAGTGAATGCTAATGCAACAAAAAAGATGTCGAAATTATAGTTCGCTATGCGGGTTGGCAGGTGGATGCCGAGTAGCATCTGAGCCAGGAACCTGGATCTTCCAGGGACGAGGAGGCACAGGCAGACCTAACCAGAAGGCCCAGATTCTTTGGGCTTCCCAGACGGTGATCTCCAGCCTGCCGTTGAAAATGAAGTCAGCTGTCATGTTGTCGTCTCTAGAGATATGAAGGTGTAGGATATACTTACAAGGTGCGCGGAATATCGACCCAGCTTCGCAACACGTACATGGTCGTGCCCCAGACCATGTCCCACTCCGTTTTGATGTCATCCAAGGCGCTGGCGTCGGGATTTGGGGGTGGGCGTTCCCAGGGCATTCGATCTTTTTTCTCCCGTCCGTAGATATACGTGTCCTCATCGTTCTCATAGTAGAATCGTCCACTGCCGTCATGGAAGAGCTTCTTTTTGGGCTTATCCTCAGCTTTGGTTTCGACATGGGTGTGCGTTGAGGGCGCAGAGTGCCGGAGCGGGAATGCATTCTCCTGTCCCGCGGCCAGGGCTTCGTGAAAACTGCGCGCTGCGGCCAGACTATGGGAGATACGGCCCAAAGTGTTGATCAGGGAGACCAGCTCCGTGCGGCGTAGGAGGGGATTTTCGCCGTTCTTGGTCTCATCATATTCAAACAAGACTTTGAGCGCGGTTCCATATCCATTCACCTGCAGCTTGCCCCAGAGCCGGCACTTGTCGCATCCCACGCAGTCCATCAGTCGGCTGACATTGCGGAAACGGTTACGGAAGTCCTCCTTGAGGCCCTCCGCGCTCGGGTCTTGGAACATCAAGTTCTCGTCGAAGATTTGAGGAGGGCGCGAGAGAACGTCAGTCAGTTGGTTGATCTTCTGCTTGGTCTCGATATCCTGGTCCGGGTCACTGGTGCAGAAAGTATACCCTTGTAAGTGCTTGCGCAGCTTGGCTACGGCACGCGAGACCAGGGCGTAGTTGAAGTACATGTTTGAGATGCGCTCCGGGTGGTTGTGTAGCCGGTCCTTGTAGCACTGCATGTTGGGGTGCCACTCGCCCGTGGTCTGGTTAAGGTAGTCCCAGCACAGATGCGTGGAGATTGAGGCATGCATCCCGCTAATCAGGCGGTGGAAGACTCGCTTCTCCAGGCACTCATTGTCCAAAGGCAAGCCGTCGAGACGCTGCGACTCCTTCTGCAACACGTTGCGGAAGTCGGAAGCCGCTTGGAGACCCCCCATGGGTAGATTGAGGGACTGTTCCTCCAACTCCTCGGCTACGGGCTTCATGAAGCAATTCTCACGGTAGACAGCGTCCCAAACTTGGTGGGCACCCGCTCCCGCATACCCAGTGAATCGTTCCGGGTTGTCAACCAGGCTCACATAGTCTCCCTTGCCGGTCGAGCCTTCATCCTCGGGGACGCAATAGTCCCGGTCGTCACATTCATCATCGTATTCGACCACACAACTCTCACCAACGCCCTCACCAAGCATGCCCTGGAGTGGGCGTTCTTTGGGACGCTCCGCCTGGACTTTACGGGGCGGGTGGTTGGCTTTCGGGCCCTCCAACTTACTCAGTTCCTCGGAGCGCCAGACCAGGGGTATGTCCTCTTCGGATTCGATGGTATTCACAGAACAAGCAATGTTGCCGCACATGCTGCTGGAGTCCGACCAAAAAGGGCATTCTTTGTTGAAGAGGTTCAATCGGTAGTAGGAGAAAAAGTCGGTTTCAAGGGTGATAGATTGGAGAAGAGTATAGATTTCGTCGTTTAGTTTGTTGATGGTACCGTACGAGACGCACGCATCAGACACCATGGCCGTTGGGTCAATCTATTGCATCAAAGCACACATTAGCATTCGAAATGGGGGTATCCTCTCAGGTCGTCTGGTGGCAAGCTCCCACATACAGCGCATTTGTTCATCGGGTCCACTTCGGAGGAGCCATGCCCCTCGGCGTTTGCTAAGCTCACAAAGGCAAAGACTGCCGTGTAGAAAATTTTTGCGGCGGACCTCATCTTGCCCAGAAATCAATGCCTGCGGAAAAGGAGTGACGTTTCGAGGCGCAGAGCGCGGCGATGGCGGAGATACTCGGTGGCGCAAATGCCGGTAGATTCTGGCAACGGCCGCGGAGCCAGAGGCAAAACAAAGGGAAGAAATCGCGTAGGCCGAAAGAAAGTTACCAGCTCAGCGACATAACCTGGAAGGAGTGCGAATGTTCGGAAGTCGAAAAAGAAGGGACCAACGAAAAAAACGAAGTGGACAGACTGGCCTCCGCGCCGTGGCGGCAACTTGTCGATCGGCCGATCCGCGGTGCCAAGGATGCCGTGGTCTGACTATTTTAGCCGCCGTTGATTGGCGGGTATTTCTGGGGCAGATTCACAGATTCACAGATTCACGGCAGATCGTAAACAGGCCCGATCGTACGACTTGCTCACAAGTCTCGGATGAGATCGGCTGGACGAGTGCAAAATAGACTTCTCCATGTGTCGGTTTCACAGCCATCCGATAGATATTGTCGGCTGGCCTGTCCTTCATTTCCCGACAAACCCGATTTCTAAGCGCCGGATATACACCGGATATATATAAATAGAACTTGACGGTCGAGAATCGCCAACATCGACAGGCCACAGGCTATTGGAAGAAGCAACAGATATCCTCATATGGAGAACGCCCCTCAAATACATTTCATCATCACTGGAGATCTTATGGTCTCATCGTAAACAGCCTCGGGTTACCTCCATTCTTTCATAGACGTCTACATGACCCTGTCTAATTTGCGGAAGTAAACCCAATAGGCTTGTTGATCTGCTCCGTGAAGGCAAAGGCTTTGCGACGTGGCCTGATAGATCATGATATACATGAAAATTATAACTTGGGCACTGATCGTATGCTGTCTCATTTTACGAGAATGTGGGCCGACGACAGCGTTTCTGAATTATGGAAACCCATTCCTGCTTTCAAATCGGCCAACACATGAAGACATAAACCTAATAACGAGACACTGTGACAGGTGAAGGCATGGAAATTTACATGTATCCACCACCTAGGAAACTATACTACGTATAATATTTTCTCAATAATGGGAGATACTCCCCGAAACTCAACGTGGAAACCTTATCTGATGGTCATTTCAAGGCGGATCTAATGTACCCAAATTTAATTTCTCAGAGTGAATCAGGGTTGAATGTTGCGATATTCATAGAGATTTATTAAGCTCATCACTCTACATAGCTGCTGAGTTCAATCTGAAATTGTGAGCAACATGAAGGACCTGCCAAATCGGCCTCCGATTCCGATGCCGATCCTGCGCAGTGGAGATTTGAAAGCCCCCCACAAGCTGGAAAATCGCGAAGGAGCTCTCCACACGAGCCGATTCAGCTATTGGGGCTATTGTGACAATTGTTCATAGGAAAGGATACTGTGTAGGCTTATAAAGGTGGAATCCAATGGAATGCGATACTCAATGTGATGATGTCAGCTAACGAACTAAAATGGCTGGCAGGGAGTGTTGAATATCTCCTACCTCGCTGACTAGGGTGTCACAGCGATAGGTTCCGAGTATTCCCAGGACCATACGACGCACCGAGGAATATATACGTCCCCTCGGTGTATTATACAGCTTCTTCTCGATATACCCATCTAGGGATAGCCGGCTCTAATCGCTCGACGTCTTCTGAGTCCCGGACTCTTATTCTTTCCCTTGATTAATATTTATTTTTTACATAGGAAAGTCTTATAGGGATAAGACGTCTTTGATTCCTAATTAGCGCACGAACTTATAACATTACTAGCGTATAATGTTCTGAAGCCTATCTATAAATACCTCCTTCAATTTAAGCTATCGAATAGTAACCCTCTGTATCTGTGCTAGGGTGCTACTTGCAGGGTAGCGGCTTGTTGGTCAGGCAAGGAAAAAATATTGAATCGTTATAGAATCAAAGAAGAACAGTTGAGGTGGATTATTCCAATAACTGAACCTTGAAGAGATTCAGTTCGAAAGAAAGGGAGATTCTCTTTCGATAATCTAAAATGTCGTCATTCCGCTACTTGCCGAAGGAATGATGGTAAAGGGATCCGATTCTAACTTGTTCTTCATGAACAAATATCGTCATATGCATGATTCATACCCAAAACAAGCCAGTCGGCCAGAATAACATCAAATATGGTTGTTACATAAAATTCAAGATTCTAGAAATTATCTTTAATCCAACGCTAGTACTTAGTCCGTATATTTGCTTGCTAGGCATACTCTTCTATATCAAAGGCTTTAAGACGCGATATTTGAATAGACTAGTGTTAGACTACCCCGAGAATCTCTATCATCTTCGGGCTCTAGATAGTCTAGGGCAACAATAGCTAGTCTTAAAAGAAGAAATAAAGGATAAATTCGTGTTTTATTAGGTTGCTCGGGACATCGAAGGTTATCGTATTACTTTAGACAAGCTAATGATATCGTCTAAAATACGTTCCCGTATACGTAGAGTAGGCAAAATTACCGGCATAGAGCAAATCGCAAAGCCGTATGTTCTACGGTATTCTAGAGCCAAGGAATTCAATAAGATTAGTTAGTGTTATCAAGCCGTCAATAGGCAAAAAACTAAACGTTGAATAGAAGAGATAATAGACGCCCTTCAAAATATCATGTTATAGCATATAGATATTCGCACGTTTATTCGGCATTATAAAGTGGACGTCGATGTTGAGGTTCAAGGTATTGTACGGAACACAGGATCACAAACGGAGTCCGATTTATTGTTCCCTAACTGCATCGATTGATCTAGATCGGCCCTATAAGCTCTCATCTAAAGAATCCCAATCCATAAACGAGCTCCCGGTAGTTTGTGCGAAACAGAACAAAGTTGATGAACGGAGACTGAAGTGGGAAGATCGCCATGCCCAGTTTTGAAGGCGTTGATTAGTTCCCACCAGAGCGCAGGCTCAGTCCAACTTCCATAGAGGGATGGGCGTGACGATAGTCGGAGGCCGTCAAGGGTCCGCTAAGAGGTTCAAAATAGAAATAATCGAGATTTTTCTTCCTTCGCTAGCAGACCTATAGTCTATCCGCTATGTGCGGCTCTAGAGAAGGGGCGGTCGAGCGACGCCTACTTTCACGAGGATCGGGAACAGTATAGTAACAATTTTGGTCAAGAGGAACGGACAATAGTAAAACAAATTAACCGTCGCATTTGAGGAGATATAGTTCTATCGACTAAAAAAGGTCCTCGACACGAGAGATAAGCTCCGAGATCCCCTTAGTCGGAGAGAAATTCTTATATATTTTAGAGAATTATCTCTTTGAAAGGTTCGTATATAGCTTAGGCATTCTTATCTAGTTTCTAGTATAAAGCTTTATAGCGATTTTTCTCTTCCTTTTTAAAACGCGTACCAACTCTCCAGTGAAGATTAGTAGGGCATATAAGCTATCATTTATCAATAATATCTAGTGCTATAGTGGCTCCACTCTTAGCCTCATAATATATGCTAGCCTTCAACTCCGGGAGCTCCTCTACTTCTTCTAATTCCTTTAATATCGAATGCAATATAGCTTCGGTCGATTAAACTTTTAGCCCTCGGTTTTCACCCCTCGCTCCTACAGTAGATAGTCCACGACCGCGCCTAACCTCCGGCTTAGCCGGAAGAAGATTTCTAACAAGCGAGCAACATAATCGAAATCCTCCTTTGTCTAGTCTAGTTTCGCTAGAAGAGACTTGAAGAGACCTGACCTCTTGTTCGAGTGTCAAGTATTGCTACGGTACGGAGAATGCCCTATAATTTTTAGAATAGTCTACGTAGCGTGGAGAGCGATTTACCGGAACTTCTATGACGCTTTCCGTGCTTCTCGTGTCAGCAAAGATAATAGTGGTAGCTGAATTGTAGGTTTTGTAAGGCGAGCTATTTGCATACTTTAAAACAAGGTTTCTGCAATCGGTAGCGTAGACTTTAGTCCTAAGCTATAGTAGCACTAATAAAAAACTCCTCTCTTTCTTCCCGAACACGACGACTAGGGTACTCCAAAGGCAACACTAGGTCGATAGATTAGTCGCTATTTACGGATTCACCGCTAGCACACGACACGAGGAGATGCGGTGAATTAGTTCTATAGCTACTTTAAAATACCATAATTGATATATTATGAAAAGAATACCACATATTTACATCAGAAAATTTGTGGTAGCTAAATTCTCTTCGGCGGACCAGCCAACCGGCCAGCGAAAATAATCGTCGATGAAGGCTGATGCGCCGCCTTGGGAGTCAACAGGCTGATCGACGAGGTTGCAGTTGAATAAACGCGAAAAATAGAGACGACAAAGAGGAGCCTTGCGCCAGTCCCGCGTTATCTAGAACGTTGAGAGTTTCGGGTTGACGTAGATGAGACTGCGAAATCGGACTGAGTCGCTCTCCACCGTTGGCTGGTAGAGTTGCCATGCACTGTGGTCCACGTGTGTTCGGTAGGTGGTGATGGATGGTTCTGAATAAGGAGCACGTCTAGGTCTTGGGCCCGGTGATCGTTGATGAGGGCTTCCATGCCCGCCCTCGATTTCATGATGTTCAATTGTAGGATTCGGAGGTTATGCCCCAACATTGTGAGGGGGGTGAGTTGGCCGGTTTCGAGCAGAGGGGCTCCCCAGTGGGATGGTCCCTACGGTAGTCCAAAAAGTACGCTCTAATACCCGGTGGGCACCGTGCTCATTCATGTTGGCCGCCGCAGTGGCCGCATCGGGGGACTTCTTTGCACGACCATGCGAGGTGACCCACCCCTGGCAGCGGAAGCACCGCCTCTTCTTGATTTCGCATTTCTCCACCCTTCCGATATACCGTTGGTCGATCAGAAGGCCGTTATCGAGCATCCATTGTGCCGCTTGTGCTGAGTCGAACCATATGCCTATTGAGGCGAATGTCCCTAGCATCTTGTCCCTTTTCTTCAGCCAGGCGATATCCTCGATTCGGAAACCGCGTTCCTGGAGGTCGTTTTCGTCCGAGATCTTCTTAATTGCCGCTATTTTGTTCCTCTCGAGATCCAACCCTTGTGTAGGGACATGGTGCACGGCGATTCCGAATCGCGGTTTCACCAGTCTCGTCTTGTTGCCTAGCTCGTTCAACCATTCGATGTTGTCGCGCGCTGTCTCGGCTGACTCCGAGTCCTTGAACCGGATCACGTATCCGGTTTTTGTGGTTCCAATTACGGCGACTTGTGCATCTTGAAAGGACGGGGTGTTCAGCAGTGCCGTTCTGATATGGGAGTTCGCTGCGGGGGTAGGGAGGTAGCGGCTAAAGGCGTCGGTGTTGACTTCGTAGCCCAGCGAATCGACGGGTATCGCCGAATACTGATTCGGACGCAGTTCTTTCTTTATCTGAATAGCGGTTCTCTCGGGGTTTGGGATCGTTCGAGTTCGCTACCCCAGTGGCCCAGGTTCGCCCATTGTGACATTCAAAACGTGGGGCCCCTCACCTTGGTGCGTCCAGCCCAATAGATGTTCCGCCCTCATGGCCTGGAAATGGGGCTATCTGGAAAAACAGCAGAGACAAGGCAAGAAGACCGACTCCAGCATTCTATTCTGGCAACAGATCAGTGGAAAGCAATGCAAGTGCGGCATCAGCTCCACGAACGAATGCTTGGTTTCTTGATACACAGTCATCGACGGTTGCCACTATCTCACTCTCCAGCCAGATAGATGCAGTATACAGCCCATCTTTTGCCTCACTGACCCGCAAATCTGCCTTGCAAGCGCCGAATTTACGTTTGAAGGCACTGACGGGATGCTCCAAGAGCACATCTTGTTCATGGAAGCGCTCAAGGTACAAGGTTAAATTCATGCGTTCTAGAAAGGCACCACAAGCATCCAGAGAGCATCTGCTGTCGATGAAGATGGCTCCGACAATGCTCTCGATGAGGTCTGAATAAAATTTGGATGCTTCCAACCGAGAAAGCTCAGCCCAGGGGTATGAACGGCCACTCCCTAGGTCTTCTTTAATCTTGTCGCCGAAGATTTGATACCGTTTATTACAGGATTTTTGAGCTGTGAGTATATCTTGGGAATCGTGCCGCATAAACATCCACAGCGCGTGACTTTTGGGTCTATTGAATATGCTTAGCTCTTCTAGCGCTGTTTGCTCGCGGCAATGTGGCCCGTTGAGTATGAACTCCTGCATGCAGAGGAAGGATAAGAAATCCGCGTTAACTAATGCGGCCCGAATTTGTGTCATTCGGCCTTCTGTAAGCTTAGGCCGCCGGTCATAAAGCTTTTTAGTAACGATAATATCCAAGATCGCATCTCCTAAAAACTCTAGACGTTGATAAGACGAGGTACTTTTGTTTCTCTGCCACGAGGGGTGTGTAAGCGCCTCCCAGATTAAAGTTCGATCTTTAAACTTGTAACCAAGTAGCTGCTCAATTTTTATTTCTAACCGAGCCGAGAATTGTTCGCCTTGCGCCGGTTGTCGTTGGCTTATTAGCGTGTAGCTGCTAATCTCCGGTAAAAACTTGCCGAGAAGCTTCCGAGATACTAATAGGCCGCCCGCTTCGTAGGCAGCTGCTAAGAGAGCTTCTACAATGTCCGCAAAACACTTCCTCGAGAGTCGTTTACCGTTGACACTATCCGTTGCCGGGCTGAAAACAGGATGATTTTGCGAGATAAAGTCCGTGCAAATGAATCGATCTAACTGGACCCGCACCGCTGCAATAGAGAGTCTCTCATTTGAGACTAGCAGGTCCCTTAGCCTTGACAGATAGCCTTCATGCCATAGTGGATATTGATGGAAGAAATGGTTGGAAATGAAGAATTTAAGGAGTGAATCACCCATGAATTCAAGTCGCTGGTAGTTGTCTGGCCACTGAGAAGAAGGTGCTGTGATTGCCTCTGCAACCAAGCGAAGTTCGAAGTCAGGAACACCGTTGAAAAGCTCAACACGCAAATTTTGCGCAAGCTGATGTCGATGTAGAAGTTGGAGGATAGGTGAGATCAGCAGACTACTCCGGCTCAGCTCCCATGGGAGGAAATCGATTGTGCACCCAGAAGCACTTAAACAGACCGTTCTTGTGGTTGATATCGGCTTTTTCATGATCTGATGTGGTGATGCCACTGGAGGCAGGAGATTTCTTCGTGTGCCAAATGGCCGGCATTCAATGAAGAGCCTCTGTGTGTCCGGCTTTCGAATCCACCGTACAAAAATGCGTGGCGCGAAATGCAGCAAAGGGCTCCGTATGAGCCCTTTTGGAGAAAGCAGTGGAATCTTACCTTGGCCACCGTGAATAGTAAGGACGCCTGCATGTATTTCGAGCCATTCTGCCAACTCTTCGATGGGGAGATCAGGTGTAAAGAAAGGCAAAAATTCCGGGTAACCTGTTTGAGCTGACCTTTTTCGAGTAGAATTAAACAGTAGAGCTGTTATTTCCCGTATGGTTTGCCTCACAGATGTCGAGAGCTCAATTTCAAAATTTAGGCTCTGCAATCGTACCGCTAAACTCGTTTGCTTATTCCAGTACAATGTCAAACAATCATCCATTGGTAATTTGACCGGTGTAAAAATAGCCATACTAAGCTCAGGCCGGTGTTGTCCATTTTCAGAAACAATGATGCGACTCCGGTAAATCTGTCGTTCGGTCCAATGACCTGGAATATTTTTCCAAAAAGCGGTGAATGTCCCCACGAGAGGTAGCTCTATATTCCCTCCTAGTAACTCAAATTCCTCAGGCCATGAATTGCCATCGAAAAGTGGGAGAAGATGGTCATTTATGAGATTTTGCCGATGTAAGGCTCGAACGGCCTGGAAAGCAGCATCCTGCCTTGCTGATTGTTTGGAGCACCACCAGTGCTCCCCTTGGGCTTTCTGTAGCGAAGGATCAACACCACTGGGTAGATTAACAATCGATCGAAAGAGTTTCTCTTCATTTTCCTCGTATGAAAAACAGGGGTTGTTCTCGTTGTATGGTGTGCACCTCAGACTGGCGCAAAAATGATGGAGATGAGGTATGGCATTATCAGGAGTCAGGAGTGCTCTAGTGAGGAGTCTTGGGTGTTAGTAATTGAATCAAAAGAAACGACAAGGCACCAAACCCTGTAGGTAGTTCCAGCCGAGGCACCTTCTTGAGCGAGTTTTCCCGTTCAATTCCCGATTCCGAGGAACGTCGCTGTGGATTTGACAACATGTTCTGCATTTGGATTTCGAGATCATCCCAATGCTGGGAAGCCAGGGGCTTGGCGTCGTCTGCTACGAGAATGAAGAATTCGGATGCGGATTGACGGGCCCGCCCCCGGCGTTGAATGTAGGATATAATATTATCTGGAGTGTCGAATGAAATGACAAGATGGCATGCAGGGAGATCAATGCCTTCTTCCAGCACATTAGTGGCAACGAGCAAATTCCTCTGACCAGTGCGAAACTCAGTGATCACGTCATCCTTCTTATTGAAGTCTGGAGAGCTATGGGTTGCCCAGATCTCAGAGCGAGCATAGTTGCTCACGAAGGGTGCACAACGAAAAAGAGAGCGAGTGAGCGGATGGTCGTTCACCAATGCCGATAGAAGATATGCCGTCACTCGTTCTCGAACGAAAACAATCCCTGAAAATTCGCTGCGGGATTTTTCTTTTAGCAGTGATAAAAGTGTATGAACCTTAGAGGACACACTGTCAAGCGTATGCTGCTCCCCATACGCATCCTGACAGGATCCCATTAACTCAGCAATGAGAGTTGATAACCGAAGAACGCTCTGTGGATTTGAGGGCAAGTTTTCTTGTTGAAGTACCTGTGAGCCAGCGTAACGAGAAACATGGCTGAGGAAGTAACTAGCAGCCCATTCCCCTAGCTGGTGCTGAATAACCCGAGCTTTTCTTAGCATCTTAGATAATTCGACTGGGATGCTCTCATCTCGGGCCAACATCAGGACAGTGTTCTCTAGTCTGTCCAGCAATACGGACTTGTGTTTTGTATTCGAGGCGTTGTTTGAATATTCAATTTTTGTAAGGGTCCTGCGTGGTACATGTTCACGTAGTTCTTCCCTGTAGGTTACGGGAACACGACACGTCGCATTCAAATTTCGCTCCAGCTCCCTAGAGGATACTTAGTTCAACCCTCTTAAGTCCATATAAGAAACCTGATTGACCTACTTTATTTTTTTGAACTCAATCGAAGCAGTTAGACCGAGTATTTTTGGAATAATCACTTCACTGTTCTGTAACCTAAGCTTATGATAGAAATTTTGTAAGATCTGATTTCCCGGGTGTGATTTCATGCAATGATGAGCTGGTTTACTGTTAACGCTAGGATATTATTGTTCCATGGATTGCGTACCTTCGTCGAAGACTAGTAAGGCTAGCTGTTGCAGTTGTATGAAACCGTGCGCGAGCGCGTCGGCGAGGACAGCATGGGTAGAAAAAACGACCTCCATTCCGCGAAGCGCGGTATCCCAAATCTCCTGAGTACTCCAAAGGTCCACACCGTCGTCTCCTGTCAGCATTCTCATGTTGACTGCAGGCATATGACGAGAAACGCATGCCAGTTGCTGGCTGCATAAGGCTTTAGTTGGAACCAAAAACCAGACAACCTGGGGAAACTGTTGTCAATTATCCGCTAATTGAGTTAATGGTACTATCATACTTGGTGATTTGGACAACTTTCCAGTGCTGCCATAATTCGCATGCTAGCTCTTAAGATGACAGTTAGTATAGATAGTAATTTATGTAGCATTATCTGCGTTATACAAGTAGGTCTTTCCGCTTCCGGTCGGCATCTAAATTTCAAATAAATAAGGGGCTTGGTAAACATTACTTGTGCAGGGTGAACAAACCACAGCAATAATATTCTCTCTCATGCTCATATCGAACATTTCCAGTTGATAATTTCGTGGCTGGAGATTACTCATGTTGGAATGAATGATCCGCAAACAATTTTCGCATGGTAAGACTGGCGGGATTACATGCCGGAAGTTGATTTCTTTATAAACTTAGGCCTAGATCGAGCCTTATTCCGCGCCATGGAATCTCTCGATACCATTGCTTGTACGAGGTCCTCGAAAAGAATTCCCCCACGAGGCAAGCTCTTTCTTTTCCAAGACCCACTAGCGGCCAAGGCCTAGCAAGCCGATCACCTAACTAGACTGCCTATAAAGAGGCATAGTCTCTACCGTATCGGGCTTAGAGCTAGAAATTGCAGTTGAATGCAGGGAAAGACGCGTGAGTATCGGGAGAGAAACTTGTTTTCGAAATCATCTGCACATGAGCCCAGGTGTTCAGTACATGTCACCAACGTCGGCCAATCATATCATGTGACGTGGAATATGCTTGATCATGCACAAGATAACTTGAAGCCACGTAATTTGGCGCTTTTTCTCGTCCATTCTCATTTCGCTTTCCCCTTTTGCTATTTAGAACTACGAAATGAAGATTCTGCATTAAAAGGGTAGTTTTCTTTGGGGGTGCCTCACGAGCCTGTAGCCCCACGTGATATCTCCGACATTATTGAGGTCCTCTTCCTACGTCTGCCTGACGAGAGCCAATTGCCAATTTCTTGCCTTTGCGAGTAGCTCGTCAACTCTCACCAGCCAAGGCTCGATTTTATGTTCTATGTCATCCTTACGGTAATAGCACTGATAAGCATCTCTTCTGTTACTTTTCCACCATGACGTTCAGCAAGCCCAGTAAACTCTGCCCCGCTCGACACCGCTTGTCCGCCGGTCCATATTCATTTAGGAAACTATAGGTGCTATAGACCGTGCCAGTTGGTTAAGAAAGATGCAGAGAGATAGGGCTAGGGATCTTGAATTGGTTGTAGCGGAGGCCCATCGGCGCCTAAGAACTCCTCACAAAAGGACCTGCAAGATGACGATAATCTCGAGAAAACCGTGAACCACCCGTGAACCACCCCTCGAGGTAAATCCATGTATCGGCTCCATATCAATCTTATGGAACTAATAAATGCCATATTTTGGTGTCGACGTCTATATGGTTTGTAAAACCAATGCCATTCCGCGTGATTTAAGATTCACCGGGCCTTGTATCGAATCTTCATAATCCGTTCACAGATTATGGGATCTCATATTGAGTTTCCCGGCAGGGAGGTTGCATTTCGGTCATTTTAGGTTGCCGGTGCCCACCATTTTATGAAAATCTTAAAAATTAAGTTGTTTATGTCGTAGTCCCGTTGCTGTGGGCTCATGAAATTGTATGTGTAACTCCGTTGAAACATCACTTCTAGAAGAAGGAAGTATTGAAGCCTTTATGAGCATCTCCCCTTTAGTAGCTGTGCTACTGTAACAGCTCATATTTTCATGCACATTCGATTCGGAGACAAATAAAATGACATAGTCTCGAAAGCAACGTTTTCCTCTTGAAAGCTACCAGTAGCTCAGGAAGCGAGTCAATGGTATTTCACCTCAGCCCCACGACTTCCCAATCAAAATGAAAACCAAATCCAGGTTATTTGTGCATAATTATTTGAATATCAAGACCAATCACTGCGAGAGCCTGTGAAAACTATTACTGGCTTAGCTTACCAACCTGCTAATAGCTGACCTGGTGTTCCTGAGATCAGGAACCATTATTACAGAGACGAAATTTTAGCTCTCTAGATTCATGAGTAGACAAAAGTTGGAAAAACGATTGCTTGCTAACACTAGAAGCTGAGAACATTTCATTTGAATTGTTTTTTGAACAGAGGTATCAGTTCTGCCGAAGGGTACATTTCCGCGATCTACAGTGCTTCTGAGCATTGTCTTTTCGAGTGAATGACTTTCCACACGAGCAATGAATAATTCGGTCGCCCCAAAGTTCCTTTGCCAGTTTTTTGTGGGCCACGGTGACATGCCGAGAAACGTCTTTCCGCTCAGCCGCGCCATAGGGACATATTTTGCATTTGACAGGTAGAACATGTATTCGCATATGTTTTCTAAGAAGTTAGAACCTGGGAGAATTTTGTAATGTATACGAAGCTCACCTTAAATCACACTTTCGAGTGAAGCCGACCTTTTCGTGACATCTCAAATCCGGGCAGTAGAAAAGTCCGTCATGTGAAGACGGTGCGATATTGGCATACGAAGGCATCTCAGCCTCTTCAAATATGGTACCACCCATCGATGTTATGTCTGAAGTGATGAGATTCTCGGCTTTCCTTTCTGTGGGTTTGCTGGTGAAATGCGTCGGATTGTTAATGACATCGGATTCTGGATGACGCAGAAAGTCCTCACAAACTTTGCTCTAAAGAGCGTCATTTTTGCGAATAACTTCGTCCATACTTCTCTGATCACTTTTCAGGCAATCCGACGCTCGCTGCCTTGATGGAAAGGAATGCGGCTTTTCACTTCGTTTTCTCGTGTCCTTGTCGTTAAGTATGAGTATATATACTCCAATGACTCGTAATATCTGTTTTGCGCTACGTATTGGTACCCAAAGCCCAATATACCCATTTGTCATTCGCCCACGTCGTAGCCAAACCGCTCTATCTCATGCATGACTCCTAACTTAGTGAGGTGTACTCATGCAAAGCGTGTTGGCTAAATTCCGTCTACGACTAGTGGACCAGTCTTTTTAGTTCACTAGCTCGGTCGATGAAAACCGCCCGGCATGTATTATTATAGCATTGTTACCTTCAATAGTGTAAAATGAATAGGATTTCAATATCATCACCTTCTGAGACAATTCTATAACGTAAACTCTGCTCTCGTACAGCCATTAGCGAAAACTAGGTTCCACAACCTTGGAGGATCCACCGACCAGACCGCACTAGATTGGCTGCCTTATTGGTCCTAAAAGATACCAAGGTTCCTCTCGTTGATCGTTTCATATTCGCTACATACTCGCAGGATAAGATATGACAATCTAGAGAGCCGTACAGGAACACACATGGTGTATTATTGAAAGGCCTTCAACTTCAGAATTGATAGATCATTTGTTGATAAACGCTTGCGACTTAGTAATGTATTCTCAGAAAAAAAATAAATCACTGGGGACGAAACAGGTTTCGCTAGTGACATGACACTTCAAAAAGGGGAACATTTCAGTCTACAGCCAGCCTTGTGTGCAAGGAATTGCCCGCACTTGCTGCACATTGCTCTCTGATTGAAGATTACGGAGTGATTTACAGTATGCATTTTGGCCATAAGTGGGTGCTTCGTTCTTGAAAGAGATTAAGACCAAAAAATAGTCGTGAGAATTCGGTAAAGCCAGTATCATAGTGTACACAGTAATTGATGGAGCGTTATAGTTGTCAAAATGCTTAGATATTTGCAAGCATTCCAGCATGCTCAGAAAAAGAGATCTCGATCAGGCTTTCAGATGGACTGCCATAATCAGCACCCAGCCTGGTAAGCACCATCCTAGAGCTCATGCATACTGTAATCTGACCTTTGATTGGTATGGAACTTTAATTCACGGACCTGATATTAGTGAGAGGCTTAGGGGACACAATTTTGGTATTTAAACGCTTATCGGTAACTCTCAGCATTAGTGGCTCCCGCACTGGTGGCCTCCCACATTGGGGGCCTCCCACATTGGTGACCTCCCACATTGGTGGCCTCCCACATTGGTGGCCTCCCACATTGGTGGCCTCCCATATTGGTGGCCTCCCACATTGGTGGCCTCCCACATTGGTGGCCTCCCACATTGGTGGCCTCCCGCATTGGTGGTCCCTTCGTCTCCCACATTAGTTTCCTTGAATATCGTTTGGCATGCTACAGTATAACAAAATATGACGGGAAAAATAATGTTAGGAGATAGCACGGCGAGAGGGCCTCGATAGAGGGCGAACTGATCCAACTTCCTGTTACGGTCAGATTTTTGCGAGTTCTACTCAATTACGAATTCGATACGATCATCAAACTATTTTGGACTTGAGCAAGTACGTTACCAGGTTTCAGAAACTCTACAGTGAATGAACTTGACTGCATATTGCTTTGACTATCTCAATAATGTGGTAGTCGGTACGGGGGACGATGACCAGATTTGGAAAACTTAGACCAAGCGACCTTAAATTGAGCAAGGGCGATGAATAGCTATGAATTGAAAAGTTGTTCATTCATATTTATCCCGGGACTATTCAGTATAGCAGTTATCATATTTCAAATCAGGTTATGGATGAAGTGAATAAATTTGACTTTTAATTGAGCATAGATGCGATATAATTAGTCTAGTCGTGCAAGATCTCTTTTCGGGACTGGACTTTTTGACAACTTGAAGACGAGACTTGTGGGAACAAGGCGACTTCTGGTAAACTCTTGGACACGAAGCTCATAATCGTGACAGTAGAACGTATAAGAAGAGTTAGGTACAGTACATTATTCGGGTTTGCGAGTGAATAATACTGTAAGATAGTCCAGAGCTTCTCCAACCAAAGCTTGTTTCATTCGATTACAAATCAAGGGGGACACCTCCGTTCTCAACGTCAGATTCATCTTCTTCATCTCTAACTTCGTCAAAGCCAGTGGCCACGTTGTGAGGATAAAAGCTCAATTCTGACAACTTCTGGCTTATGGAACGTTCGCCCAATGAGGTTGCTAGGTTTTCCTGCTGAAGATTGCAAACCATCGCAGATGAGTTGGGGTGTGGAATTTCGGTGATACCGGTCCTTGAATCAGGATGCTTGTTTACGGCTGATGATTTTCCAAGGATTTGACTGATGGCCAGTTCTCGAAGTCGATCAACCATTTTATTTAGTATATCCAATTGTTCTTTGGCCGCAGAATTGGATTTGGAAAAGTCGCTCACGTAAGGCGGTGACCAATTTGTCCAGATGTTTTGATGCGATTGCGGAACAACCACTCGAGCAGGGTGGTACTGGAAATACATCTCACAGCAGAAACAAGCATCTTTGCTACAAGCAATGAAAGCATCTTGTCCCGCAAAGCTCATGCAATTGCGATGAAAGTATTCCAGGACCTGGACCTCCGCATGAACGCGGGGATGTAGATTCTGATAGTCGTTCGCAAACCTCTGCGAAATGGGTTCGATACGGTTCCATTTGAGTAGACCATCCTCGACCTGAAGCCGTTCACTACTATTTTCTTTAAACATACGGTTTATAATACCGTGGAGGTTGGTATTTCTGTCTGGTGCTGGTGGGGTTACGGGTAAGATGCCGGTGACTGTCAGGACTTCAAATGTCTGAAGGATGGGGCTCATATCCCTGGAGATGTCGCAAAGCTCCTTCGATGCTCGGATGTGGTGAGCAAGTCTTCCAATGTAATGCCTCGCGGATGAAAAAGATTCATTATAATTCCCGCGAGAAAGTTGACGGTCTTGCTGTTTAGACAGGATCCGCAATTGTGAAACAAATTCCGAATGTCTATTTTTATAGACAAACTTGCATAGCTGAAAGTGATCCTTGAAATTTAAAAGTAAATCCAACCACTTGCTCAATTCTGATGCTGTGAGGAGTCAGCAGTCGTAGGTTTTCACATCACATATCTTGAGAAATACCTCTTCTCGTGCCCTGGGAAGACAGTTCCCGTTGGCAAATTTTCACTGCTGCATGGAGGCATTTGCTTTCCTTGGAAATGCGGAATTTCGAAAAATCAACACAAAGTTTAGAAAATTCGTTTTTTTTCTGTTGAAATTCTGAATCCAAAGAGTTCGCTATCTCCCCCAACCTCCGAAGGGCGATTGTGAGGAATTCGGGGATTTTGGATGTATCTTCATTGGATGCAATCCAAAATCTGTAACATGCGTCAAGCTCTTCAAGTCCGATGGCGGTGCAAGTCTCGCCGCCCTTATCGAAGTCACAGATATAGGTAAGGTTTTGTAAAAATTGTCGACGAGCTGACTGGAAGTTGTCTAGATCATGTGGGTACGTTTTGTGATTGCCATGGCTCTGCCCAAGCAATCGCAGAAGCACTAAGGGCTCATAAAACCTACGGAGAAGTTTGTGGTAGAGAACCGGCCTCGGGGGAGCGGCCACATCAGGTCGAACTTCAAATCTCTCTAGGAAACTTTCGGGCCGAGGCTTTTTGTCGATCTGGGAAGACATTGAAATAAAAATTCACGAAAAATTCTAAGCAAAGCCGCCCCTTCATACGAAAGGAGTTGGGTATAATGATCTCTGGTTTAACTGCTTACTTTAGCGGGGTAACGGATTCAGTTATGAGGACAGATTGAGTAGCTGTGTCCTATCGGGCACGGCTTTAACTAAGCAGATATGTGGAGGCCACTAGCTTGAAACTTGAGATCTCATTACTGCTGCACTGATGGCCTCCGCATTGGTGGCCTCCCGCATTGGTGGCCTCCCGCATTGGTGGCCTCCCGCATTGGTGGCCTCCACATATTATGTGGGATGTTGAAAGGAAATGAATGAGTGGCGTAGCGTCGGGCCATCAAATTTGCGCATGAACAGCACAACACGATGCGGGAAGCCACTGATCAAGACTTTGACCAATTAAAGTTCTTGAACTGTGGCAAATTTCACCACTTCAGATGCAAATCTACGTGTCAGTCATCACTCGCGCATCTTGTCTATTCGTTTAATTCTGTAAAAACTACTGGCATCTTTAGCTATTCCATACTTCCATGTTTCAGCAACTGTATTTATAGTAGAAAGCGTATATTCGATTAAATCTGTATTCCCCAAAGTTAGTTGCAAGTCATTTATCATCACATTAAGCAGATGACTAAAAATCACAAAACCTGTTGAGAGACCAACGTACCCCGTTTCCTCTGGCGCCTGCAATCGAGACGTTTTTCTAATTCTAGTCTGTTAAAAATCGGTGGAATTTTATATTTGATCCATATATCAATATCTCGGTCAAAGTAGCTAGAATCTAGCTGAAGAGTTTCATAGTGATGTTTAAAACAGTAGAAGTAAGGTGAGATGTTAGGACTATTCCAAATTTTACCTTTCACTGTTTTGGTAACAACAATACTGTTCTAAACCTGACCAATACGGAGTCACATGAGGTGCGAGCTATACTATTCTCTGTATTTCCTTGGTACAGTGGTTTTATAATAGGACCAATTGTCACTTTCCGCCATCCAACAAGTGTTTCTTTGTGGACGAACTTGGTTCACTCCTACGTGGCATACCACCTAGGGCGTCACTGGTAAGGCTTTCCACAAACATGGCAGAGTCAAAAGATGACACGTCACTATCTACATTTTTGACAAGAAATCCACCGAAACACCTTCGTATTATGGATGTCTTTCACTCTTGGCTGGGCGCAAGTGAGATGAATACCTTGCACGACTTGGGCTTCAATGCATGCAATGATCAATGTGAATTTGACTTCCTTTTTTAAATTCTAAATTGTGTGTTAAAAGCGTGAACAAGGCATCTCATTCATATTAAGTCCTCGAACTTCAGTATTATTGATTTGAATCACTGCTCTCATTTTACCTTAGGGCATCAGCATGGCCAATTCACAAGATGAAAGTCAACTACCCGAATCCAATGGTAGGCCATTAATTTTATTCTCATCGCCTGTAATCGAAGCTGACACTCTATAAAGACTATCTCATTGGGATTCTTGTGCATCGCTTATGGGTCACTTCATCCGTCGCGAGAATTGGAATGTCGCGAAGTGAGATCGACGTGAGTTCAAATTTCTGTCCTTCCCGTTGATCTTTTACTCACGTATACGCAGAATCATGTGAATCATGATTTTCAGACCTTTGACTGGAATAGGATGATGTCTTCACTGACAAATATCCATGGCTCGAACGAGCAAGATCTTGGACAAAACAATGTTCGAGATAATACAATCGAATTATTAGGACAGATCTATCGGCGCTGCGCTGATCCAGATCGGCATGTTCTTCTTTGGGGTCTCGCTGATCTCTTTACATGTCCCACCTCTGAAGAAAGTCGTCTTAATAGTCGAGAAAGATGTTTGCTAGAACCACCGTCAACTGCTCGCAGCCTGACTCAAATAGAGCATGAGAAACGCCCCAGTCGCACCAGCGGCCTCCATTGTTATACCTCCAGGCTGAATGAGAGGGCTCAGAAAGAAGGGAAATTATTTCGGCGAAGGAAAGAGGAAATTGTCTCACATGACCCCCCGTTATTCAGGATAACGGTTGAATACGGCAATTTGACTTGTTCTGGCCGAGCTAGGACAAAGAAAGAAGCGGCACATCTGGCGGCAAAGGGTATTTGTGAAAAGCTAAATGAGAATTTATCACTCTAAGGCCACTTACTATCGCCAAATCCCAATTTGCATAGCCAGAATATCATTTGTATCCCTTACTTGGTGAAAACCTTCTTGAACCAGGGTGCGGCTTTAGTGTTATGTTTGCAGAGGGTCTGTGTGTAGGATATAGGTGGGGTTTCCAACTAGATTGAAGATCTACATCTATACGAATCAACCGACTGTTGCTTTTTGAGCATATATGCTGTCCACTTGGCTTGTACATAAGACCTAGCTTGATATACCAATACTCATTATTAATGTACCCTAGCAGCACAGAATTTTTGGAAAATATTGATTGGAAAGCTCGTATCTATCTCCTATCTCGCAGATTGTATTGGAATGCTAATCAAATTCTCTCACATGTTGGTGCCGTCCTGCATTATGGGCCTCCTGCATTATGGGCCTCCTGCATTATGGGCCTGCTATCTTCTAAATTCCCGTCTATCGGATATGAATTATGTCATTTCGTGCGTTTCAAGTACAATATACACTGAATCCAATGCGTGATTCTTTTTATTAACATCGGATTAAAATCTTACATGTCGGGGTGCGATCATTTTCTTCGCGTGACTGAACCTCCAAGACTAAGGCGACAGTTCAGGGCATTTTGCACTGTAACAACACTTATGCCAAAATTTCTTCACATGCAACACAATCGTCTCCACTGGAATTGTGGATGCTTGAATACCATTTTACTATATAGAAACATTACGCTTATAAAAGTATACTGTATAGTACATCCATCTTCTATAAAGTATGAATTAAAGTTTGCGGAGCCTGTCTACATCAGCGTGACGTGAATAGCGACTATGGGTCATCTTTGGATAATTCGATTCGAAATCGTGACCTAAAATTTCCAATTTTCTTTTCGGCTTTGGAAACCGCACAAGACAAACATCAAGATTGAATAGTAGATAAATTGAAAAAAACCATCAAGTTCGAGCTAAACTTGCCAGAAACTCCTCCCTATTCTGTGCGTTTGAGCGCATGCATCCTAGCATGCAGCTAGTGGTGGTGGTGCTTTCAACCTTCTGTACACCTCGCATAACCATGCAAAAGTGGGAGGAGCTCATCACGACGCCGACACCTTGGGGCTTAAGTACATCAGAAATGGCAATAGCAACTTCTTTAGTCAAACGCTCTTGAACTTGGAGTCTACGAGCGAACATTTCCGCCAGTCGGGCTAGTTTGGAGAGACCAAGGACACGGCGATCTGAGATATACCCGATGTGCATCTGTCTTATACTGTCAGTTCAATAAGCGAGCAATTCGTATTCAAGTCCACACCTTTCCAGTAAATGGAACCATATGATGTTCGCATAGAGAAGAGATATTGATATCTTTCACAATGACCATTTCATCATGTTGCTCTTGGAAAATAGCCCCATTAACCAGATCCTCAACTCTCTCCTCATAGCCCTTCGTGAAATATAGCATAGCCTTGGCGTATCGCTCTGGAGTCTGGAGTAGACCCTCTCGCTCTGGGTTTTCTCCGACGCACTTCAATATTATCCGCACAGCTTCTGCAAGGTTTCGAAATCGTTCTTCATTTTCGTCACCTATCGACCCCGGCTGGCTCTTTTTGCTTGGCGCTGGATTTATAATTTGGAAAGTATTAGCACAACCAGTCCGTAAAAGTTCGGTCTAAAACAGCTTACCAGGACAGCCCAGAGCATTAGGGTCGACTGGTGGGTTTGGATCATCAGCAAGAGCGGGAGGATTGACAGTCGAGTCCAAGGTCGAATGTCTACTACCATCTGGTAGATCACGGATAGACGTTGATTGGTCGTTGATCATTATAATACGAAGGGCCAAATAATATGTCTCAATAGGCTTGCACAGAAGCACTATATTACTAGTAGCTTCTGTGTTTGTTGGAAGGGAAAAGTGATGAAGAGCGACGAAACGAGATAGGACAACAGAGCATAAATGTCTTCCTTCGTTATATATAGTTGAGAGTCGTTACACCGAGCGAATAGTGCTGAAACGGATAACTACAGGTCGAAGAATTTACAATAAGACCTACAGCTGTCGGAGGGAGAATTACCGCCCAACTCGCGAGAGAGGCTTAGGGCTCTAGACCAGGGGTCAGTGCTTGATTGTATCATCTACTCAGATACTACCATGAAACTAGCTGCATTAAAGTGAAAGGGTATTATTACCCGTTATTACCAGTCACAAGATAATGGCTAAATTCTATTTGCACACACGCCGTCTCACGGAAACGAAACTCCACTTGTGCAAAAGTCGCACTCTAAATCCTTGTCCGATGGCAGAAGGCGGACATCTGTCGGTGTGAGATATCGCCCATGGTAGCTTTGGTAATGGCTTGATGTTAACCTATGAGTTTCACCCACGTAGACCCCTACTCACTAGGCAGGTGCTGGTTTGGGCTAAAATCGGAGCTTCGCCGTGAAGTTCTCTTCATCCCAACTAACAACCAGCCTGAGGAATCTTTCATAGATTGAAGAGCCTATATTGAGTATAATTTCAAGCCAAGAAATGACTGATCTCAACTATCTCCAGCAGGCTCTCCGGAAGGGGGCCTTTCAAAGCACAACATCCCTTCAAAAGCCGTTATCAGACGCACAATATAGCGCAGGATTTGATATCTTGGTGCAAGGCCCAGGATGGATCACTTATCGAGACTTCATTATCCCTCAGCTCTCCGAGCTCCTAGCGCCTTTTTACGCGTCTCGCATTCCTATCTCGGTGCTAGAAATCGGGCCGGGTCCAAAAAGCATACTTGGACATCTGCCGGCACATCTGAGAGCGACGGTGAGCACATACGCCGCCTTTGAGTCTAACGGTCTGTTCGCTACCGAGTTGGAAAAATGGCTTTGTGTCAAATCAATCAAAGAGCGCCCGTTGCCCAACCTGAAGCAACGACCGTCCATCCATCGGAAGCCATTCGTCCTGCAACACAGCGGTAGGGACAATAGTGGCAGTCTGAGCGAAGCTGACCAAAGATTCAACATCATCATACTCTGCCATAGCATGTATGGCATGAAGCCCAAACACCAGTTTCTGAAGCGAGTGCTGAATATGCTGGTTGGATTGCCTGAAGCTGGCATGGTAGTGATTTTCCATCGCGGTCGGTCCTTGGACTTCAACGGGCTGGTGTGTCACAAAATGGCGTCTTTTCCCACTGGGATTGTTTCTGTGGCGAATGAAGATGAGGAAATCGACCGCTTTTCTCGTTTCATGGCCGGGTACGTCATGCAGGATGAAGAGACCGACAAAGTCGTCCAGCTTGAATGGCGTAACCTGTGCCGCAGCCTGGCCGGTCGTGAAGAAGCTGAACCAGAACGTCTCATTTTCAGTTCACCCAACATCATGGCTTCTTTCACGAGACATGCAACCGCATTACAAGAGCTAGGGAGACAAGTCCCGTTTTTGCCAGGCAATGAGACGATCAAAAATCGAGAGGCACGCCTTCACCACCCCGCACGAATTATGAGACCGAGAGAGATCAGGCATGTCCAGCAATGTGTCCGATGGGCCCTAGAATATGGGCTTAATCTGACCATTGTTGGTGGGGGTCACAGCGGCCACTGCCTTTGGCCGAGTGTTGTTTCAGTCGATATGAGTGCTTTTAACCAGGTACATGTTGTGATGGCAAAGGGTGGCGAGGAGGATTCCGCTCCTGATTCAGAACTGTTAGTTGTTGCAGAGGCCGGCTGTAAGTCTGGAGATATTGTTCATAAAGCCATGTTAGAGGGCGTCACGGTGCCTCTGGGAGCTCGCCCAAGCGTTGGGTGCGGGTTATGGCTGCAAGGGGGCATCGGACATTTGGCAAGATTTCATGGTCTCGCGTGCGACGCCATCGTCGGTGCTGTGGTCGTCAGCGTTGATTCTGGCCGGGTCTTCTGCATTGGCCATGTTCCGAGCGCACACCAGCCTACCGCTGCTGAAAGACCCAGTAACGAGAGTGACTTGCTATGGGCAATTAAAGGGGCTGGCACCAATATTGGCATCGTGATCAGTGTTACTTTCAAAGCTTGCGTGGCTTCGCCAGTTTTGATTCGAAATTGGGATGTGCCGGTAAGCCACGGCATCGAGGTACGCGAAAAGCTTAGCGATTTTAACAAATTCGCGGGAGATCTTTCCCAAGACTGTTCAGCGGACGCATATCTATACTGGGAAACTGGCCAGATGCATCTTGGAGTCACTTTATTCGACACCAGTTCGGTTGAATCTACGTGTAAGGACTCAAGGTCAAAACACATGCTACCAGAAACCGTTTTTGGCCCAGAAAAGAGTGTCAAAGTCGTGGACAGCGTTGGTTTATTTGAAGCCGATATCTATGTGTCAAAAATGCACGGCGGGCATGGGAACGGCAAAACGTCCTCTTTCAAGCGATGTTTGTTCTTGAAAAATATTGGAGCACTGAGCATTACGGACTGCTTAGTGGCGGCAATTGAGAATCGTCCGACATCGCTTTGCTACGTCCATTTACTGCAAGGCGGGGGGGCGATCCGTGAAGTGGCGGCCGATGCGACCGCTTTTGGCTGCAGGGATTGGGACTTCGCCTGTGTCATCACCGGCGTCTGGGCTCGCAGCCAAGATGGGACCAAATTTGCTCAAGCAGCCACGCAATGGGTCTATAGGGTTACCCGCGATCTCCTCCCTTTCAGTAGTGGAGTTTACGGTGCAGATCTTGGGCCAGATCCCAGAGACGCCTTGCTCGCAGCTCAGGCGTTTGGGAGGAACCGGAATCGCTTGGCTTGCCTAAAGCAAGAATCAGATCCAAAGAACGTGCTGGCATACGCCTGTCCACTTCGGAAAGTAGCGATGGAACAAACCCTGATAATCCTTGTTACGGGAGAAAACGGCGCCGGCAAGGACTACTGCGCTAGCATCTGGGCCTCCATATTCATAGCGCATAACCCTGAAGGTCTCAAGGTGCGCGCAGTCAGCATTAGCGATGCGACGAAGAGTGAGTACGCAATAGCAACAGGCGCCGATTTCAATCGCTTGCTTGAAGATCGTGCCTACAAAGAGCAGCACCGACCAGCGCTCACAAGGTTCTACCGCGAGCAAATGCAGGATCGGCCGGGGTTGCCGGAGGAACATTTCTTGGACATCGTGCGTGACGCCCAAGAAGTTGACGTATTGCTAATCACCGGAATGAGAGACGAGGCACCAGTAGCAGCCTTTTCGCATTTGGTACCCAGTAGAAAATTGCTGGAGGTCCGCGTCCAGACCATTCACGAGGCGGGGCGTCCTACAGGAGAGTCCCATCGCGATAATGATTTTGAGTGCCACTGGGAAGCTGAGAACTATAACAAATACGCCCCCAGTCTAGAAATTCATGACGGCCGTCCAACCTTCGTATTCTATAACGACCATATGGGAAGCCAAACAGCAGCAGATTTTTGTCAGAACTCTCTGCTTCCATTGATCGAAGAAGATTTTTTCCGGCTGGCCAACATGGTTCGCTCGGTACCTGACTTCCCATGCCAAGGAATTGAGTTCCGTCACGTGCTCAATATCTCCCAGCAGCCTGGCGGGCTAGCCCTTTGTACTTCTTTGCTGCAAAAGCACTTCACAAGCGATTGGACCCAGATTAAAGCCATCGCGTGTTGTGAGACTGGTGGCCTTATTTTTGCCTCGCCGTTGGCTACACAGATGGGGATACCTTTAGCCCTGATTCGCGAAGCCAGAAAGCTTCCTCCGCCCACCTTTTCGGCTGGCATGAGTAAGTCGCACATCTCGTCAGCAGCGTTTGAAAGTCCATACGAGAAGCTCCTCGAGTTGGAGAGGAACCTAATCCCCAAAGGAGCTTCAGTAGTGGTAGTTGACGACGTCCTCGCTACGGGAAAAACGCTTTGTGCGGTCCTGACTTTATTAAAGAAAGCTGGCATTGGTGCCGAGAACGTCAGCATTATCGTGGTGGCCGAGCTTCCCATTCACCGTGGCAGAAAAGCTTTGCGGGAGGCTGGATTTGGCAGGGCAAGCGTTCAAAGTCTTTTGGTTTTTGACGGTGCTTAAAAATGGATATGCTACTGTAGTCTTAGGTCTCTGATTCAGTTGAACTTCTAATACCCTGTCCGATGGGCGTTATGCCCCCACTCGTTCTCTCCTAAGTACTGGCGGCTATTGTGCCAGAGACCAGTACGTGACCCAGTAAATTCTTCTGTTGCCATCCCATGATTGTCGTTGGCTGAAACCTGGGCAGAGAGTACTATCTTGCAGTGCGCTGCTGCTTTCCAACCCTCTTCAAATAATATTGCCAGCTTCGAGTAGCTTTGTAATACTGCCCCTTGAGGAGTGAAGGAGGTCATGATAGAGCACAAGGAATACCACGCAATTTCCCCTTGGCGTATAGGTTCAGCTATTAATGTGCTATATTAGTTCACAAGTATGATCGGTCCTATTAGAAATGATAGGGGAGATCCATAACCCCAGTGAAAAACTGTTCCTCATTGCACGGCGTCTTTGAAACCCTCGAAAACTCCCACACCTACCTACTGCGGAGGGGAAAATGGCCCACAATAGGGAAATCTCTGATTGGACGATATCTTTCTAGTACACAGTCTTCACAGGATATAGCTTCGCATCTCCGATACGGAGAGAATCAACTTTCACACACTCTTCGCTTCATCTGCTTCTGCTCTCCCTTTTGGGAGGCTTCCTCTATCGTGGTGTGTGGTGGTTTGTTGGTCTGTTCGCTGACTTATCTAATCCTGCCCGCATGTCTCAGGCTTGTCGTAGAGCGCCCTGGTTCACTACATAGAAAGAATGGTTGCGATCCAGGCCAAAGAGGGAACAAAGATAGACGCAGGACAAGCAGCTGCGTTAAACGGGGACGGGTTCTTTGCGTTTGCCATTGGGTTAAACCCTGATATCCACGGCTACACTGGTAGGCACTGTAGTTGCCTTTTATAGGGGGCATGATAACCAAGTGGAGAATACTAACGATAGCTGCGACGCTGATAGGGAATTTAAAAGGAATGAAGATAGAACAAGAGCTGAAGCCGGAGCCTCCATCAAATATTGGAAGGAATCTTATGCCCATTTCGGTGGAAAATGATACAGGAGATATTGGACCCGGAATTCAGACCTCGTGGTATTGAAGCTTTGAAGATTGGCCGCATGAAATGAACCATTGAACACGCCATTGACAAGCCCAAAAAGCTTACTGAAATGGTGGAAGTCGAGGACCAGGCAATGCAGCGAAATATGCAACACCTGAAAGGAAGAATCAACACTTAACCCAATTGTTTGCGTTTTAATTTAATATCAGCTAAAGATCATTTAGTTTTCATAGTAGAAAGGGGCGAGATATGATGAATGAAAATAGTTACCCTTCCCTCTTCTAACTACCAAAAATTGTGAGGCAGAATGCCCTAAGTTCTAGTAATATTAGTGATGCATTATTGAAACAAAGATGATGTATGATACCAATTGCAGCCTAGAAGCACCGACATAAGCGGAATTAGGAGAGTCCTAATCCACGGCCGGAAAGAAAGGACTAGCACACTGTTTTTTCAGCAAACCTGAATGATGTTTAAGGTCTATTTCATTAGTATTCAGTTCCAAAGAAATTTTGTGCTAGCAAACTGTGTATTGTTTAGTGCTGGAACTGCCGTACTCGCATGGTAGATCTGTCCAGGATAGAGACCTAGAGAAGAGGAACCCCTCGAGGGTGCTTTTTGATTACGACTAAACATTATGAACGAATACTAAGAAGTCAAGCTCTCCTGGCATTATGCTGATGTATGGTAGGGTCGCGCAACCTTGGGTCTATTTGTGTGGGTGTCTGAGAAGGCGTTTGGCAGGGGACTATAAAATTTGTGTATAGTCACCTCAGGGTCCGCCATGGTCGTGATAAGCTCCTCCACAGAAATTCATACTCCGCTGAACCGTGGTCATCATAGAAGATGCTGAACCATGGCCAGAATGGCAATAATTGGCTAGAGACGTCTGATGCTGACATTGCCGTCATAAGCGCCGCTGTGTCCAGTGCTGCACGTGGTTGTGAGAGCTATCCCTGAATCAGTAGTAAATGCACATTACGGTCATCGTCTGTTTCAAAATCTTCAGTACGGTATCAGAACATTACTTAAGACACTGGGATAGCGATACCTACTATTTAATTCGCAGTTCATGCAGGAGGCCACTCATGCAGGAGGCCACCCATGCGGGAGGCCACCCATGCGGGAGGCCACCCATGTGGGAGGCCCCCTATGCGGGAAGCTATTCTTGTGGGTGGGCATTCGTGCGCTAATAATAAAGTGTAACAGTCAGGATTCCTCCAATCAGTGGCACTTTAATGTAAAGCAACATTTGTTGCTTCTAGACAGTATCCCGAATAGAGGCTTGTTCTCTATTGATCTTGTTGATCAAAGCTTACGAGCCTGTGATCACAGCCCTTCCGACACAGCTCTATATTATACTCACCGCAATTGCATCTTAATTGACCGGAGGGTACTTAATACAGTGCCCGGTTATAAGAGTAAGTCATTGGAATCATACTAGGGAAATATTTCTCGATATAACAACTCCAAAATGTCCTCATCTATGTGTCATGAGAATCGACTTGGTATGTCTCCGAGGAAGCATACTGTTCTTGCTGCCACCAACTATCAAGAAATATCAGAGAAAAATCTAACGAATCCAAGATCAAGATTTGACATATCATTTGAGTTTGCTGAAAATTGGCAACTCAGATGATGAATGTGATGAAGCCCTTCTCGCCCCCATTTTGACAAGTGCAGTGCTCAAACAACCTGCACTCGCTCCATTGCAATATGGGTTTCTGGGGGGTGTAAGAGAGATCGAGATAGCTCATCAAATTGATACAGAGACTAAACAACCGAAAGACGACCCCCGGTTGTTTTTCAATGTCTCATCTCCCTCTAGCGTGTTTATCTGTGGGTCCCAGGGCTCTGGAAAAAGTCACACACTGTCCTGTCTACTCGAAGGATGTTTGATCCCCTCCAGAGCTGGGAAGCTTTTAAATCCACTCACAGCTGTTGTCTTTCATTACGATACATTCATCTGTGATAATGGTGGCTCACCCTGTGAAGCTGCTTTCCTGGCGTCTCATCCAAGCATCAAGGTCAGAGTCCTCTGCGCTCCAACAAATCTCCGGACTATACAGGTAAGGTGAGCATAAACGCTATTTTTATCATCACTCATAATGCCACAGGGAACCTATTCAAGATTCAACATCAAAGTGGAGCCTTTACAGATAGACCAGTCCGATCTAAACACAAAACGTATGTTGGATCTTATGGCAGTCGATCGCGATAATGGTGTGGTTCCATTATACTTGCATACGGTACAGCGAATCTTGCGGGAAATGCGGCTGTTGCAGCAAAGTGCGGGATCCCAATTTGACTATCAAGATTTCAAGAGCCGAGTCCTTAGTTCAGGACTTCTGGCGGGTCAACTTGAGCCTTTGAAGCAGAGGCTGGATACCCTTGAAAGCTTCATGGTACCCCTACAAGCAGGCGCAAGCTACCAAATGAAAGGAAAATCTAAAAAAAGCAAGGCTGGCTCCAGCTGGATCCCAAAGGTAATTTTCTTTAGCACTTTCCCAGTTGCGTCAAAAGCTCATGGCATCAGGTCTCGCAATTGACAATTGTTGACCTTTCGTGTCCGTGCATCTCACCCGACACGGCCTGCAGCCTCTTCAACGTCTGTTTTGGAATTTTCATGGAGCAGGAAACCAAGATTGGTAGGATCGTAGCGCTTGATGAGGCCCATAAGGTGCGATTTACCACTGACATCGGAATGACATTGACATTAATTGGCTTCCAGTACATGAAGGATTCCGTCGAAGCACAGGGATTTACCGATACTCTCCTCTCAACCGTTCGATTACAACGTCACCTCGGAGCCCGCATCTTGGTATCGACACAAGAGCCAACAATCTCCAGTGACCTTCTAAGTCTGTGCTCCGTCGCTATTGTCCATCGGTTCTCATCGCCTGCATGGGCACACACACTGCAAGCTCATGTGGCTGCGGTAGCCTTGAATTTGCAACCAGCAAAGGAGAAACAGGCAGATTCTGAGCAAGGAGCCCTCGGAATTCCCACAAAGCTATCTATCTTCCACAGAATTGTAAACCTACAAGTGGGTGAGGCGTTGCTCTTCTCTCCTAGTGCTATGGTCGGTGTTACGCCTAACCCAACTGATTCTCCTGGCATGATCAAGCTAGGTTCGGGTTATATGACAATCAAAATAAGAGACAGGCTTACAGAGGATGGTGGTAGAAGTGTTTTATCCTCTTAGATACAGTCGAAAGTTCTCATACAGATGGCGGACCAGGTTCCTGTCAACGCTTATATAATGTCGTAGGTATTTAGTCTGGAAATAAACTTTCTAGAACACCGATTACAAATGTTGCATTGATAGACTTATGCAACAGGTATGCGTGGTTCTTCGGCAGATTCCTATATAACTCCCGGTGTAAGTAGCTGGTAGTACGTTGTCGACCTTTCAATAGGGACCACCCTTGGTGGATGATTTCATTCTTGCTTCTACTGGACGTAGATGTCCCGACGAATGAGTGCTCTCTTTCCTTGTGAGAAGCGGGCGGAAAGGATGGGTTTTGCCTAGGCTGGCGGCGTTCTTGGCTAGCTGGTCCACAGCATCCTTTCCAGGGTCGTCAGAATGGCTTGGCACCCATTGGAGGCGGAGGGAGATTCCCTCCATTAGAACCTCAGTGGCAGCTTGGAGGATCGCGTGGACGATCCGTTATCCTGATCTGTTTCGCGCACTCTCCGTTGTCTGCAGCGATGATCTGCTGTCGCACGGGATTGTTGCTGTCTGACGTTGGTCTGCGGTAATTGAGTGTTCATAGGCCACCTTGAACACTACGCCAATTGCATGAAAGACGCCTATAAGCTCCGCCACATGGACCGACCAGTGGTCCATCGGTACCACCTGGACCTGTTGGGATTCGGCGATCTCCAGGTTGTCGTCGAGCGCCACAACGGCGGCCCGAGGGTAGCCCTCACGTCTCGAGGCGTCCGAGTAGACGACGATGTCAGGCGTGGACCGCGTGGTCTCGGCCCGATCTCTTGCCGTTTCTCGGTCTGTCCCGACCTCAATCTCCGCGAAGGCCTCGGCTCGCCACGGTAACCTAATCAGGCTTTGATGGAACTGACAAGCATAGTTTCGGCAAACATTCGCAATGAATCTTGCAGCTTTTGCGAGTCTCAATTAGTTGGAGAGGGATGAAATTGTGGAAAGTGCTTCTGCGGTACTTTCGTGCTATGTGCACCTAGAGGAGCTGAATTCCCTTCCCTTAGTAGCTGCCTAGTTAGCTCTTGAAGATTCAGTTATTGGGAAAAGATTCATTTATTGGAATAATCTACTTCTACTATCCTTCTCTGATTCAACAACGATTTAATATTGTATTCAGTTTTCCTTACCTGACCAACAGGCCGCTCCACTGCAAGTAGCACCTTAGCAGTGATCGCAAGAGGGAGCAGCGAGCTTTTATCTAATTCTAGTGAATAGTGCTAAACCTAAGAAATCTCTTCTAGAGGGTAACCAAGCCTCTCTCGATTGCAAGACTTTATATCGTGGAGATATTGTTAACATAGACACTAGATATACGTAGCATCTCGCCCAGCAACATTTCTAACATCCGGTGGCTTAATAATAATTGGTTTGTTGTCGTATACTATTAGCTATATATACGAGGGACTATACATGATAAGACCTTTAATAACTTATAATCGATTATAATATAATCTCTATTATATTAGATTTCTATTCTATAATTTGGAATACGCTACTATTTATCACGCTATATTTCCACTTTATCTCTTGGCTTAGATTTACTATTCAATTATCCTTTATAGGGATCTTAATAGGTACCTATCTTCCTATAGCTAGGCTCCCTTTATTATTTTTTCTATATCGATTACTCTTCTCTAGAGACGCTGGACTGTATCTAACTTTTCTTTTTAAGATTATACTTCTCGAAGTATTTAAGTTCCTACTCCTAGTCTACTAGGGTTATATTTGAAACTTGTGTCGTCTGGTACTACAGGACAAGGTGGGTTTTGTTTCCACTGTTGTGAGATGATTTGCTAAGGAAGAATGAAGCATCTTCTGCATGGGCAGTGATTTCTTCTGGAATGAGTGTAATGCCCCTCTTAATGGCTCTGACTAGTGAAGCGTGTTATTTATACGAATCATAGGTTATCCAGAATATATTAAATCGTCGAGATGCTATCTTTGCCGCTTCGGAGTACCTCGCAGACAGACTTGCGCACTATAAATTGATTGATGCAAACTATAGAAACCATGACGTCGGAAGTGATCCGACGTCGGAATTGACTTGATGTGGCAATTTGAGATACTTACATAAACTTGCCTGATTAATATTGACTTAGATTGTTAATGTCTGGATCGTATATTCTCATTTGGAGAAAAGGGGTTTTCAGAGCTTCAGCAGAGGATTGGTACAGGCTGCTGACAAAGAATCTTTCCTGAAAGTTGCTTTCACATGTAGAACTTTTTGCCCCCCAAGAGAGCACAAAGACAGATTTCGGGGGGAAGATCGCCCTAAGTCCTATTGATGTCCTTTTTGGGTAAAGGTGTTATGGCTAGAGGTCAAGTAGGAGTACCAGGGGATCGCTGCTTTGATGCTGTCTTTGTGCGCAGCACCAAACGAGCAAAATTGACCAAGCGATGATCCAATCATCCTTGAGATCTGGCTTTGAAGCTACCTAGAAAATTCTGGAGCCATGTAATCCCTAAATCCGAAGTGCCAAGCTGAATAGTATTTTAACAACGCCTCTACCTGCCTGCTATTCCGACGGTGGTCGCAATATACCAAAGCCTTCTTATCTATATACACACACGAAACGAATACAGTTCATTTGAGAATATTATTGATATGAAGTTCTTGTCCACTATGAAAATCCTCCAAATTACCACCTTTCTAACCTTATTCACCCTGCTTTGGAGCGCGACGGCGGGGCCGCTTGTTGCCCGCGAGACCGACCACCTTCCTGCATGCATTCATAAATGGAATTTCAAGCCAATTAACTGTGCATAAAAGGGTCTCAAGAGGAGAACTGAATAAATGTGAGAGCCATGTCGACATTGTTTATCAGGTCTCACAGCGCTAACATGCCAAGAACAGGAAGAGACCTTATCAACACGTCAACTTAATTTGGAATATTTATCATACGGAGAAAAAGGCCGTCTTCAAAGAGCCGAGGCAAATTAAGGAGATATATAATACACAAATTTGAGTCATCTCCGACCAATATTGGATCCATGGCTCTGGATATTAATTCATGGTCCTTAGCTGCTTCATGTTCAGTTTTACTTGAAAGTCTTCAGTAATTTTTGAACTCAGTTTGAGCCATGTATGACACAGCTTAGGACTTATTATGGTAGTACTGTATCAATTTATCGAAATTCTCAGATTTGTTCGATAGATCTGGCGATCTAGCAAGATTGTCTGGCTGGTTTCCGATTTTCCACCAGTCCCATGTTGCCGCTTCTCTTCATTCTTCCTGAGTCTAGCACAGACTTCATTGTTTGCTGGGGGAGCGAATATTCCACCCAATATGAGCTAGATATGGACAGGTTGGTTGGGTAATGAAGCTAGCAACGTACTTGAACGGAATTGAAATAATTCTTATATACGGACTAGAGTCTAGTCATCTATATATCGATCTATTTACAGCTCAAAAAGCTTGAGTATCCAAACGTATGTCATGTAGTGGAATTTAGATATCCGCCAACAAGCTCGCACACCTCTGGGCCGAGTCTTGTGTACTCTTGAACGTAAATTTAGCCTCGTTGCCAGAGCCAATATGAGCAAGAGTGGGGCCTAGATCAGAATTAAAGGGTTATTCTTAGGTGAATGAATATACAAGACGCACCATGAGGGTTATAGGTTGGCCACCCTTGCCTTTTCAATCCATTCTGGGGATCTGCGATAAATGCCGCCCATGCAGACCGCACCTTGGTTTTCAATTGGCTCTGTGCCTTTGACTCAGCAATACCAGTAATCTCAGAAGACTGTCCGTATATCATGTTTAGCTCAGAGCCGTGGTAAGCACCGCTAGTTGGGTAAAGCCGAGTGTTCAGCCAATCTGCGTCGTACTGAAATCGCCAGGCGGGAGTGTGTTGACGCCTTCGGTCCGCTGCTTCAAGATTAGATGGACAGAAGAAAGTTTCCATATTGAAGTCATCCCATTGCTGGTCGGTCAATATGTTGCCTGAAGCGTAAGCAGAAATTTTGTAGAAGCCTGCTTCATTCTCGTTATGGCCAACCAAGTAAGGCTGTGTCTGGGATTAGCAGCTTTCCAAAAAAAGTCCGTAAGGGTTGACTCACAATGCGAGCAAATTTCCCCTGCGAGGAGAGTGTTTTATAATTATCAAAAACAGTCACATTATCGACAGTAGGCTGGAAGGCTGGGTTTTTCCGCGCAGGGTTTGTGGTGGGAACCTTGACAGCGCTAGCAGCCGCGAGGATGGCGTTCGCCTTCTGCTCTCTCATGCAGGGCAGAACATCCCCTGAAGACCCACATCCTAAACTTTCGGAAACAGTATACCAATGCTTGGCTGCGAATGTTTGATTGTTTGTCCCAAAGCTGAGAGCTGTTCCAGAGTGTGAGATGAATCCTGCCACCAATGGATCGGATGGATACGCATATGCCCAATAATCGACAGATGCACTACCACAAGACTGGCCAGAGATCGTGATGCGCTTAGGATCACCTCCAAATCCCCGGATGTTCTCCTTCACCCATTCGACAGCAAGACGTTGGTCCAGAAGCCCAGGATTAGGGGGATGGCCTGGCAAACCAGGAAATCCGAAGATGTTCATGCGATAATTAACGGTCACCACTAGTACATCTTCTGCCTCCGCGAACTCACCCCCGTAGTAGAAGGCCGTGTCAGTTGTGCCGCTTGTCCATCCTGTTCAAATTTAGAACCAACCAAAGATTCTTTGGAGGGATTTGCAGAAAACATACTGCCCCCGTAAAAATGGACGTAAACCGGCTTCAGAGCCTTATTCTGCTTAGGTTTCGACCAGATATTCAGCGTTAAGCAGTCTTCACTTTGAGTGTTATTATTAATGGCTGCGAATGCCTCGAAGACGCTGTCGAACTGCTGCGTTTTGTCCGGGTAGTCGACCAGACTAGACACTGAGTACATGCAATCCCTGTATTCCGGTCAATTGGCGAAGGACGTGTCAGATTATTGCATGAGGCTTACTTTCCCTAAGATAAAACGTTAAGATCTGCTTTTATAAGAGTAGCAAATTTTGAGCTCATACATAATCCGCTGCAACCTGAAAGCCCGACTGAGTGTAAGGTTGGGGTGGCGCAAACCGCAGATCGCCTACCGGGGGCTGCGCGTAAGGAATCCCGAGCCATTCAACGACCCCGGGATTCTTCGAGGACTCATGCCCACGGATCCGTCCACTGGTTGCGAGTCGCACCTCTTGTGCAGAAGCAACGGCTAAGAGTGCGAACACAATTGACTTCATCTTGCATGGAACACAGATAAAGAAAAGGAAAGTTTATTAGGAGTGCACTGCAAGTATTTTAAATAGCGCGTGCAGTCATACAATCGAAGTGGGCCCTCGCATGTCTTGGCAAATCCTGGTCAATTCCACACATAATCGTAATGTTGCAATATGTTCGTCGTTTCATGTTCATAAACTTTGATTTCGCCCCCACGTTTACGCCTCTCAAGATCGAGATCCAAACCAACGAATCGACGAAGTGATCCTTGGCCTCTCGTTAGCTTGATTATAGAGAAAGAGGCGCTCGTTATTGTTTCTATGGCCTAATGATACATACAGGTTTTCCACTTCCTTCATGAATCTTGCCTTTTGTACAAAGATGTGAAATATGGTGTTTTACGGCCAGACAGTGGACGATATTCCCGATAGGGGTTATGTCCTCTTCATCATAGCGCTGGTGATGGTTCTCATTGCTGCGATATTTGTGGGGATTCGGCTCACGACTCGGATTTACACGACACAGCTTGGCTGGGATGATCTTTTCTTGACCATCGGCCTTGTGGCCTCGGTGCTGACAACGGCAACAATCAATTTGGGCAAGTGATGTCTCTGTTCCGAAAGCTCGTGAATTGGTCAATTAACTGGACCTCCTAGCGGTGGTACATGGCTATGGAAGACACCAGACGGACCTAGGAGAGAGCCGGAATGCAGCCTATATGGTATGTGATCAATAATTTCACCTCGATCAAATTCTCACATATCATCAGTGGTTTTTTATTGCCCAGACTCCCTACAAACTTGCCCTCGGTTCCACCAAAGCGTCAATTGTCCTTCTTTATCTACGGATCTTCATCACACAAACCTTTCAACGCGTGGGAAAGGTGTACCTTGGAGTTATCGGTGTATGGACAGTTGCCTCGGTCCTTGTCACTATTCTTCAATGCATACCTATCCAGGCATCGTGGGATAAGAAAATTGTCAACAAGGCCTGTGTGGATAAAAACGCATGGTGGTATGCGTTTGCAACAATCAATACTGCCACCGATTTCTTGATCGCAATCCTCCCAATACAGCCAATTCTCCATCTGAACCTTGCTAAACGTGATAAGCTGGGATTATTGTTTGTTTTTGGCGTTGGAGCCTTGTAAGCTCAAAAACCCTCCCACTGATAGTGATTATCACTCTAATTGTTGTGTTGAACAATAGTGTCTGCATAACTAGTATCCTTCGCACTGTTGCGGTATCCCAGACTTCGACCGGGTTGGATCAAAGCTGTGAGTTTATCGAAAATAATCGAGATGAGAAATTTGACAAAAATCATTGACTCAATACTTGATAACAGGGGACTTTATTCCTCGCTCAGTGTGGACTCTGGTCGAATGTAATATGGGAATTATCTGCGCCTGTCTCCCTATGATGCGTCGTCCCCTGAGTTACCTATTCCCCAGCCTTTTCAGAGGGACCACGAAGGATGTATCGGACAGGTCAAGATATCCCCCCATTGAACTCACAAATGCTAATCACTTGCGACGCTTAAGAGCAAGCCAGAGCCAGGAAGAGATACTCTGCGATATTAGGGCTGAGAATACTCCAAGTGAAGGCCAGGATGCCTACATCTCTGTGACTACGGATATTCAGCAAAGCGTTGTCAAGTTACCAGATGGTGGGGAACTGAAAATCATAGATACCTTGAAAGAATAAATTCTTGGAACCGGCCTCCTTTTCGATTGCAACGTTCTGATCCTGATTAAATTCTATTGTAATTGGCCCCCAAAGTCTACATCAATCCTTCTGATGAGAAGCCAATCATAGATTTTGTTGAGGCGATAGTCGAAATTCTTGCCTAGTATGGAAGTTCCGTGCATCGGAGCAATCGGGAAAAATTCCTAAAAAGGCCTGCGCAGAGAGGCCTAGAAAACAAACTTGGCAGCATCGACCTCCGTATTACCTATAAGGGGAGGAAAAGGATGGTTCAAATTCACGGGATGTACAAACTACCCCAGGCGTCCTCCGCTAATCAGTAATATTTAGCATTTGCTTTTGAAAACTTCACACCGAGACCAGGGGCACCAAAAATCATTGAAGGACAGTCTCGGAGCTGCTGATGAGTGCCAAGAGGGACTGGGCTCATGTCACACGATGTTGCGAACCCTGATAGATTATCTGGTCTCGCTTTTCATTAGAAGTAAAAGGAAACGCAGACCGAATCAGATATTTCTCTGTCTTATCTCTCAATCCGGAAACTCTTAATTTGATAAGTCGTAAAAAGTCAAGCCGAAAGAAGCGCACCATCAACAGGATCCATTCAGGATCGCAAAAATGAGTTCCCTCGACGCTATTCGTGGACGGCATTCCAATGTGCCTTTCGTTGATTACTCTACATGCAAAAGTTGGCAAAGCTATTGGCGGAGCTGTTTGTGCAAGCATATACAACAGCTTTCAGTCTGCATTTGCAAGTAAATTGCAGGCAGGTATGAAATCCCAGGCCGGGACGATATCATTTGGAAGAATTACCTGCCAGCCGAACTACACTGTCAGTATACCGGCTCGCGAAGCTGCTGCATACGCGCGGGGGTGGACACAGACAGAATTGCATTAGATCCAAATGTAATATTGTCTTTGAATTCCCTATCAATGCTCATACATTTTATTCCAATAGCAATTACCCATCTAGTCTATATATCTATACAACCATATCTCTCTGTCAAAAAGGTTTCATCTGGAGATGTCGAGTGACAACTCCAAGACCAGGCGAATTAAAAGCTAATAAGCCTTTTCAGTTATTGATCGTAGCGTCATCACACGTCATTAGCACAAGACCAAGCTTTAGCCCCCGAGTCTTCGTGAATTGCAACGCCAGAAACCCACAATCCCAAACCACACTGCAGAAAGTCAGATATGAGCCTAATAAAGATAAAGAAACTCTCGATGAATGTGTGATAAACTTACAATAGCACATGCAATAGCCAAAACCAAAACATTGATGATCGTCAAAAACGTCTTCCTAGCGTTTTGGAAGTACTTTCCACGGTTCATATGGAACCAAAAGATAGCAGGCAGTCCGACTGGGAATGATCGAGATTAGACTGGATTGTATCTCTTGAAAAGGGAGTGAATATGACTGAGACTTACAGCTGAACCAACTTCCAAAAAGCGCGCTCTAGTAGAAACCATTGTGTTAGCCTAAATTTGAGATCCAAGTTGCGAGTGTCTCAAAGACTTACGATAAGACTGAGCAAATCGTTGAATACCGGAATCGACTCCGCCACAACCCATGAAATGACCCAGACACCCAGACAAATGGCGACCCAGGTTCCAATGGAAAGGAAACTGCGGCTATGCATCTTGTCAGATCCACGGAAAAGCCGCACGTAGATGTATTTGCATGCAACATGACCAAGAACAACTCCCGACAGAATCGTCTGTGTATAGTTAGATTTTGGCACTAAGTATGTGGTGAGATACGAGAGAACTTAAGGAACTCACAGTTGGAATGGCAAGACCCCAAGCGACCTTTTTCATGACAGGACTCAAAGACAAGATTGCCGGCGATTCCACACCGGGCCCAATGTAGCGGTAGATAATCAAGGCACTAATCAGATACAAGACCGTGTCGACAATTTGAAGCATGGCTAGTGACTTGTTGAAGGTTCGTGGATCCTCAGTCTCAGACATGAAGCCGAAGTATGCGACGTGAGCGACTAATTGACATTTGGGTTAGTTTCCTTATTTGTTGCCATAAAAACGAAGCAACGGCAGGCGATAATCATGAAATATCGCCTTCATTTAAGCGGTTCAACTTACGGTAAGCGAAAATAATGTTGGTGACCGCAAGAAAGCCTTCACGGAACCCGACATTTGTGGTGGAATAAAGCGGGATGTCGCCTTTGCTCTCGACACCCGCGCTGACCATGGTCACCACCGTCGCGATGAAAACGCTTAGGAAAGCTTGAGAGAGATTAACTCTGTGATCCAAAAGATCTGGGCGTCCATATCAAACAAATGAAACCACTCACAAATGACAGACATCAAGTAAACCTTGTCCATAGTCCGGGGCAAAGCACCAAGGAAGCAGATAATCAGTCCAACCACACCAAAAACGAGAGTGCATGTGCCGTGGTCGGTCAGCACATTCATCAAGATATTAAACATTAAAATGTTACTGGCCATGAGAAAAATCAAGAGCAGCAACTGGCCGATTCCCAGTAACTCGCGACCGAAACGGCCCATCAGGAGCTCGCCGGCGTCTCCCATGCTGTGAATTTGGGGATGACGGAGCTTGTACTGGCCAATTTCGTATCCCGTATACCACGAGAGGGCAGAGATGAACACAATCATGATTGCAGCGCTGTGTCTCAATGTTAGCCACGACACCTCACAAATTAAAGTTTCTGAAAGTCAAAATTGACATACGGTGCCATTCCCAAGGTGGCCACAGCAGACGGAAGAGACAGAATGCCGACTGAGACGTTCTCCGCAATCATGACTGGAAACCTGTGTTAGAAGTAATTGTTTCGATTGCATTGCAATTAGAATCTAAGACTCACGCATTCCACAGTGCCTAGTGTTCTATGATTAGCGTTCTCCATAAACTAGTTTATGTCCCCTGGCAAGGAAGAGCCATTGACTTACCACCACTTCATGGTACGGTACTTGACCTCAGCCTTGTCCTCATTTCCAAAAGGCTCCAGATCGGCTGCTGATAGCTCATTGTCGCCATCTTTCTGAAGAGACTCATCGGTGACCCTCTTTGCCTCAACGGCATATGACTCTTCGTCACTCATGGCGGGCAAAGTTTGGTTCTGCTCGGGATTTCTTCGGGGCGAAATATTGGCGAATTGCAGCCCGCGGGGAATCTACTCAAGACAACTATGCCAGCATTGATCAGTTAGACATATGATTCAGTAGTCAGGCTCTCTTTGAGAATTTGCATGCAATTGTACCCCAGCCAGCCAAGGAAAAATCTGAAAGCCCTCTGGGGAATTGAGTGGAGCCCGGATTTTCCTCGTACCGCCTACCGCGTGCCGAATGAGTTGATGGATTGTCGTCGGGCGATGCCGAAGCCGGCGAAATCTCTTCTCCGCGGCTTTGCCGATCGCCAAATCTGAAATTTTGCCCGGGTTGCCGATGGTGACGCGCGAGACGAGTGATGAACGATTGTTGGACGAGTGTTGAATCTGCAATCTCGAAAGCCGGAAAAGAAATCTAACCCAACAGACAACTTCATGTTGTTTTGTCGTGTGTCGCTGTTGACTATTTCGTCAATGTCGGATCGGGAAACTACCATGAATTCTTCGTCTTTTCCGCTTGTTTCCCGATGGAACAATTTATGAACACATTTACGAGCACGGCCCATTCAGCAGTCCAAAATTCCATACAAAAACTGTCTCAGTGGGTTTGAAATACCGAGCTCTAGGATTTTCACTCTGAAATTATTAGAAAAAGTACACGAAAAGTATATCATTAGCCGCTGACAACTATGGGTTCACCCTCAAACAATTCCATAAACGAGGTGTGATAAATAGTTGCCAGCTCAACATCAATGATTCCGAGGGAGCCTGAACGAGGAATTATTCTAACAACATCAGAGACAATGAGCCTTCAATGAAAAAAAAAAAAAAAAAAAAAAAAACAAAACAAAACAAAACAAGCGAACATCTTGGCTTTGAGATCTGTTGTCGAACTTCAATCGAAATATCTGCCAAGCTATTCGTTTCTCACCTCCTTCTTCCATGCTCTTCCCATCTGTAGGGTGATTCAGTTGCAATATCGAAGAAAAGTATCAGAAGCCGTTTTATCGGTCAGGAAGTAAGTGAAGCAGGGGACAATGCGGCTGGTTATAGTAAATTTCAACCACCATCGCCCATCCCCCCGGGGGGAGGAGGACGGGCCGCCACGAAGCGAGAGAGGAGAGCTGAAGACTGACGACTTGCTTGATCGGACTAAGATCAACATCTTCTGCTTGAATTCGTGTCTTCCCCGGCATTGCCACCCGCAAAAATCCCCGATCGAGAGAGTCTTAAAGGCTGTGGGCCTTGTGAGAAGAGACGATATCTAGTGAGATTTGTAGGAAGATCTAAGCTAAGTCTTCCTGCTTCTCAGTACTCACATTATTCGAGCGCAACTTTGGCAGGCGGGAGTGAAAGAGGATGGATATAGAGAAGAGTTTGCCGCCTCCCTGTGAAGCAACCTTTACTTTGTGTTTACCACCCTTAGCGGAGAATTATGGGCCCGACACAGACTCATTTGGATGTTTGTAAATTTAAACTAGGGTCGCTGTCTCAATGTGGCCTCAACGATTGGCTGTCAGGCCATCCTCATCGCTTAATCATTGCCGTAGGCCTCTTCGAAAACCCTTGATCCGACCAGGCGAACAGGATGCAAGTTTGCAGTGACCTTAAAAAAGAACAGAAAAGCAAAACCCTCATTCAGTGGCTTCTCTTCCGAAGAGGCTCCATGAGCATATTGAGGCCCAAAATTCAAAAACTAGTTCAAGTGCAGATTGTGGTCATCAAATCGTCAGTTTTCAGCTCAGTTCGCTTCAAATCCAGTCTCCTAGAGTTTCTCAGATTGAGTCAAGGGTATGCCTGTTATATGGGGATTTACATGCTGAAAGACATTTGTCATGCTGGAGGGTGGTAATAAAAAACAGTGTAAAAACAGTGTTTCGGGAGAGCTGGGGAATGACGGGAAGAAAATAAGGTAAGGCTGAGTGAGGTAGGAAATAACATTTCAGGCAGAAATCAGGCAATACCTTCTTTACCATCCTACTGAGCGCTTACTAGGATGTCAATATAGTAGGATACGCCGGTCTAATAAACGTTTATGTCAAGATTATGTCTATTTCAAGAAAATCTCAAGATCGATCGGTACATTGATTTCTACTGGGCCGAATGCCGCCGGTTCTATTGCATTGATGACCCACACCTGGGCAACGACCCGAAGGACAAGATTGCCATCGGCGGCCTTAAACGTCCGTTGTTCCCCTACCAGGCCTTTGCCGTCTGGTGGATGCTCCACGCCGAGGCCATAACCGGCACAGGAGGCCTCGAGGCCGATGAAATGGGCTTAGGGAAGACACTCATCGCGCAAGCATCGGTGGTTGTGAGCCGGTGGATCACTCTAGCTTGGAAGTCCGTCAACAAGTCTCCAGCATCTCATCTTCCGAAAAACAACAACACAGACCCGACCCTGCGCTGCCCGAAAAAGAATGACTACCCAATCTCCTGTCCGTGTGAGTTAAGGAGCCCAACCAGAAACCTGAAACCGAGCCCGGGACCTCAACTTCTGATAGTCCCGTCCTCACTCTTGGCTCACTGGATCAAAGAGTGGGATTTGAATGTCGATAACAAGGCCGTCGGTCTGGATCTCAAACTGCTGATCGGATACTGAGCCTCTGAACCATTCATACGTGCGTCGCCGTATCGGGTGGTCAGCAACCTTAGTGAGCCGGAGAAGGAGCTCCTCCGATATGAGGAGGCTAATCTTTGGGGGGATGCAATTGCATTTATGGTAATTATTCCCCGCAGTACCGTGTTCTCGCTCCGGTGTCTTATCCCAATACACTGCTAGTGGCTTCAAAATATGATCGTGAAAGGAGCGTGGTGTGGTCAGAATGACAGCCCGGGTAGCCTCTTCACGAGGAGTTGGGTGCGCATTTTTGAGGCTGTCAAGCATTGCTTTGTCTTCCGCAGAGAGCGTCGTCTTGGTCTGCGCTGCATATTTCAAACAGCCGAAGATTAGCCTCCTCATATCGGAGGAGCTCCTTCTCCGGCTCACTAAGGTTGCTGACCACCCGATACGGCGACGCACGTATGAATGGTTCAGAGGCTCAGTATCCGATCAGCAGTTTGAGATCCAGACCGACGGCCTTGTTATCGACATTCAAATCCCACTCTTTGATCCAGTGAGCCAATCGGCCATAAATGGGAACTGATGGCACATAGTCCAGAGTATACAGCGGAAAGATGGGCATCCTAGAGATAGTATCCAGATATAGTCTTGGTAAGGACAGAAGCTATACATCCGGAGCCCAGTCGAGACATTTGGAAAGCTTGATATATGATACTCCAAGACCGCGGGGAGCCTGTTGACCTCTAGTTATAAGCTTTATTTTCCCGCTGTCTTATTGCCATCAAAAACTTTACTTACCTGGCGACAACTTGGGGTTTCTCAATCACACGAAGTCCCCAAAAAGGTCTATATGGGCTCTTGTAGGTCTTATGGAAGTTGGCAAAGTAGAGAGGCATATAGGTGTGTATGTGTTCATGTGCAGACAGGGAGTCTCATGAGGAAGACTGATAATCACTGGCAAAAAGAGGATATATCTCCAAGCTTATAATCCATCTAAAATTTCCATATTAGCAAATCACGCCCTGGGTTGTTTCACCATTTCAACAAGTAATGAGTGAGGCCTTACCACAAAGCTCCTTCCATCAATTATTTCTAGACCGACTGCCGATGTGTCCGTCGCTTTTGTCATGATAGAGGTATCCGATAAGCCGAGTAGTTTTTCGTCTGCACAGGATGTAATAACTGATATATGGGGAACGACAATAGCCCGTGGGCTACTTTCAGCGGAGCTGGGTCGACCGGCACTCGATCCGAGAAGATGTCTCCTTGTGTCTTGAAGTCATGGGGCCATTTCTGGCCTCTTCCCTTGTTTGGGACTTGGCCGCATATGATTTCCACCCATCAGTGAGAGCGACCTTCGCTGGCAGGAGGTTGAAGAACCAGCTGTTCCCGAAGAGGGGTTTCTCGAAAATTGGTATATCCTGCGTGAAGTCCTTTTTTTTCCGCTATAATCAGTCCTTTCGGATTCATTCTCTCGAGAGGCATCCCTGGGACCCCAAAGGGAGTCCTGGAGCTTCTTTTCACTATCGCCACAGTCGTCGTCTTGTTTCCTGATCATTCCCATGGGTGTCTGAAAACATGCCGACGGATGTATTAAGGGATGATCCCTTGATCGTTAGGAACGAAGTGCAGTATATGTAATATGTATATCAGGTTATAGAAAAGAGAGAAGGAGGATTGGGGGTGGGGGTTGGGGGTTGAAGAATAATTATATGGTGAAGAGAAGAAACCATCTCTGATTTTTTTTTTGGCTAAAGCTGCAATTTATAGCAGATGATCATGTGGCTTGATGGCAAACGCCGTTTGTCATTAGGCGAGTGCAACATTCTAGGCTCCTCAAGATGCCAACAGCTACAAAGAGCCTTGGCATTCAATATAGTAGATCGAAACGAAAAGAGACATTTTCTTCTACATTTATAAAGCGACTCCGACAAAAGTCTCTTTATTCAGAACAGCCGCTCCCCGCCTTCAAGATCATGTCCCTCCTCCATCTCCTTCACCCTCTCACTTCGGCTATGGACCAGATCTTGACCTGCCTGCAAGAGCACCTCATGATCCACCAACTCACTCAACCCCAAACACTTCGCCACAAAAGTGAAAACCTTCCTCTCAACCTCCGGCGCATGCTGCGTCAAGCCGTGGTCATCCCCAGGGAACAGCCGCATCTCGCGGTCCCCACCAGGGCCATACTGGTTGAACAGTGTTTTGGAACACGATGGCGCCAGGACATGATCTGCTTCTCCATGGAGTAGCAGCAACGGTCGCGGCGCGAGCGCAAAAATACCCTCCGTCCGCGCAGTCTGCGACGCTATCGTCGCCACACCGCAGACGCGGTCTGGCTCGCTGGCGGCGACGGTGAAACAGGGGCTCCCGCCGAAGGACCAGCCCACGACGACAAAGCGTGTCGCGGCGAAGTGCTGGGCGAGGTAGTCGAAGGTAGCTTTCATGTCTGCGACGCAGTAGCCTGTCTGGGCGGGTTGGCGGTAATCGAGACGAATGCAGGGGAGGGAGAGGAGCAACGCGAGTTTGTCGGCGAGCGAAGGGTAGATTCCTGCAGGACCGGAGACGCCGCCACCCGCACCGGACACTAGAACAACCGCGGCGCTGGGGCTGTTGGTTCGGTTGTAGCTTTGCGGAGCATGGAGGATGGCGGGGGCCTCGTGGTCAAGAGGGTCGGAGACTCGGATACAGACTGTCTGGGCGACTGAGGGCTTGATGGCGTGGCCGGCAACCTGTGGAGGGTGCAAGGGTCCTAGGTAGTGGGTGGAGTATCTCGGCGAGGCAGCGGTCATGGTGATTGGGATAGAACTCTAGACAAGATAGAAGGATAGAATAAGTCATAGACTACGAGGACCCTCCGATCAGAATTGTGAAGACAGCAATGATCCAGTGCACCCGCTAATCGCATTGGAATCCGATCCGGTAGATGGCGGAGGGGCGAATTAGTGTCAGATGGCAATGTTTGAGACACAGAGGTGGCGACCTCTCTAGGAATGCCGTGCTCAAGGGGCCCTTTGGACAAGATAAAGAAAAAGAATTCGATTGCCGTGCAGTAGGTTCTAGATACAAACCGACCATATCCATAGCGCCCCGATCCGTATAAAACACCCTGAAGCAAGAGCGGTAGAAGCCGCGAATCCGAAATGAAAGAACCAAGACAAAAAGAAGGAACCAAATAAAACGTAAAAAGAGATGGGAAAAGAAAAAAAGAGAAAACAAAACAAAACACCAGATTCAGAATCCCAGTATCTCATACAAAACTCATTAGCCGGGCATCATCATCAGTGAAACAGTCATCATGGGAAAAGAGGGTAAAGTGCGTAGGTCGTCATCAGGTCATGATCAAGGCACACTAAATTCCATTCAAAAGAATCAGGCCGTGCTCCGACGCGTTTTGCTCCGACGAAGACTCAGTTTCTTCTTAAGTTGAGTGAATGGGTTGGTGATCGGTTGGGTGTAGAAAGGGTCATTCTCAAAGTCCTTGTCGGTATATCTCTGTCGAAGATGTCAGATGGATCCAATCACGAGAAAATAAGGGACAGGGAGAGGTAGACAAGAGAATATAAGGAAGGAGAAAGGGCCCTTACATTTCCAGGCAGACGCATGAAGTTCCCGAAATCATTCATCATATTGATCCCTTCTTCGTAGTCATAGACATGGCCATCCCGGTCCGCAGTTCCGGGAGGGAAGAAGGCCGTGCCGTCAAGAGGGCGATGGCTATGCAAAGAGTCGATGATTTTATCTCGTGGGGTTGCGCGAAGGGCTTCTTCATTCGACTCCCTCACAGCCTCGAGGGGACTGTGCTGGCTGACGCGATTTCGTTCCGGGCAGACCGCATCGTAAGGCCCCTCATGATGATACGAGTAGGCAGTGACATCGTCCAACTCATCAATGATATCCGGGTTGACCAGTCGCGAAAGTCTCGAGTAGGCATGGCGCGGCCGACGTCGTCGCGAAACCGACTCGTCTCGCCGGGGCTTCGGGTTCACCGGTTGGTGTTCGGGAGCGCCGGACCACCAGAGGGACTCGATGGGGACGGTGGGGATGGATTCCGAGATGGACCGGCGGGACGGCGCATAGATTGAGGACGCCGGCGACATGTAGTAAGCATATGGGTTATTGCTGCCAAAGCTGCTATAACTCGAGCGGCGGTCCCGCGTTTGTTGCTGGTTGTATGGGTGGTGAGGGTGATGGCGCGAAGCCATCGACATACAGTCGACTGCCGCCATCGCCACAATGACAATCGATGCGAATAGTGAGATAGATGGGGAGAAACAGTAAGAAAGAGGCCCGGAGGGAGTTGGAAAAAAGACACGAGAATCGAAGGAGGGGCTGAGTCCCGAGGATCACGCGGTATATAGAGAGTGGTCGATGGAGGGGATGACCCGAAATAGAGGGTAGGTGGGGCTGAGTAGAGTATGCACAGTAGATCGTACAGAGCCGGGGCGAGATGCGGTGTGGAAAGGATGCAGGGGGATCGTAGTCGGAAGTAGGGGAAGATGAGAGTGAGGAAGTCAGAAGTAGGAATCCGAAGTAGAAGTAGGCAGTGAGGTTCCCACCGTTCCGCTGCTCCGCCGAACGAGCCCGTCCACAGCGCTTTCCATTCGGCGCTCTCGAGTGACGTGACGTGCCTCTTCGACGCCGAATCCTTATTCATCCTCCACGGGTCCGGGCTAAGCCCGATTAGGCCCGACAGACCCTTAGTTCAGCGCGCTAGAATGTTTCTCAGCGGTTGCACTAGGCCGAATCAGGCGGCGATCAGGATCCCTGGCGGAGGCGACCCCGTTGCACTGTCATGAGCGATCTCCACTGGTGACCTCATATCTCATCCGCAAAGTCGGTCCACGCTGCCATCATACTGCATTTTCGTCTCCATTTTTGCTCGCGAGTTTTCAGTGCTCGCCTCCAGGATGCCGTCAGCCCGACGATCAGTCTGACTATCGCTATCCACACCCTTCGGGCCTCTCCGCTCAGGTGCACGATTAGTCAGTCACCGCGTGGTCCGCCTCGGCTATGCGGTGCTGATTCATGATGTACATCGTTGCATCCCACTCGCTTCCGAGACTGCCTCCATCAATGACGCGGATGCCACCCGCGGGAAAAAAAAGTGTCAACCAGGTAGGATTACTCTACATTGATCTGTGATGATTCATAGGAACTGGCCCTGAAGCGCACGCCGCGGAAAAGCTTGTTCCTTGATATTTGGCTGGTTCAGGACCGATGACCCGTGCACTATCAATTAAGCTTATCGACTAGTGAGAATAGCGCGAAGAATTGCTCGCCATTACCCCTCCCCCCTCCTAAGGCCACCAGAGCCCAATACGGAGGAGACGATGATCCAGATAGTGAACATTCCTAGCATGAGTCTAAACTATTGGCAATGAGACCGACAGATCCTCGTGTAGCCCTTGCATATGCAGCCCCCGTCCTGTCTCCGGCACGCGAGCCGGGAGACCGGAGACGAAGGGGGCCCATGAACAACCGGACCAGCTGAACACGCTCACGCCCGACCCGAGAGGTCTTCTCTGCGGATTTCTCTGGAGAGCTTAATTGAGATCCTATGATCTCAGTCTCCCCTCTGGTTCTGTACCCTTGGGAGGTACCGGCAGTACCGGCCCAAAAGTGCATCCAGGGGAGCCTGGCAGGCACCAGCAGTGGCGCCAATCAGAAGGGCTCCAGACATAGTTCCGGGCCGATTGACTCAGCAGAAGCTCAACAGTTACACCACATCCAGGTCAAGTTCGGATTGAGAATCGAGATCGGACGCATGCCGTCCCTGCCATTCGCTGCCGACTCAGGACAGCGCCAAATACTGCGATCGCAAGAGGATGCGCAAACTAGATTTCCACTTGAATTCCTGTAGATGAATTTAGAGTTTTATGTGGGATTCCCTTATCGTCGAGATCATCTCTGGACGGCATACTTCCAGGTGGCGGCAGGATTCGCGGGACAACCCAGCGCATTGCGGATTCTCCAGAACCCAGAGTAGAGAGTGAAAGTATAAAATAAAATAGAGCAAAATCTGCAAAACAGTAATGGAATGAATATCAGAGGATGCACTGCGAACAAGACCTTAGTCGGTGCATCACTGACCTCAATTCCATGGATTCTTGCGCTTGTGCGGTCTGATCACGGGCGATCGCCCTCCAACTCTTGTCACCGCATTCGCGACAGTTCCCCACAAAGGGTCAATCTCAACAACACCCCATTCCCCTTCATGCCTCCATGCCCCTAGTCCAATATTCTGACTCCGAGTCCGAGGCAGACGCGCCGGAATCTCCGCCACCAGCCAAGAAACCCCGCCATGAGACCTCACGGTCGGGTTTCGCCCTGCCACCGCTCCCAGCAGCCTTCCACGATCTCTACGCCTCCAGCACACGCGTCAGTGTAAAAGATGACCCTAGCCTCCATGGAGGCCGCAAACGTGTCATCCCCCATGTAGAAGGCAATTGGCCAACTCATCTCTATGTAGAATGTGTGTGCGCCCTCGCGTTGTTTCATGGCTACCTGAACGCTAATCTTTTTTTGGCACAGGGTACCCGTCCAAGGATGAGCTGGCTCTCCTTACAGATCTCATTCCTCAGTCCAAGTCGACCTCTTGTCCGGACGCGCAAGAGGATGACAGCCCCCACGCTGTACACAGCCTCTTACAAAGCGACCTGGGCGCTCAGCTGCCACTACACATCAGCCTCTCGCGCCCCGTAGTCCTGCGCACTGAGCAGCGCGCTGCCTTTTCCGAGCTCCTCCAGGCTTCCATCCAAGACTCGCACATTTCACCGTAAGTTCTTATGTCTCAGACAACGTCTCAGTGCCCAGTGCCCAGTGCCCAGTACCTCGCATGCTGCAAGTTTCCCAGAAAAGAAACATGAAAGAATGAAAGAAATGCCCCATCTCATCTCTCTAACACCGTTCCCGACACAGATTCCATGTCACGCCGAACAGTCTCAAATGGGTGGCCAATCACGAGCGCACGCGATGGTTCCTTGTGCTGCATGTCGCACGGCCTGCTAGCGACGGTCTGAATCGGCTGCTGGAGCTATCTAACCGCGCTCTCGCTCAGTATGACCAACCGCCTCTCTACGCGACCCCGCACAAAGTCCGTCAGTCCCGGGTGTCGATGGCATCTGCCCACGGCGACATGCAGCCTGTCGCAGACTTCTCGGACTGCTTCCACATTTCGCTGGCATGGAGTCTGGTGGGGCCTAGCCTGGCCGATGCCCAGCGTGTCGCGGGTATTGACCTTGGGTCAGTACGCGGCCTACGGGTGCGTTTTGACAGTGTCAAGGCGAAGATTGGGAATCAAGTGGAGAGCATTCGGTTGCCAGTTGATGTCTGAGATGCAGCCGGCCCAGGTAGTGCTGGGATGTGAGTATGGGTGTGTTATGGCTTGTATAGATTTCCTAGATTCTAAAATAGAGCATTGGATGGGCTAGCTACTGCAACTTCCACCGGCTTCAATTGTATACCCTGAATCGAGTGTTGGTCTCAGCAGTGTCTCACCCAACTGTTGCTTGGCGAAAATCTAACACCGGCATTCAATTACCCCAAAGTATCGATGAGCGAGAAGCCGCCAAAAGGACCATGCTGAAACATCGAGAGTTGCTTGCTTGCATAAAAGCAAGAAAGGAAATCATCGCGTCTAGCTTCAAGTTGTCCAAACGCGTGATGTTACGTAAGCGGACAGTCGCGACCCGCGCCGCCAGCCGCTCAGCTTTGCATCAGCTCCCCAACACCACAATGCAGATCCCAACTGTTACCCTGGTAAGTTCTCCGCTTCGCACTCTCATTTTGAGCATTAGCTAATATGACTTCTGACCCTAGGAGGATCTGCAAGCCTTCCAAGCGGCACATTTTCCAGGCCACCAAACAGTAAATCTACCGACGGCGGAGACAGCCTTCGAAGAAGACGATGACGGACTAGGATACTACCCCGATGGGGTCAAGCGGACCTTGACTGACGAGCAGATCCGCATCTTCAGACATAGCGAGATTCACGCGCTTCTGCGTGCCAAGCAGCTCCAGGAAGACGATGCCGAGTACGAAGCTCGACGGATTATCTCCGAAGAAGGATCAAGATGCGATAACAGTCCCCGAAGCGGAGAGGCTGCAGGGAACGAAGAAAACGCGAAGGAGACCAAGGCTCAGGTTGTTCGGCGATCGTCAGTGGGAGACAGATCTCAGAAGAAGACTCGACGTGAAACGCAGGATGCGCCGTCAGAGACCCTCGACTATGAGGATAATGAGTCGCAGTCGACTCCGCAAAATCGTTCTTCGCAGCCTCGTATGCCCCCGTCAGGTCGCAGGATAGTTTCTTACGATGATTGAACTGAGAATCGGGAACATGCGATCTTTGATATGCAATTTTGGAGGAGCCGGTAAAAGGCAATCCCTGCTTTGAGCGAATGCGATACCATCTGCAGCAGACTCTCATACGAGTATCAACTCTTGGTAAGTGCGCGGTTTTTTTCTGTCTTTTCCTTTTCTGTTTGCATCCGGCTTCATATTCCTGTTTACCATGATGAAAATCTTCAAGTCATCCTTAGTCGGAATGCCATACCATCTAGCAAATGTGTAAGGCTTTGACGACTTTAATCTTCTCTCTGAAAATCTCCTTTCATATGATTTTGTTTGTCTCCAACTGTTTAAGCCAGAAGTTGACGAAATATCAGGACTGCTATCACAAGTGATATTGCAAAAAGTGTGGCCCAGCCCGGCTTCGTTGCGTTGTTTCATGTGTTCTTGTCGGTCAGGGCACAAACAACGAGGAAATACCTTGCTATCGACTGTCTGCCGTGCAAATATCGAGTACTTACCTCGTCACAGACCGCCTAAGGTCTAGATAGTGAACCAGGGCGCTCTACGGCAAGCCTGAGAATGCAGGCAGGATGAGATGGATCAACGAACAGACTAAGAAACCACTATACACCACGATGAAGGAAGCCTCCCAGAAGGGAAAGCAGAAGCAGATGAAGCGAAGAGAGCCAAAGAGTTGATTCTCTCCCTATCGGAGATGCGAAGCTATATCCTGTAAAGACTATATACTAGAAAAGATATCCTCCAATCAGAGACCTCCCTAGTGTAAGCTATTTCCCCACTGCAATATTTAGTTCTTCGCGTTAATTTACATATTATTACTTGAGACCTACTAATCGATCTTAGTTACTTAATTATTCCATAGTACAATATAAGGATACACCTAGAACTAGGAGGAACACTTAGTAGTTCTTCCGTAACTACTTCGTCGACTAACTAGGCGCCCTTCAACTATATACGTCTTCGGTCTACTCTATAGACCCGAGTTGTAAGGCCTTAGCGATTCGGCAACAGTATAGTTGCGAGATCAGATCGTCAAAAATTACGAGAGAGGTACGTTACGATAACGTATATTTTACGTTAACTAGTTAGCAGCGCGTAATATAGGCCTAAGATATAGTGAAAATAGATACAAACAAACCTATACCAGACTTAAATATTAGTCTTTCTAGGCCTAGAAGTATAATTTATCGTTAAATTAATATTTAAATATAATATTAATTCTAGAATAGTTAAATACTAATAGAAAAATCAAACGTTTGACGTTTAAATGGTAAGTATTAAGTCTTCAAGCGGCCTTGGAAATTACTTGTGTAATAAATCTTGAGCATTTTTGGTAGGGTTTTGAGGGGGGCAATACCCAATCTTGAGGGGGCCGTACCGCCGGCCCCATTTCAGGCGTCCAATTGAGTTGCATCGAGAAGGAAGGAGAGCAACAAAGAACCCAGCTTCTTTGTTGGAGCTAGAGGTGGAGCTAGAGGAGGGGCCGTTGTTGAGCCTTGTTTCGATTCGAGCGCTCGAATGCATGTCTAGACGCAATCTTAAGCATCATCCATCCATCGTAGATATTTATTCCATCCAGATCTATCCATTTTATCCGGAGCATGGCCGGAATCCATCAAGGTCCTCTATACAGATCATTTTTCTAACTTCTGACCTCAGGAGCGACGACCGTCATGTTCTCCACTTTTGTCGCTATTTCCCCTAATCGCTTTGACGACAGCAACAGCAACAACAGCAACAGCGAAACAAGGCTCACCAACGGCCCCTCCTCTTCCTCGTCCACCACCGCCTCCTCCGCCGCCTCCACTCCGGTTCCTCCCCGTTTGAAGCGCAACCAGGTCTCACGAGCTTGCGACTGGTGCCGTGTGCATCGGATCAAGTGTGACAAGAGCTTGCCCTGTCAGAACTGTCGCAATCGAGGCGAAAACTGCATCAAAAAGAGTGCGGCAGAAATTCGCACTCTGCCACATGCTGTGAGGTTGTACCAAATCTCCGAACGCGTTGACTATCTGGGACTAACAACCCCCCAAATAGAGAGATTGAGCGACTGCGACAACGCGTTCAAGAACTCGAAGAGCAACTCGAGAATGCTACCAATACCAATTCCAAGACCAATCCGAACACCACCACCACCGCCGCCACCAATTCTGTCTCCAGCGGCGACGATCGCACGATCCGAAAGCAAAGCCGACAATCGGGAATCAAGAAAGAATGGGATGGAATCCATACGCCCACTGCACACTCGTCACAAACCCAATGGTATGGGCCCTCGTCGGCCTTCTACTTTATTGGGCGCATGAGCGCATACCTCAGCGCCGTCCTCGAACAACCTGAGGAGGATCACAACATGCATCCTAGCTCCGCCAGTCGCCTCTTCACCAGTCCTACCTCGGCAAAACACGTTCCGGAGGAGCTGCCAGTGCCTGCCACAATCGCCGATGGGCCTGTGGGGTCGGAGACATATCTCAGTAGCATCGAGGAAGATTACTTTCTGAATCTGTTCTGGCATTCCTACCATCCGACCTACCAGATTCTTGATGAAGCGGAGTTTCGGGAGCATTATAAATCCCTCTGGGTCGATTCGGCCACCACGCGCAAACCTTCTGCACTGGTCGATATAGTCCTCGCTCTGTGTATGCAATATGGCGTCACCTTGACTCCAAACAGCAGCAGCCTTGATCCCACCATGACCGCGGACCCACCTGATGGCCATGTCGACATAAACGACGCAAGTATCGCGGGCCGATGGTACTACCGTCGGTCGCAAGCACTACTCAGTTCGGAGCTGGAAAGTCCATCCACCACCACTTTGCAATGCCATATCTTTTCCGTCATCTACTTGTGCAACGCTTCCTTTCAGAACATGGCGCACACTACCCTGGCGCTCGCGGTGCGTACCGCTCATATTCTCGGTCTCCATCTCGAACCGCGGGAAAACCTGCCACGTCCCCAGCGCGAGTTGCGCAAACGCATCTGGTGGACGCTATATATGATCGAAAGCAAAACATGCATGAAGCTGGGCCGACCATGCTCCCTGCATGACATGACGGCAACGTGCCAACTGCCCGCCGACGATCATGAGCTGGCTCGGCTGTCGGTGTCCAACATCGCGGCTTATGGCGACAAGGTAACGTGGTTGACGTACAGCCGCCTCGTCACAGAATTAGTGCTAGCGGCACAGACAGTTTATCTTGGATTTTATGAGAAACGGGCTAAAATTCTGGGTGCTAATGATGCGAAGAGCCTGTATACGGATCAATCGTCCCTGGAAGCGTTAGCGAAATTTCTCATTTCCCAGATGGACAGTATCCGGGAGTGGTTACGGAATGTCCCTGACGGCATGAAGACCAAACGCAAAGACGGTGGAGAGCCATTCTCAACTGACCGATCTGTCCTAGACCTGGAACGGTATGCGCCCTTGTGGCTGCAGCGCCAACGGCTTCTCCTGGAGCTTCTCTACCACAACCTCTGTATGAACATCTACCGGCCCTTCATCTGCTTCCCCTCCACGTCAGCCACTAGCGTCAATAGCACACCCGTCGCCGAAGGACATGCAGTCTCGTGTGTCAACCATGCCATCGCCATCACACACATCCTTCGCCAAATACTACCCGCGACCGACTTCCTCAAAGGCTGGTACGAGGCCTTTCAATGGCAGTGGAACTCAACTCTCTCCATGGTTGGTTTCATCCTTGCATACCCCTCCAATCCGCCCACTCCAACAGCCCGCGCGGCCATCGACAGCGCCATCACCGTCTTCGAGGTATTTGGCCACAATTTTGCGGTCGCGGGGAGTGCCGCCAATGTGACTCGGGGACTCGCAGCCAAGGCAGACTTTCTCCACGGCCGATTGGCTGCGGGTGTCGGAGCTGCAACCACACTGACTCCCCCGTTCTCGGACCAAATGGAAGGATTCTTAGGGTCGATCGGGACAGATGCGGCCGGCTATTTGATGCTGCCTGATGAGCCCTCGGCCATGTTTCAGAGCACACTGGCGGGAGCCATGGGATTAGCGTACAACGTTGATTCGTTCTACAGTTTCGAGCCCTTGTATGCAGGGTCGAAAAACTTGGCCGATGCGTGGGATTTCAGCTACGAATGACCCCTTTACTATGGATCTCAAATGTATGATGACACGACAACCCATGTTGATATAGCTTTAGAATCGCGGTTTTTCTTCATGCATTCATTCGAAGGATCAAGCAAGTCATTTAATCTACCTTTTCGATGGTTATCTTTCCCGTACTTCGATCGGTGTGCTCTGAATTAATCCATGGTGATAACTGCGCGGAACCTGACGCTTCCCTTCGTCATTGCCTCTGTAGATGGTTCGGATTAGCACCGGGATTGGCCTGCTTTGAGGGACAGAGAAAATCTCACCAAACGCATCGTTCGCCTTTTCTAAAGGAAACTCCTCCACCATACAATTGATCTCATGTAGCTCGGTAAACGCAATCGTGTCTTCCGAGTCGGTGGCATGGCCAGAGGGCCAAACCTGCACCGAGAGGCCATATTTAAGCTGGACTTCTGGTAAGTAATTGCCCTTGGAACCATCGAAGATATTACTTACCATGGTGGCCGTATCAACGGGGACTTCACCCGGCACTATACACCATCAGTATGAAAATGTGCCAACAGAAGGCAGGGTCGATAATCTCTGACCTGACAACATCAACAACTTCCCCAAAATCCCCAGCCCCTTCAACAACGGACTTATCACCTCAGCCGTTGGCGCTGTCGAAACGACCAGCGATGCCCCGCCCAGCTTCTGCAGCGTGACCCCGGCGTCTTCCTTACTCGAGTCAATGTAGTCATGCGCGCCCAACTCCCCTTACAAACTTCTCCTTTGTTGCATCTCGCGAGATCGCAACCACCCGGTATCCCATTTTATTGGCGTACTGGATGGCGAGGTGGCCCAGACCGCCGAGGCCTTGAATGGCAACAGTCTCGCCGACAGGGACGTTCATGTGCCGGATGGAGTTGAAGACGGAGACGCCGGCGCAGAGGATGGGGGCATACTTTGCGGCTGGGACGTGGGAGGGAACGCGGACAGCAGCTTCTGGGTTGAGGAGGCAGTATTCCGCATCTGCAACGAACCAAATCAACACCATTTCCAGGAATGCGCGGGGGAAAGGAAGAGGAACGGGGGAAGACGTACATCCGCCATTCTTGGTCTCGCCATTGACGACCTGCGAGCTGCACATTTGGTACCAGCCTTTGCGGCAGGCTTTGCATGCTCCTTTTTAGTGTCAGTTATTTGAGCCGGAAAAAAGGATGGGGACGGAATAGGTCGTACCATCATGTCCTCCGTGCCAGCCCCCTCCGATACGATCCCCGACGGTCCAACCAGAGACATCATCTCCAATGGCAGCTACACGGCCGATAATCTCATGACCGGGGACGATGGGACTGTTAGTAGGTCCGTCATTAGTAGTATCCCACGAGGAGAAAGGAGAGAAACACACAATCCCCCACCCATAACGTTACTCTGCGCAAATACATCCGAGAAGCAAACACCGCATGCTTCCACCTTCACAAGAATTTCATTGGAGCCGGGCGGCGTGAGAGGTGCTTCCTCGATGACCAGTGGGGTGCCGGCAGATTTGAAGATGGCTTGCTTGAAGGTTTGCGGGATGGTCATTTTGTTGTTGCTTCTAAGTGTCTCGCTGTAGGTGGGAATGGGAATTGGAAGAGATATAGGATACAGGTTGAGAGGCGCTTTTTATACATATATATAGCTGTGATACAAACACAATTAGGCAAGGGGAGTAGGTCCTTCTGATCCGGAGTTATCATGCGGTAACGTCACACTTGAGATAGCTATTCACGCGGTTTTATCTCGGGCTGGTCCTTTGTTCGTCTCGAAGGAGTTGCCGGAGTTGGAGGCGGAAGCAGAAAGCTAGGGCTGGTTTCTTGGCGCTTTAGGAGACCCACTATTTTGACAGTTCTTTTGACAGAGTGGGTCATTTTCAACATCCCCAATCCCGCAGACTGTATTCTATCGTCTCCACCTTCGAAAAATGAATTCATCTCATGTGTCTTATACTACCTAGTAGGTACTATAGTCATGAACTTTGAAAACTCACTATACTAGTCTATTCAATAGAAAATACAAGGTAAAGATCTACTAAGTTACTTTCTTTAAGATAAAATACTGAAGAAATATTACTTAACTTTTTTTTTTAAAAAAAAAAGTAAAATTGTGATAGAAAACGTGACTATAGGTAAGAGTGAAAGAGTATGTTGGGACTTAGGAATATAGGCTGTGACGAGAGCGCTGATAGTAGTAGGAATAGGGGGTAGGGGCCCTGGGAGACGGGGACCCCTTTAGCTATATAGCCTGCGGCAGTTGTGAAATACGTGGGATGAAATTAAATTTCTACAGAGTGGATGGTAACATACAGTCTACGGATTGCGGATATTGAAAATGACGCACTCTGTCAAAAGAACTGTCAAAATAATGGGTCTTTACTTTAGCGGACCTACCGGCTTGATTTGTAAGGTCTAGTGTAGCCTGAAGGGAATACGAATCGAATGGGGCTAGAACTGGGTGAGGGGTTGATTGAGATGGCACTAGAAGATTGCATGTAATCATGTGAGAAGGCGAATCACCAAATCTGACATTCTATGCTCAGCTACAATCTATCGCTCACTCCTTCCGGCATGCTTCGCCACCATCTACCTTACACAAGAAACCTCTTCCTCGTCAAAAACAGGGAGCACAATGTCCACAGCGCCCCCGCAGCAATAACCATTACCCAAACATCCCCGATCGTCTTCACAATCGCATCCACACACTTCGCCCTCAACTCCGGCGTTGCGTTTTGTAACAGCTCACTCCTCGCCCCCGTAATCGCCGCCTGAATCTGCGCATCCGAGTACTCCGTCTGCGCAAGCACCTCCTTGAGTCTCTGAAACCCTAAACTCTGGAAAATACAACTCGCGATTGCTAATCCAATCAGCTGGCTCGATCCCTGCGAGATATTCAAGTACTGGATCAGCTCCGCGACCCGGTCCGGCTTGACGAAGAATGGGCCCACGGCATACCCCGCCTGGGTGGTGGTCATCCCCAGCCCCAGCAAAATGGAGTAGCCGTAGATGTTTGCCGCAGGGGTATCGTACTGCACGGTGTACATGACCGCAGCGCCGCAGGTCATGCAGATCCCGCTGAAGAGGTACCAGAGGTTATGGTAGCCCGTCAGGCCCATGACCGCGCCGCAGGTTAAAATAGTGGCGACATAGAAGCAGATGAAGGGGAGGAGACGCACAGCGGCCTGCGTGCCGCTGTCGCCGTGCACGAAGAGAAAGTAGAGCGGGATGTAGTAGATGGTTACAAACAGCGCAGCACCGCCGCAGGCCATGCACACATACAGCAGGATGAGCTGGGGGTCGCGAAGGAATTCGCAGGGGAATATCCGGTTAATTGGGTCTGTGAGGATCGAGAACCGCTGTGTCACAGACAAGATGACGGTGAGAACGACGAAGACGACGAGGAGAGCAATGAAACGTCCGTCGCTCCATGTCCAGATAGAGCCCGCGAATGTGAAGGCCAGTGTGAACGAAACGTAGAGGCCCGTGGTTAGGACAATACCTAGCCAGTCGAGGGAGCGCAGCTTGTCGGAGAAGGGGATGCCGGGGCGACGGGGGAGCGATGGAAGAATGAATAGATAGATGGGCGACATGGCGCCGAAGATGACAAGGTTGAGATAGAAAGCCTTATTCCTTGTTAACTGGAATGACCCGTCAAAAGGACTGCTGCGAATGACATACCCATCTCCACGTCGCCGAACTATCCGCCAACGACCCGCCCACAATCGGACCCAGAATACACCCACTGCCGTACACGAACCCGGTCATCCCGATATAAAACGGCTGCTGCTGTGGACTACTCATGATCGTCACCAGATTGAGCGTTCTAACAGCTATCATCAGCACCACACTCACAGTTTCAATTGACTGAAATACTGTACCCCAAGTACATCCCTGCGCCCCCAGCACCAGCCCAAACCCGTCCCACGATAATCGCGTTCATTGATGGCGCCGCACCGCACAATGCACTCGCTGCAGCAAACATAGTCAAGCAACTCACAAATACCCATTTCGCGTCAAAGGTTCCGAATACCTTGCCGAGAGGCAAGATAGCTACTGTTGAGCCCAGAGTGAATCCCACACCTAACCAACCCAACTGTGTCACGTTGTCGTACGTCTCCGATACTGCAGCCTGGATGTCGGCTGCAATGGTGGTGTCTAGTCCATAAAGCATATTGGCCGAAAAGATGGCCACGCAGATGAGAAGCCAACGGAGGCTAGAGACTGTCTGCTTGGGAGGGGAGTCTTCTGTGGTGGATGATTCATTTTCCTTCTCGACGGAGGCAGACGACGGGGAGGCGTTGTTCTCAAGATCTGTGCCTTCGGAGACTCTGGACCTTTCGAGATGGTCATTGAGGCCTTCTGAGCTGGGTGTGACCGATGTTTCGGCCATGATGTCTCTTTTCGGTTCTTCGAGGGATTAATGTCAACACGATAGATGCTGGATGCGCAGATATTTATCGCGGAAGACGGGAACCTTGAAGACCGGGAGCGTCTTCCAACACAGAAGGAAAATGCAATCCTTCATAATGAGCATCCTTACTCATAATAAGCGTTCGATGTATGATAGTTAGTTACGCAGTGGGTGTGGATTACCTAATCCTATTTACTCTCCATTCTGCGTGCTTTTGGTGGGCCGGAGTTGGCGGAGTTCATCCAAATTGAGTAAGTGGGCTTTTTCCATAACTACCCTTCTCCGGGCCGGTTCTTTCTTAGCCTCCAAGGAGTTGCCCGAAATCTCCATTGAGAATATCGTCTGATGTCCTGACCAACCAGCGGCTTAAGGAACAGTGAACCTTTAATTAATCTGGCTTGGAATATGTCATTTACACTAGTACTGCATGCACTCCTCCCATGGAGCTAACGTAAATGGATTAATCGTTTCCAGTGTTTCTATGTCGATGTGCTTAAGCGCATCGGCTACGTGATACAACGGCGAGCGGTGGTATCTTCTAAACTTCCTGATCCGATCTGTACTTCTGCAGAGAGGATTGGTTTCCGGCAAGGTGTGGATGTCTGTCCATATTTTCACGGCTCGTTTCCAGAATCGGCGCTGTGCAGTAGCAGTGTCTCCGCCCACCCACACCGCTTCGCGTTGTGGGTGTGCCACACCCTAATGCATAACCACACCCTAATGCATAATCTTTCCCACCACCCTATTTTTTGCTTCTCTATCCAACACCACTATCTAAATATGCCTAAAATTGATGAATCTCGTATGGCTGAGGCCTGCCTAGCAGCGTCACGCGAAGAGAAGCCGAATATTGCGCGTCTAGCACGCGAATTTGGTGTTAATCAAAGCACTCTCTATCGACGTGTTAAAAAGGGAACAGGGCCTCGCATAGCTAGAAGCGGGAACGGATACGCTCTAGAAACCTATCAAGAAGAGGCCTTGATTCGCTGGATCCAATATATGAACGATTGCTATATGCCTATCACTCCTAGGATACTAGAAGCGTGGGCGAATCGTGCATGCTAACGCGTCGGGAAGCCGCCGATTAGCAAGATGTGGGCGTATCGCTTTATTAATAGGCTTCCTAAACATCTTCAATTAGGGCCTACTAAGCAGTATACGAAGGAATCAAAGCGAATCCTAGCAGAAGATCCAGCAGCATTACAACATTAGTACGATCTTTTAGCCTAAACAATCAAGAAGACTACACTAGCACGCTTAGTCTACAACTTTGATGAATACGGCTTTCAACCAGGCGAAGGAAGATCTAGAAACGTTATATCTTCTACTACTACTACTACTAGTAGTAGTAGTAGTAGTAGTAGGAAGATAGTAGATCTTCCTTAGCCAGACCAAGGCGAAAATATAACGACTATCGAGTGTATCGCTGCCGACGGGTGGCAGTTAGAACCTTGGTTTATATTCAAAGGCAACGGGATCTTTATAGAATCTTGGTTCAATCAAACAGAAGGCCTACCACCACATACTACAATCACTACATCGCTAAACGGTTGGATAACCGACGATATAGCAGTTCAGTGGCTTCGATTCTTTATAGAATCAACACGCGACCGTACGAAATCGGGTGAAAAACGTATCCTAATCTTCGACGGTCACGGTTCACATCTTACATTCGAATTCCTACACCTTTGCGAAGAGAACGATATCCTACCAATAGGATTTCTACCACATACTACACACCTTTGCTAACCGCTAGACGGTAAGCCGTTTCTAAGCTATAAGCAACACTTCCGCTTAGCGAATAACGACCACGCGTTTTGGGGTGGAAGCCCTATCGGAAGATCGGAGTTCCTTCGAATAATCGGTAATATTCGGAATAGAGCGTTTAGCCAGCGAATCATTCGTGAATCGTTCAAAGATCGTGGGATCTATCCAGTCGATAGTAGAAAGGTTATTAATAGCCTTCCTATCCAAGAAATCCCAGATCTCCTAGCGCTAGATCTACAACCGCTTCATACAACAACACCTTCACCACCACCTATATCTTCTTCTAGTATCGACCAATCGCCGCCTAGATCTATACAGGATCTAGAAAAGAATCAAAGGAAGATTGCTAGATATCAAGAGGATCTTACACCAAGGCAGCAACGTAATCTTGATCGTGTGTTTCATCATAACAAGATTGCTATAGAGAACCTAAATCTAGCGAACGATACTATTCGCAAGATTAGGGAAGCTCAACAACCACTACAGCGCCCAATCACCAAGCGCCAGGTTAAAACACCGCTTAGCAAAACAGGGGTTCTCTCTATTAGAGATGCCAATCGTTCTATTACTAAAAGAAAGGAGAAGGAAGCGGATATAGAGCGGAAGCGGGTAAGGAAGCAGTGGAAGAAAACATATGGAACATCACCACCACCAGAACCTACACAGGAAAGCCTGGCATCGTTAGATAGAGCAGAGGAAGCACGTCAGAACGGGCAGGGTTTCTTTCTAGATACTAGTGGGATGCAGCGATAGATAGGGGAAATAGGAAATATTATGCATTAGGGTGTGGTTATGCATTAGGGTGTGGCACACCCACAACGCGAAGCGGTGTGGGTGGGCGGAGACACTGCTAGCTATGTGAGCCTCCGCCTCTGCTACGCTGGTCGCGACCGTGAGAAATGCTCCCACAATGGCTTGTGTTCCTACCCTTTGGACTTGATTGATCGGTCTGGTGTTCTGATTCTTAAAAGCATGCATCCAGGCATTAGAGGCATAGTCCCCTACTGGGGCCACCGTCGATGAGAACAGCTGCTGCGCTGTCGCTGGGAATAGACCTTGGACCGGAATATCCTTATACTTTTATTAGTACTAGTAAACTTTATTATATATATTAATTAAATAAGTGGATTTAATATAGTTATACCGACTTTATTATTTAAATAAATATTACCTATCCTAGCTTAAAGTAAAGATAGAACTAAAAACCGCTTCTCAGAGATAAGAATTTAACTAGAGATCTCTACGAAAATCTCTCTTTAAACTCTTGTACTTAATAATTAAATAGATCTGGCTGAGAATTACGTTATTAAACTAGATACCCTGATTTAAGTTAAGAAAAGAATTCCTTAATAATATTCTAGCTTATAGAGGAAAATAGTTATAAGGCAATTATAGATACTATAGTAAGATATACGCTGTTCTATAAACGCGTCTACCTTATCTAAGAAAAATAATATTAAAGTATTTAGCGATCTTGAATTCTATTTCAAGTTATTGATTAAGCGTAGCAAGCCTGTCGCAACGATTGCTTGAAAACGACAATTGTATGTTTGCTTTGAAGACTGGGACCTGTGCTAAGCGTCTTTGAGCTCTGCCGTTGGTTTTTATTCAAAACTAACTCCCGATCTTATAGGGCTGCCCTTGGTTGTTCCTTTTCCCTTGATAAGACATATGCTGGTTTACCTGCGGAATATTTGGATCTTCCAGAATTTCCTATTGTAGTTCGTGTGTGCAGTATTTAGTCTTATCTATCTCGTAAATGCAAACTGAAAGCGTTTCACCTTCAAGATAATCTCATGATAGCTTTATCTCCTTTCCTTGTCTGGATATTACTTCTAGTTTAGGAGGCGAAGGGGACAGAGAGATGTGGACAAAAACAAGGGCTACACAATATTTAAGGTCAGTGTAATGTTGAGAAGGAAGGACTCTAAGCTTAGAAATTGTCTACTAGCTTCCCTGAAACTCCCACTATGCATCCACAACATCGGGGTAGCCCATCTTTTCTAGATGCCGGGCAACTCTGCGGCGCCAGTCCTTTTTGGAGTCCTCATCCCTATAGTTGAAATCCATTCCCGCTGAGAGTCGACAGTTTGTTCTGACCTATTCGATGGGGACATAGCCAGCAAGCTCCTAGTCAATGATACCCAGCGAGCTTGTCGAAGTATCGACAAGAAGATTCGTAGGGCCAAGATCACAATGATAGAAGACAAGCGTAGAGACGTCCATAGACATCTCGGTACAATTGTTCAGAAGCTGCTGTGGAGATATAGAGATAGGGCATCCGCCATCTTGCTGTTGCCTTTAACGAGATAACGTTCAAATAGCTGGTATCCGTCCACACTACCAATAATATCGCCTTTCCGTGCCGCTAAATAATTGCAAATATCTGCTACCTTGCTGATATAATACTAGCAAAGAGTCTCGTCTATATTAGGCTAAGCTTCCTCAAGCAGCTGGCCGGGAACCCTTGAGACGACGAGGAAATATCGCGAGCTAGTCTCAAAATAATAGTAAACTTCCGGAAACTTAAAGCCTAGGGGCTGTTAGTCTTTGAGAAACTGCAAGGGAATATGCTCCCTGGTCACATAGGGATAGTCTATGTGATACGCTTTGATAAAGGCTTTGCCTACTCGCCAAACGGCCGCTTGATTGTCGACTGCGTGAACTCTCGAGATATAAGATATGTCTTCTGCGAGGGGTTTGGAATCGGGAAGAGGCTTAGGTGCAGTGGAGAGGATGAAATAACCCCTATTGCTGTCGCTCCAGCATACTTGGTCGGCTGGAATTTTGTCCGGGGGTGGTGACGACGAATGAGTAAGAAGAAGCTTGTTTGAGATTAGCCAGGAGCTTTTATTGACTTCCCGTATCGATTCATTAAGGTGTGGCAGAAACAAGTTAATCAATGTCATGTCAGTTTTTGATCTTGAAGGCGAACTAGTTGAGTAAACAAAAATGCCAGGTGCGAATGCCAGGTGCTTTATAGGAGCCGCTGTAAGCAGTGAGTAGTGTCCCAATATTGTCAGAGGGTGCATCACTAATTATCAACATCCCCTGTAACTAAAGTAGACACTTTGAGTTGTCAACTACTCCGTCCGTCCGTTGCAATCATCCACAGCAGCCATTTCGTCATCTGCACTGTTTCGATCAAAACCAACTAACAGCAAACATAAGACCCTATTAATCTGAAGGCGAGACTGCGCTCGGTATTCCTGGGAGCTACAAGCTCCTGGGAGCCAGGTAATATCTCCTAAGAGCAAGCAAATCGTGACTGTGAACTTTCAGTCTGCGCCCAAGGTTTCAGTCAAACCGGGTGGGGCTGAAGGTGACATTCCTCTTAGGGCGGGGACCCTGGCCTAATGATTTTTGGGGAAACATCACAGCTGGGGTGCTGGAGCCAAGTGAGCTGACATGAGCCTGCTGGATCCCATCCAGGCGATGGCCAACAACCGCTCTCAGGTGGTGATGACCACGTGAATGGTGCGTCACGGTGTGAGTAGGTACGCCCGGCTCCTAGGAACGATCGCTTCGCTCGCATAGGATTTGATGACTTCCGTATCGAGGTCACGCTGCTCGTCAACGCGGGATTCAAGAGAATCCCCCTTTCTTTCGAACTGAATCTCTTCAACATTCAGTTATTGGAATAATCTACCTCTACTATTCTTCTCTGATTCAACAACGATTTAATATTGTATTCATTTTTCCTTACCTGACCAACAGGCCGCTACCCTGCAAGTAGCACCCTAACAAAGATAGTGTAAGAGTTGATTCTCTCCCTATCGGAGATGCGAAGCTATATCCTGTAAAGTCTGTGTACTAGGAAAGATATCCTTCGATCAGAGATCACTCTTCGTCAATCATTTCCTCACTGCAATAGATAGTCGTTGGCGAGATCAACGTTCTTTGCCTAGCCGCTAAATAGTGATTCGCTATCTGCTATGAAGTCGCCAGAGCTATGATATGAACCAATCGGCTCTTTAGCTTCAATTTAGGCTTTTCCTCAGGGCCTGCATGCGGTATGATAGTCTTTTGAACTAGGAGAACGAATAGCGATGAATAAATCGCCGGTTCCGGGCAAATTTCTGGATTTCGAAAGACCTAACTACCAGATATGTTGTGTAGTATCAGGAACGAAAGAAGATCTTTACACGAAAATGTTGTATTATTATTAGACGCTCAAGCATGAAAGAAAGAAAATAACAGAGTCTGTCAGCTAAACCTTGGCCCCTCTAAACCAGCATTTAGAAGTTTCTACGAACAGAGATAGTTTCGGCGTAATCTCAGGCCCGCGTTCCCACGAAATTCTGTCCATTCTCAATTCCAATCACAGTCAAGCCAATCGGCGGTATCCATGTAGTCTCGGAGACCCGGGGTCATCCAAGTGGAAGTGTCGGAGTTCTGGGAAAGCTGAAAATCCGCGGACTTTCAACGGCGCCCGGACATTGGGTGAGGCTGATCGACGCGGACCCACAGGCTCCACTATCCTAGTTCTACTGTTATAGACACAGAGCACGAACTAATTGTGTGATAGATTTCGAATAAAAAGTGGAGGCCAAATAGGCCATTCCTTTTATTTCCAGAGCTCTTCAAGCGGCTTTATAAATACAGAGCCCTGTCCGTCTCTCCCTCATCCATCGCCTCATTTACTCCGTCGACTAGACTTCCAGCTTCTGGAGCCGATCTAGAGTCTATGTTGAGAGTCATGTCATCCCCTGAAGGGTCCACCATGCAATCTTCTCAGGGGAAGCAGGTGATCGAGGCTTCACCTTCCTCGAACTTCTCGTCCGGGTTGCAAGAAGTTTTGTTCATCTTCGTTGTGGGTCTGTCCCAGCTCTTTTCCGTTGGGGGCCTCGGAAATGCCGCGTTCTCCATGCAACATATCGCCAAGGACCAGGGCGTCACCAGTAACGGCCAGATGTCTTGGTTCTTAGCTGCCTATTCGCTTTGTGGGGGTGTTTTTGTCTTGGTGACCGGTCGTCTGGGTGATCACTTCGGTCACAAGTATGTCTTCTTCTTCGGATGGCTGTGGATGGCTATTTGGTCCCTGATCAGCGGCTTCGCCCACGATATCATCCTCTTCGACATCGCCCGTGGGATGACTGGGATCGGTAACGGTGCTCTGGTGCCTAACTCCTTTGCTCTGTTGGCTCGTGCCTTCCCACCCATGTCCGTGAAGAAGAACATCGCCTTCGCCTTCCTGGGCTTCTGCGCTCCTTCGGGTTACATTTTTGGCGGCCTCATCGGCGCTGCTTTCGCCGAGAACGTCACCTGGCGATGGGGCTTCTGGTTCTGGGCTATTGGATGTCTAATTCTCTGTATGGCCAGTTTCGTGGTCATCCCCAATCGTGTGGGCTCCCCCATTCCCGGGCTGAGCATCAAAAATCTCGACTATATTGGCAGCATCCTTGGTATCTCCGCCCTTATCCTGTTCTCCTTTTCTTGGAACCAGGCATCTGTGGTTGGTTGGGACACTCCCTATATTTGCGCTCTCCTCATCTTCAGTGTAGTCCTGCTGGTCGCTTTCATCTACTCCCAGTCCAAGGTTGCGGCGCCTGTTCTGCCCAATTCCCTCTGGAAGCGTCCCAGTTTTGCCCCTGTCGTCGCCGCCATGTCTTTCGGCTGGATGTCTTTCGGAATCTTCCTGTATTATACCACCGTCTTCATTTTGAACGTTCATTCCAAGCTGCCTCTCACCGCTGTCGCGCAGATGGTGCCCCTAGTCATCGGTGGTCTGTGTGCGACTATGTCCGTGGGTCTGTTCATCAGCAAGGTCCGCGCCGAGTATATATTCGGCGTGTCAATGTTCTCATTCTTTCTCGGAAATTTGCTTATGAGCTTCGCAAACTACTCGGATGTCTATTGGGCCTTCATCTTCCCTGCCTGTCTGCTCGTCGTCGGCGGTCCCGATCTGTCCTTCGCCTCTTCCGGTATCCTAATCTCCAACGCTGTGCTTCCCGAGGAGCAGGGCGTGGCCGGCTCCTTCATCTCGACTGTTGTGCAGTACTCCATCTCCATCGGTCTAGGTATCGCGGCCACTATCGAGGGTCACGTTAATCACGGCGGGAAGGATACCATTCTGGGCTATCGCGGTGCTCTGTGGCTGGGTACCGGTCTCGCTGCTGTGGCTTTCTTCATCGTTGTTTTCTTCGTGCGCGACACCCGCTTCGATAAGACAAAAGAAGCCGAGGTTGAGGAGAGCTCTGGTGCTGAGGAAATGAAGATCGAGGTTTGAAAACGGTACTGCTGCTTATCTGTGCTCCTGACGGCCGATTCTCCCTTTTGCATTTATTTAATGATTTCCATTGCAATCTCATAAAATAGACCCCTATAATCACACTTATGGCGCAAAATAGCAATCCACATATTTACTCTAGTAAAGTTCTTCCTATCTCTCAAATGTCATCTGGCAGTAGACTCGTGATTTTCCGTTTATTATTTGACTAAGGCCTAGATTCCGAGTAAATCAGACGAGCTTCTCTGGTATAGCCAGGTTTAAAAGACGTAATTGCAAGCACACAAGCCAGATCCAATTTCCTTAAGCTGTGAAAGCATCCTGTGCTCAACTTTCGGCTATCGGAGCATCTGGAATTGTACTGTAGCAAGACAGAGAATGGCGAGTACAATATGGTCTGTTCTGGAATGAATGCGTGAGATATTCATGTTCTTCTCTAAGCCTTCAACGATCGTTCAGCCAAATCTGCGGGTTCCAATGGGCTCCAACGAGCCCCAGTGGGGCGGCCCAGGCCAATTTATGGACCAACAAAGCGATGCGCACTCCCCTCTTTATGTTGCCTCTCGGGGCCATGCGCTTCTCCTCCACTACCACCATGACTGACACAACCGCTAAGGAGTTCAAGGACCCGGTCAAGAAGCTGACTCTGTCATGCTCTCGATGTAGAGCCTCGAAATTGAAATGCGACCGCAAGGAACCATGTGTAGGTGATATTCCCTACGCCGCGTCAGCTCCCAGGCTAATGATCTGTCCAGCTGGAATGTATCAAGCGTGACTGCGCTCATCTGTGTACCAAAGATGAGCGCAGGCCAAGAGCCAAACGGACAAAAGTGCAGCATCAAGAACAGAACCCTAATCAGACTACCTCGGAAGACACCGAGGTAGAGGATACGGCGCAGGTGCTGGAACACTTTGTGGACGATGTCCCGCTGCCTTCCTTCAATGCATCGACGATAGCATCGGATTTCCCCAATCACTATTGGGTGACCCCAGATCCCCATAGACATGAACAGAAACTGGCTTTAATTCGCGAAATCATGCACGCGCTGCCTGATTGGGAACTCGTTGGTGTGCTCTACGAGGTTTTTATCACTCGATGCCAGGGTCCTCTAGGAAACGTTGTCCACATTTTGGAATTCATGAAGCAAGCTGACCAACTGCATCACTGTCTGGCAGCGCCCTCTCCCCGAAACAGCAATTGCTAGTACTCTATCAATGGACCAACTGGCTGGTTTGCTGCTCGCTGTAAGCCGACTCTAGCATTTTGACTTTTCCCCCTGAAGAAGTGCGCACTGACTGGTGACAGCTTGTACTTGGACTCGCCTTTCATCCTACTCCGTCTTTACTCGGATGGACTTCTATTCCAGCAACTTTGCGCGTGGAGCAAATGCGGGCCTCCGATGAGTCTGTCTGGACGTGGAGGTCGCTTGCTGTGCGGTGCCTTCAGGGACGCATCTCGCTTTTCTGTGGGTCTATTCATAGTCTACAAGCGGCAATTATGCTTCTCCTTGATGCACGCGAAAGCTGGCTCGAGCTCGATGCTGTCTTGGCTACTGCCATATCAGGTGCCCACAGACTCGGCTTGCATCGCCTCGGAAATGCACCGTTGGGTCCCGATCCTAGATCCGTGGCAGGGCAATCGCTTGTTCGCACTGAAATTGGCATTCGGATTTGGTGGGCTCTTGTCATGAGGGACTGGTCGCGTGGGCAAACTCTCGGATACTACACACTTCTTCCGTCGCACTTCAACACTCGAACGCCGCTTCATTTAAATGATGACGATCTGCTTCGACCACACGCCATGATCCTCGAGCGCCCCCGGTCGGAATTTACCATGCTCTCCTATACCGTGCATGCCCTGGAGCTTGTTAACCTTGTGCGCGAGTCCCTTAATCTGGGCGATGAAAAAGGTGAGCAGCGGCGCAAGAGCCTCTTCCAAAAGTACGAGCAATATGTCGCTGGTCTGCCGTCTTTCTTCAGACTAGGGAGTACGATGGGGCTGACTGCCATGGGACCAATGGCTGCCATCCCAGTCCAGCGATTTATGCTACATCAACAGCTCTGGAGTTTTCTTCTCCGCCTACACCGCGGCAATCTCTCTTCTCACATGGGCCGTGCATCGTGTCAGCTCCTGGCCCAAAATATCATTAGTACTCAAGCCCAGATCCAAGCCCGGTGCGCTGTTTGCAGCTCCTCTCTACAAACGATACTCAGATTTTCAATGCCAGTGTGGTGCTGATACTGGGTCTTTTGTTTGACGCGGCATCGGCCGATGTCGACCATGCGAGCGCCCAGCTCGCTCGGCTGATGACAAGAGACAAGATCAGAGAATCTATAGAGCTCCTGCGCTCCAAAAATAACCCTAAGACACTTGAAGATCCCCTTTCGGGAGGTCCTGCGCAAGGCTCTGGTCAACGTAGTGTGGCTGTCTTGGAGGCTTTGATGAAGCTGGAGGAAGGGGGTCCCTCTCGAGCCAGCGGTGCAGCATCCGAGTCGGAATCAGGTCTCCATCGCCGAGTGCTTGACATCCTCAAGAGACTGGACGCCCCTGTCACAGGAGATCTTCTACCACCGCTATCAATGCCGGAAGACACATTTATGACACTTCCCGTGACAATGGCAGATGAGTTTCCTGATATGGATGTAATCCCCATGCTCTCCCACGATTTGGGCCCAAACATGTGGGATTTCCTTGACTTCTCGCTCCACGCGGATGGACCGAGTAAGGGCCAACTTCCAATTCCGTCTGGCCAGCAGCCTTTATCCCGTCCGTCGGATCCCAATACCCTGCATCAGAGTCTTAGTAGTAGCGCGGGGACTCAAACTCTTATGATTCAAACATCACCCTCGTCTCTGGAAAGTGCGCCGACGCTGAATCCCGCAACAACGCCTTCCAATGATGATACGCATTTATTCAATCCCTTTGAGGACTCGGAGATACTCTGATAAAACCACATTAGTTAGGAAATTATTCACCTAAGGGACACCTTATAATACTCTAATAGGCTTCTCTGATCCGCCTTAGACTTGAAAAACTTTAAATCAAACCTGCCATTACTTGCATTTAAAGTAATATCTAATTTAGTGAATTTTTAGTGTAGGAGGTAATCTTGAAAAAAAGAATTAATAAACTAACAATAACTGCGTATCTTAATTAGCCCCTCTTACTTCTTCCTCCCTACTAGTAACTATATTATATTCCTAACAAGTCTAAGGTATAATTTCTTATCATTTCAGAAAGCCACTCAGCCTTATCTACAGTAGGGAGGCCTAGGTAGCTAAAGTAGGTAGGTAGAAGCTCTCTGACAGCCCTTTAGATATCTAATTTGGGCCTCTGTTACCATTACCCCGTGAGGACTTGCTTATATCAATAGTTTAGCTTATCATGACATCTTCCCTCAAAAATAAAGCCTCATCTTTACCACAGTCTAATTTTGCATATCTACCAAGCTCCCTACTATTATCATCTTGAACTATAATCTAAAGTCTGTGACAGCCTCCATGGTATAGGATTACCTAGTTGGACTCAAAGGCTATACTTGTCTATAGAGAATGGCGATTAGGAAAACAATTGTAAGCATCGACTCAGATTCCCTATCACGCTCTATCAGGACAAACAGCAGAAGTTTCGATCAATCCCGCCCTCCCACAGATACGCCAGATGCAGTAAGATCAGCCAAAACTAACAGCCGTTCAAGTTCAACGCTTATAGGTTGGGTCTCGCACGTGGGTACCCTACATCAAACCCTGGTCCAAATAACTCGGTGAAGAACCTCGCACCACCTGACGATTGTGATCGATAGGGAATCCCTAGGGAATCGACGGGGCGCCTTGGGAGCCGCTTCAGGGAATTGGATATTGCACCTTGTCTTGTTCTGCTTCCTTTCAATTTTCTCTTCTCTCACAAGCAATCGGTCATATTGTCGATGTAACCTCTAGAAAACCTAACCAGGCCTAAGATCGATTTTAATGATAGTTATAATTGCCGGCATTGAGGCTAATAATACAGGATTGAGATGATCCGATGTTAGACTCATAAAATCAGGCGGGGAACAACTTGAGGTTAGTGGGGTGGGGGTCGTTCGCAATCTCCTACTCTCCGCGGGGCATTGTTATGAGCAAGGAATTGCCGAGAGTAGGTAGGATACGAGGTTTCCAGTTCTGAGAGGTCTTGTTTCAATAAGCTGTCAGCATCATTGTTGGTTCTTCCTTTTTGCGTATGAAATCAGCCTCATTTCTTTGAATGTGACTCAATATTTAGTAGGTTTCTGATTCAATCCGGAGTCTCACGCAGGGCAAAACTTATTGTGATAGGTTCGAGCCCGCTTTGTGAATACTCTTTAGGCATAGTCCAACCAAATTCTAGTGCATGTAACCCTGCATGATTTAGCTCGAGGCTACTTGGCAGGCGCAGCTTTGGGGGCCGAGGACCCTGAATAGTGGAGTAGAAGGAGGCTCCGGCGATCTCGGTTAGAACACTCCTCTCCTGGACCGAAGTGGTCTGAAGTTTTCAAGCACATATAAATATAATGACAGAGGGGGAAAGCAACTTAATCAGATACCGCTCCCCTTCATAGATTTTTCACCCTTGCTCAGGCATTCACTATGGCGCTTCTTTTCGCTGGTTTCTCACTTCTAGCGGCTGCTCACGCCGCTAACGTCACCCCAGTCCAGGTCCCATACGGATGCGCCAGTCTCCCAAATCTACAGCAAACCGGTCCCAACACCGGATTTGCTGGTCCTTGGAACATTGTCGTCGATCAATGTGTCAACACAACTGCTACCGACAATGCATGCACTATCGAGGGGTTCCGTGACGTGGCTCGAGATGTCACGGTGGACGGTCAGCCCGAGGCCAGGAAAGGCTTTGTAAGACTCCTCGCATTTCCAGGGAGAGCAAAGAGAATTTCAAACAGCTCTAACAACCAGCTTCAGGTCAGTATCGTCAATGGACAATATGACGCAATGTCCTACCTCATTTGTAATGATGGAATTGGATTTGAAATCATGAGTTACTACGACAACATGAACGTTTATCTCCCCATCAATATCACCAGCGACCCTACCAATGCCCAGCTCCAGTGGGGTCTCGCCGAAGATGATAGCGAGGCGATTAATGCCTATTATCATTATATTGACGACGTCAAGCAAGACGGGATCTTCCTCGGTGCCCACAATGTTACCAGCTGGGGTATTCAACAGCAGACGAACGTTCCCGGGACTAGCGGAGGTCCGGCGTGGTTGCTCCGCCTGTTGGGGCCTGGGAGTGAGGACCAGGAGACTGGCGAGGCTTTGAAGGATGGAGAATACGAGACGTTTATTCGCATTAATGCTTGAAGCCTGTTTAACATCTAGCAGCAACCGAAATTACTACGTAAGGCTGCTAGGAGGGAAGCATGGAAAACACTTTTGAACGCTCCCCATGATTGGGGGGCTACTCATTCTGTTCCAAATAGATCCTGTCCCTATTGGGGCAAATGCATACGATGAATTCCGGTGTGGAATCCAAGAGACATCCTTTCCTTAGTTTGCGAGCTGTAGATATTTCGATCCTTATCCATCCCATACTCCATACTCTGTAAAAGCCATTCAAGCTGTAGCATCTTGATACGCTATTCTAGAATGTCAAGTATACGCAAGATATGCATATTCAGTAATAAACTCATTGAGTGTTTGGCTGAATGGCAGGCAAAACCCGGTATACTGACCGGGTTGAATTCTATAGTAGCAGAATCAGCGGATCTACACAAGCTAAGCAGTATGGTGGGCGCGGGATATTTGAAAGTAGAAGAAATCGCTATTGGGTATTGAAATTTCCGTTGCTCTGTAATCTAGTTTTTCTCGAAAATCCCCTTCCATTCTTTTCATTATTCAATCCATCGCTCTCATGGAGATTTTCTGTTCCTACGGATGGAGAGGCAACCCGTCTGGCTTCTAGACGCTTCTTTCTTTGACGTCGCTTTTAAAGCTCACCTATATATACTCACTCATATTCCATATGTAAAATATCACACTCAAATCTCAGCCTCAAACGCAATACCCATAATAGCACCCCCGGCAACGGCAATCACAGCCAGAGGCTTGAGGTCTAGATAGTCGGTCGGGTTCCAGAGCGGCACAAGCGTCGTCTCCTTCGGTAGCTGCTCAATTGGTTCCAGAAACCACGTCGACGTCACCGCCAACCACGCCAGAACCCAGACAAATCCAACAACCTTCTGCCAAAGCGGCGTTACGGCTTCGGGGGCATCCGACGACTTCGCATTGGCATTAGCACTGCCATTGGTGTTGCCAGACGAACGACTGTTCTTCCAGATATATTGCACGCCATCCTCAATCATGTAGCCTAGTACAAAGGAGAGGAAGAAGTGCATGGAACCAGTTTTCTCTAGTGGCACGCCCTGTATGTGGTCGCTGACCACGTGCGTGATCCCAGAGATCAAGAACACGAGGAAGACGTTCGTGTAGCGCTCCAAAATAGACGGCCGCGGTAGATGGAGAACATCACGCGCAATAAAGTTGCTAGGCGTCGTGAAGGGGTCGCGCACGAATTGATGCCAGAATTTACTAGACAAGGATGTTAGCTCTGGCTGACTCGGCGAGACACGGTGTTGTCCGGGTTTATTGCAAAGAAAGGGGGAATATAAAACCAAGGGGAAAGAAGCAGCATTTCGTTGGTAAAGAAAAACAGGATATTTTATAGACACTCACCCCCAGAAGTTCCGGAGCGTATACGCATCCGCCATACGCCCAAACGCCGGTGGCCAATCCTCAGGTCTCGACAGGGCTAGAGCAACGCAGACGATGGAGCCAAAACGGTAGTGCGCATCAATCAGGATACGGACCATCAGGAACCAGCTGATTAGATTAGGGACGACGCGCTCCGCCATTTTCTCCAGCGGTGGGAACAGTTCTGGCCGCGCGAGGCGTGTATCTAGCGACGGCGCCTGCGTGGCCGCATTCGCACGCGCCAGGGCCTGGAAAATACTAAGGACCAGGTACTGCCACATGAAGATAACGGTCTGGCGGATTAGGAAGCGGACGCGGGAGATGCGCGGTCCGCGACGTGTGTAATAGTCCAGGTGTGCCGGCACGTTCTTAACCTGGCGCGGAGTATTAACAGCCCGGGGAGAACAGACCTGTTCGATGGCATACCAGAGGCGGTCGGACAAGAAGAGCTTCTGTGGCTGTTCCCGAGCGAGATCCCCGGCATCTAGCGGTTTGAGGAGCAGCATGTTGATGGCGGCGAGCACGGCGCCGACCAGGAAGTGGGAGGTGATCGGCCTGCTAGCAGTGGCATTTTCGTAGGGCTGAACGAAGCGGCTAGCGATGAAGACCATGCATAGTATGGCGACATAGCGCCAAAAAGACCGTTTAGGGGTGGCAATCAGGACAATGGCCAGGATAAGGTATTGCACGAGGGCGCTGCCGACGTAGTCGAAGAAGTCGGAGGGCAATTCCATGGTGCTGTGTTCCCTGGATCCTCTCTATTTCTATATGAGGAGTCGCAGGCAAAGCGGCCGGGAAATCTGACGTTTGTGAGGCTGGATCGAACCTTTTATTTGGGTTCAGCTGAGCGCTGTGGAAAGGAGTAGGTGGATTTGAGTGTGGGGGCCGTGTTCGCTGGCGGTCGTGGGTCTTTGCTGGCACGTCTCACCCGGACCCCAAAGTCGCAGCCTCGTCTCGCAGGATGATTTGCGCTCGCCATTCAATTATTTGGGAGAGAAATCACGCATCAAGCGAAGAGACGACTGGGGAAATTCTACAGCCCTTGCTCGATTTCTAGTATCGGTTCGCTATTACCGAAAGAAGGAGCCGCCGCGGATCTTGCATCTTCCATCTTGGATAAGCCTGTCGAGACAAGTCGATACAGACTGAAAGGACCAGGCTAGAACCAAATAACTACAAGTAGGGGGCTGTGCAAGATCCTCCGAACTAATTTGAAACCTCAGATTGAAGAAAAAAATAAATAAGGCTTCTATGCTCCGTTCACGAGAAAAGCTCGGACTAGATAAAACTAGCTATACAGCCCCCAGCCCTAATTGTACCTTGCACATGTCCGGCGCCCGCGCCAGAAACAGGATGAAAAGAAACAAAACCAAGAAAAAAAAAAAGGAGAGAGGGAAACAGAAAAGCCGACCCTGCATAAAGTACACCGCAAGAAGGACAAGCCCATGCCCAGACGCCGAAATGCTATCATACACAGTTTCATACATGCGGATGCATAAAGACAAAAGCACGCGGGGAAAACAGAAAGAATTGCAACCAAACACCGCCCCAAGTCATCAGCTCATGGCATGAGCGGGAGATAAGCGATCATGGCTGGAATCTTGTCAATTGACTCCACTCCGTCGCTTCAATCTCCGTCGCTGCCGCTGTGACGACTGGATGGCTTCATCGGTGATCAGCTCAGCCGGAGGCTCGAAATCACGTTCCTCCGTACTGGGCATTGGATGGCCAAAGGCGAGGAGGGTGTGCGTGCGATCGCTACGGGGACCACTGGCATCGGCGAGGGCCATCTCGCGCAGATGCGGATGTTCGAAGAATGAAGTGAAGGGTTTGTCTGGGGGAGGAGGATAGAAGATCGGGACAGGAGCAGGCGGGGAAGGGGATCGGGCAGGTTGAGTGACGGGTGGGTTCTTCGGTCGTTTGGCCGAGCTTTTGGTCTCGTTTGCTGAGGCCGCCAGATCGTCGTCATCTGGGCGGTTGGGCCGGGGCTTCCGGCTCTCTGAGACGGATTTGCGCCGTTTGGCGTCGAACGCGGAGCGCGTTTCCTGGTGCAGCTGGCGGGCGGCCCAGGCGTCGACGTCGCTGGGGTCGGGAGTGCTGGGGGTGGGGGGCAACGGAGAGCTGTCTTCATCCAGCTCTTCGGCGGCTCGGGAGCGTTTGCGAGAGTGTCGGGAGGGTGCATGAGACTCGGCTTCAGCATCGGCCACGGGTAGATTCTTCTCCTTAGCCAGCTTGCGTTTTCTCTCCTCGTCCCTCCAGACTTGAAATTTGGTCACAAGGGCGACCAATTCATCCATAAGGATCTGCCGTTTCGGCTCATACAGTTTCTTTTCACTGTCGTGCACGCCTACAAGGCCCATCACACGGAGCCAATCTTGGCCGCGTAGTTCATCCAGGAGCCGTTCGACGTGCTGTTTCTCATGCTGTGCCCGATCACGTTCAATGTTGCGCAGTTGTTTTTCCTGGCGCTCGAACTTCCGGTGCGCTTTGAAGTATAATTCTTCATTGAGCGGATCAATCCCCAGCGAGCTTGACGCGGGCTCCGGAAGCGTGATGGCTTGACAGTCATAGAGTTTTTCGAGTGGATTGCCAAACGGCGTGGGGTTTGGGGTAGAGGAAAGGGGTAATGGTTCGGGTAGGTCATCTACAAGGGTGACAATTGTGGCTGCGGCAAGAAGTTCTGGAGTGGGGGAGGATATCAATATCAGCAAATGCAGACTTAAGTCTCGCCAGTCACGTAAAAAGGGGTTTGAGGTCCCAACTGACCAGGCTTAGGGTCCTCCAGGCTGATAATTTGTTCATAATTATGAAAATATTGAGCCAGCTCGCTCTTGCATCGAGCTGCCGTGTCTGCCGAGCGAAGTGATCGCCTCTCCGTGCCTGTCCGCTCAGTGACCGTTGCTGGCGCTTCGTGCGCGGTCTGATCGCCCTTGAGCGTTCGTTGCGACCGCGTCGCCTCGACCGAGATAGGCTCGGCTGATTTCTCCAATGCCGCATGTTTGCTCTCCCTCTTGACCGTATCAGACGCCTCTGAATGTCCTTCGCCTCCAAGGTCGCCGCGTCTGGCCTTGCGCGCCACAGTGGGGGATATCGTCGGCTTCGCCCCATCCGCCGTCGAGGCCGAGGCGTCGGGACGCGCCCGGGGTGCTGGGTTGATTGCTACCGGCGATATCATGTCCAATGGGTCGGGAGACTCGCGCGCATCACGCAGGAAGTCGGGGGCGACGTCCCCCACAGGGGGTCTCGGTCGGAAACGCCCCGGAGTTTCTTGACGGCCCCATTGCCGTGGACGCGAGGATGGCCAGGCGTGGCCAATTGATGGTCCGACGCGATCGAGTCCACCGAGGAGGACCGGCGACGAGTGCGACGGGAGGAGGGACGAGGGCGCGTCGGCTTCAAGGGAGGGGGATTGGCGTGTCGAGCTCTGCCGGAGCTCCGGCTCTCGTCCGGCGTAGTGGTGTCAAGGCAGTCAGGCGAACTCTGCCGGCGACGCGGCCACAGGTCATGCAGGGTTCGCTGTTTCTTCATCGGCGGACCCTGACCGTCGTTGTGCGCAGGGTCGGGGTTCCGTCGCACAGAGCCGCGAAGGGACGACCGCGACAGAAGGGCCATTGCGGGACGAGAACGGGAGAGGGATTAGTCCGCAGTCATGCTGTGATGGCCACCAGACGAGAGAGAAAGACGTCGGGTTAGGGGCGGGAGGGAAGAGAGGGGGGGAAAGGTCAGGGCGCGGGGATCGCGGAGGTTGAAGAGCTGGCCGGCACAAGAGGTTCTTGGCGGCCTGCGCGATGCTGGTCGCCTTTCTACATGCTCGACATGCTTGACATGCTATTTGTGCCTGATGGCCACGCCCGGGCCTTCTGCGGCGACTGTACGGCAGTCGTGAGCCTTTTCTTTCGGGTGGCCTTTCTCTTGCTTTTATTTCGCCTGGTTCGATCGAGGGCTCTGTGGCCTGGTGGCCTCGCAGTTGGAGACCGATCTGAATCCCTCCCCGTAGATACCAGGATGGATAGCACCGATAGCATGTAAAGTATATATATGTCTCCGGAGTCTACATCATGACAAGATTATCTGTCCAATCACGATCATGCCCGAATGCACTACTTGCTTTCCTGCTGCTTTCACCCGCGATCTCATGGCTTCTCCACGCAGCAGAAACATGCCTCTGAACGAGATCACGGTTCCCCAGATCTCGACAACGTGGACCTGTTGACCTGTTGACAGCCTTCCCAAGCCCAGTCGCACCTTGCCTTTGGCCTTGTACCCACAACATATGGTGATTTCTATTTATCTCCAATTCGCCAGTTCTCCAGTTCTCCATTTATCCCCGGTTGTCCGTCTTCTTGAGCCCTGTGTCCCCCACGTCCGCGGGTGGGGGGAACCGGTTCACACCGATTCTCCGATCTCACATGCCCGCCCACTCCGTTCCGCCCTCCCCCAAACTCCTCTTCCTCCGCTCCTGGACCATGGCAATGGGTTCTGATCTCGGGGCCTCCCAGGTGGGACCAACGGCCGACCACCTGAGACCCCAAGGGCTTTTGCAACGCCGGACATCGTTCCGATGTCGAACGGAGGAGTTTTTGTGTCACGGAAGCACCAGAACCAACCCCGCAGAGTGGCGTGGGGGTCTCCGAGCTGCGCTGTCGAGCAAATGAGGAGGGGAGGAAAGAAATGACAAGAAATGACCAACATCGATCCAATCCGCCAACTGTGTCCACTTTTCCGCGTCGCCAATGAAGTCATCCGAGACCAACGAAAGTCACCCACGGCTAATCAGATCCGCCAGAGGGGAAAGAGGGACGTGGGGGTGGGGATCAAGACGTATTTATACGTTGGGTCAACGTCCGCAACCTTCCTGAATCCCTTTCCCCTCGCTCGATGAGCGGTGTTCCTGGTAAGATATGCATGCCCTGGCGCCCAGCAGACCCGAACTCAACCAGTGAAACTGCCACCGCTAATCACCACCGTCTAGACTCTTGAATTCGTGCCCCCCCCCCCTCCGCTCCTTCGCCATCACAGATACTTGCCCCCCCCCCGCCATCATGACGGCCAACGGTACGACGAAACGCAATCCCCTCCCTCGTGGATTCTACGTGCCTACCGTAGCTTTCTTCCAATCGGACGAGGAGGTGGATCTGGCCACCACCGAGAAGCACGCGGCGCGCCTGGCCCGCAGCGGTGTCACCGGCCTGGTCACGCAAGGCAGCAATGGCGAAGCGGTGCACCTGGATCGCGAGGAGCGCAAGGCGATCACGGCGGCTACGCGACGCGCGGTGGATGCGGCCGGCTATCCGACCATGCCCGTGATCGCTGGCTGTGGTGCGTCGTCCACGCGCGAGACCATTCGGTTCTGCCAGGACGCCGGAGCCTCTGGTGCCGATGCCGTACTGGTCCTCCCACCCAGCTACTACAAGGACTTGGTCCCCAAGGCCGCTCTCCAAGCGCACTTCGTCGCCGTGGCCGACGCATCGCCCGTGCCCGTACTGATCTATAACTTCCCGGGGGCCTCGTCGGGCCTCGACCTCTCCTCTGATGACATCCTGGCGCTGTCGCAGCACCCCAATATCCTGGGCTGCAAGCTCACCTGTGGCAACACCGGTAAGCTCGCGCGCATCGCGGCGGGCTCCAAGTCCGAGTTCTTGACCTTTGGTGGATCGGCCGATTTCACTCTGCAGACGCTCATCGCGGGTGGGGATGGGATCATCGGCGGGACGGCCAACCTGATTCCTCGGTCGTGTATGCGGCTGATGGAGCTATATCAGAGCGGCCAGATCATGGAAGCGCAGAAGTTGCAGGCCGTTGTTGCCCGCACGGACTGGGCGGCCATCCACGGTGGCTTCATCGCCGTCAAGAGTGCCCTTCAGTCGTATCACGGATATGGGGGCTTCCCCGCCGACCTTGCGTCGTGCCCACCCCCCAGGCGGCCGCCGCAATCCACGAAGAGTTCCGAGAAGGGATGGAGCTGGAGCAGTCATTGGGAAAAACCCGCCTCGAGAGCTAAAGACCGCTGGAGCAGGGTTGGACAAGTTGGGACCGCTCGTATTCACGCGTCTCGGCACGCAAATGGAAGTCATAACTAGACCGGTCGTTTGGAAATCGGCTCGGTTCCGTCGAAGATAGTTCAAAGATAAATCATGATACCTCCCCTTCATACCTCGTGTTCCCGTAACGCAAGCTCCCTCCCCGCTCCCTTGGCCTCGAGCCCGCCATGGCGAGCTGGTATATCTCCAGCCCGTAGCTTTCGGCGTCAAGCCACCTCCTCTCATTTCCGACGATGGGCTTGGGGCGGAGTGATACGCTTATATGGCACGGACGCTGCCTTTTCAACCTCCTCGGCCTCCTCTAAAATGTCACAGTGGCATTGGATAGCAGTCGCGTGCCTCCGTCTGCGAGTTTGGCCGTGACGTCGACGTTCGGCCCCTCTCGCGTCTCTCTCTCTCTCGCGTCTCCCGATAGACGAAGCGAGCTGTTCTGCCCAAGTACCCCGATGTCGCATCGTTGTCGTATGTGGAGGTCGCAGTTGGAACAAGGTCGTGGCTGTTCATTTAAGCTAGCTCGAACCCAACCGAACAACCGGCTCAAAGAGGGTTAGTCGCGTGGAGCGGAATGTAACCTCCAATGCTGCCTTCTGCAGCAATGGAACTGAAACACGAAACACGCTGTTGTTTATCGGCAAATTGAAGGAGCCCAACAAAAATCTCGGAGACACTTTGGGGCCCTGCAAGCTGTGAGGGCCGTGAGGGCTGCGAGGGCTGTGAAGGCTGGGAAGCCATTTGCCGAAGCGTTGGGGGCTGCTACATCGCATTCCCAGCGATCAGCGATCAGCGATCGGCATGCGCGTTGCCACCATAAATAAACCCCGGCTGCTCCTGGTCTCCAACTTCTTCTCTCTTCTCTGCGCCCACCTCATCACCATGAAGTTCATCTCCGTCCTCGGCGCGCTCGGGACCCTCGCGTCGACCGTCTCCGCGGTCAAGGTGAACCCACTTCCCGCGCCCCGCAACATCACTTGGGGCTCCTCCGGTCCGATTCGCGTTCGCCAGGTCGCCCTCCGGACCACCGACAGTCACGGACACACGCATGCCGTGGTCAATGAGGCCTGGGAACGTGCCTGGGCTACCATCACTAATCTCCAATGGGTCCCTGCAGCTGTTGAAGCTCCCATCTCCTCGTTTGAGCCCTTCCCCACCGCCGCCCCCGAGCCCTCGGCCTCGGCCAAGGCCAAGCGAGCAAGTACGGCAAAAGCCATTCAGTCGGTCCAGTTGTCCGTCATTGACGGAGACGCGGACCTCCAGCACGGGGTTGACGAGTCATACACCCTGGAAGTGACGGCGACGGCCGGCAGTGTCAAGATCACGGCCCAAACTGTGTGGGGTGCTCTTCACGCGTTCACCACGCTGCAACAGCTGATTATCTCCGATGGCCGGGGCGGGCTCATCATTGAGCAGCCGGTGAAGATCCAGGATGCGCCTCTGTACCCGTACCGGGGTATCATGATGGATACGGGACGCAACTTCATCTCCCTGCAGAAGATCCTCGAGCAGATCGACGGCATGGCTCTCTCCAAGCTCAATGTTCTACACTGGCACCTGGATGACGCCCAATCATGGCCGATGGAGATGCGCTCTTACCCGCAAATGACCAAAGATGCTTACTCGGCCCGCGAGGTGTACACGGCGGCCGATATCCGCCGGGTAATTTCCTACGCCCGATCCCGCGGGGTCCGGGTAATCCCCGAGGTCGACATGCCCGGCCACTCGTCCTCGGGCTGGAGACAGATCGACCCGAAGATTGTGGCGTGCGAAAACTCGTGGTGGTCCAACGACGTGTGGGAGTACCACACGGCCGTCGAGCCGAATCCGGGTCAGCTGGACATCATCTACCCCAAGACCTACGACGCGGTGCGCAACGTCTATACCGAACTGTCGGGCATCTTCACCGATAACTGGTTCCATGTCGGCGCGGACGAGCTCCAGCCTGGCTGCTACAACTTCAGCTCCTATGTCATGGACTGGTTCGCGGAGGACTCATCGCGTACCTACAATGATCTTGCGCAGTACTGGCTCGACCACGCCCTGCCCATTTTCCGCAGCGTGGGCTCGCACCGTCGCATGATGATGTGGGAGGACATCGCGCTGGGCACCGAGTCGGCTAACGACGTACCCAAGGACATTGTGCTGCAGAGCTGGAACAATGGCTTGACCAACATCCAGAACCTCACGGCCCGTGGCTACGACGTTGTCGTCTCATCGTCTGATTTCCTGTACCTGGACTGCGGCAAGGGTGGCTTCGTCACCAATGACCCGCGCTACGACGTGATGTCCAACCCTACCGGCGATGTCACCTTCAACTACGGCGGCATTGGGGGCTCCTGGTGTGCGCCGTATAAGACCTGGCAGCGCATCTACGACTACGACTTCACGTCCAACCTCACCGAGTCGCAGAAACGCCACGTTCTGGGCGCTGAGGCGCCTTTGTGGTCTGAGCAGGTTGACGACGTGACAATTTCTAGCCAGTTCTGGCCGCGGGCTGCTGCGCTCGGCGAGCTTGTCTGGTCCGGCAACCGCGACGCCTCTGGCCAGAAACGCACTACGCAACTCACCCAGCGTCTGCTGAACTTCCGCGAGTATCTTGTTGCGAATGGAGTGATGGCCACTGCCCTCGTACCCAAGTACTGTCTCCAACATCCCCACGCCTGCGACCTATACTACAACCAGACCGCAGTGTCTCCTTGAAGGAATGGGGGATAGGAAAACGGGGGGAGGGTTCTTGAATTGGACCGCTCTTTACATGCCTGTTGGTTCCTGTTGACGCTTATTTTGCTTCTGTTGGTCTTCTTTTCTTCTTCCTTGGCATCCATTAGGCATTTTTATTCCCTGCCATCGCCATCAGCCAGCCCATAACTTTTATCTGTACATACTTGAGTTCACAACCTCGATACCCATCAATATAATTATATTATTAACCGGGTGACCAAAACTTCCCCCTTTCCTTGAATTCCAGGAGGGTCCAGTACGATCTGAGACTCCATTTTCGTCTGGCCTGCATGAGCCCCTAGCCCTCTTCCCCCTAAATGTCTGTCTCCCCCCCCCCCCCCCCCTCCATTTTCCCAGGTGCTCCTATACGTTCACAACCTGTCATCGAACACGACCTAGGCCTCTTAGGTTTTTTTTTTTTTTGCCAGTCCAAATCCCAGCATCACGCGAACAGATCTGTCCTCGCATGCCTGTCTCGTTTCAGAATCAGCCCAGCTCCATCCAGGCCCATCGGTCAACGCCGGGCTGCGGTGCAACAATCCTGAAGCAAAACGCACGGAATATATTCTCTTCTAGGAGGTTCTCGCGCTGCACGTCAGATGTGGCTCTTGCCCTCTCCTTGCTTGATTCACCCCCAAACAAGTGTTAATTCCAAGCGAGGAAACTCCCAGAAGAAGACGCAAGACGAAATAGAAGAAGAAAAAGGGCCAGAAAGTATCAAGATTGCCCACCAAGCATCTTTCCTCACCCCGCTTGCACCCGCCCCTCCAAAAAGAAAAATAAAATAAAATTAAGCTCAGAACAGAGTATCCGACTCATCGGTGCCACCGTCCACATCCACACACTCACACACACACACTCTCTCTCTCTCTCTCTCTTTTTCTCTCTCTCATCTCGTCTTTCTCTTCTGCCAGTGGCACACGTGGCTTTTGCAAAATACAGACGCAAGAGAGGACACACCCGTCACACACAAGTGCAGTGCGTCGGCGATGTTCGGGTTTCACGTCCCCCTTCATTCCTTCCTTCCCCCCCCCGGCCCTGCTCGGGGCCCGCACGGGGCCTACTCGAGGGACATGGGGATCTGATCTGATCTGTATGTTTTGGTTCCTTGAAAAGTGCTCTAAGTCGGGAATGCAGGCGGGATTTCCTGCGTAACGTCGTGCCTTGATTTTGGAGGAGGCGGTTGAAGATGAAGTTGAAAAGGGGAGGGAGAAGACAAGGAAAACTTGACGCTGGTGGATCTGTCTAGATGGTTTGAATCTGGAAGTATATATCCCGGATCCGACGACGACATATTGGGTTGCTTGGTATTATAGGGTTTCAACATTGAGTTGATTGACCGGGTGACAGGGCTTGGACTTGCCTGTCTTGGTCTTTTGGGGAAGCATTTAGCTCAGTTGTAGTTATTCTAATACCTTCTTCTTTAGAGTTCTTGTTTCTGCTTGCGTTACTGGATCAAAAGGGCTGAGTATGTATTCGAGAAGAAGGCTGTGAGACGAAGGGTCAGTGGTGCTCGACAGGTCGATGCCGCCATATGATTAGCAATCTTTGACTAATGGCCAAAAAAGCTGGGAGGACCGCGGATGCTAGTCGGGGACGGAGTGGGGATATGATTTGTTCCTGATGGCGAATTTAACTGTTGTTACACGGTGCTTTGATTCTGGTACGGTGGTTGAGGGAGTGATTTGGTCCTTGTTGGGCCGTGACTTGGGGGAAAAGAGGGGGGGGACCACTTATCGGTTCAATTGTTAAATCCGATGGAAGAAAAAGGATATCTAGAGAGAGAGCGATAGGAAAGGGCATTCGATTGAGGCGTACATGGCGTTGCAATGTTTTGTTGTTGGGGGTGGTGTCTGTGAAGTCTAGAAATCTCGATATACTACAACTGCCGTAGCTAGATCTTCGCGGATCGTCGTAGAACTTCGCAGCGGGAACCAACTCTAGCAAAACTGGGGTTCTCTTTGCATGCTCGAATCACCTACTTCTAGTGTTACTATGTGCGGCCGTGTCAAAATAAAATATGCCGTCCAACATGCTGAAATTACCACACCCTGACCCTGACCCAAAGATTCCCTACAAATGACCAATTCTCGGTTCGGGGTAGACCCCGACGTTAGAAAGATCTATTATCCAATACCAAAAATCCCGAGGCCTGGGAAACCTCCATCCAAAGCAAAAGAGAAAATAGATGTTACCTGGACCCAGAAAGTAGGACACGACCGTCATCTGACGAGCCAATCCCAAATCCAAGAATCCAAGAATCCAACCCAAGAAGAAGCAAGCACCAGGAACCCCCCTGTCCAAGTGTCATGAAGGAAAGCTCAGAAAACTGCAAGATGTTGACGTGGAGTGCGATCCAATATTCAAACACCAATCTCCAATGCGGATCTAGATGATCGACACAGCCAATTCACTAGCCCTGGTTCATTTTCGTTTTCTAGCTGCTCCAGTCTACGGGCAAAAGGCCGACTATTCCTTGGACATTTGACCACAGCAGTCTATCTGTGAGAAGTCTATCTGCACGTTGCTCTTTTCCCCGCCACCAGAGTATCTAGCCAGCTAGCCTCAACACTCAATCTTGAGACACAGGAAACGAGACATCCCCTTTCCCACCCTCCTAATTATACTTTTTACGCAATTCTCAATCCCACGTCCCACTTCGATTTGCATCTTCCTATCACAAACATGGACGTGCTCTTCCACCCCTGCAGAGTTGTCCCAATCACCCAACCAGGTGTCCGGGATCTCCTCGCAAGATCCATATCGACCGCACGTCCCTGCAGAGACACAATCCCGATCACCACCACTATAGAAGTTTAAGCACGCTGCAATAGACACAAATGCAATCACTTCCTTCCCCCAATCCTGATCGGGGTGTACACCGGAATTATGCCCCCGTTCTCGAACGGGTAGATGTGTATGGCTAACCGACCTAGTGCGTACTCACCACGAAGCGCAAGCCACACCGGCTGTGCGCACAAACCATGGCTCTCGGATCTCGGCCAAGCCTAGAAAACGATAGACCAGACGCCAGATGCCAGGTGCCATTCGCGGCGCAGCGTCAAGATCCCACCACCCAGGGACCTGGAGACGACTGAGAATACGGTGTAAAGACGGGAGACCAATAAACGCGGGACAGGACTCTGGATGCTGTGGGGAGTAATTCCAGATGCGAGATGAAATCCACAGACCCAGAGAGTGACCCAGAAGCACTAGCAAAGCTATGTACATAGTCCGTACACAAAGCCGTGCCACACGACCCATGGGCACGTCATAATCGGTCACGATGCCCGGTGAAAAAAAAGACAGGGCAGCACGGGCCAGGCGGACATCGTCTCGATGGAGATGGCAGAGGGATCTCGGAGATAGTGGTGCAGGCTGGTCATTGGTGCGATCTACGGGGCAATTGCTTTTCCCGTAGTGGGGATGGAGTCTCTCTGCGGTCCAGTTCAGGATAATTGTGGATAAGGAGGGGGAGGAGGAAAGGAATATAGAACAAATTGTACGCCGTACTCCCCACTGCGTGTATCTTTCGGGGAAACTTAGCTTCTTCCGAGAAGAGATCCTGATCCTGATCCTGATGGTGGGAAGGGGGGGGCAGAGTGGAGAGCTGCGGAGTATGACTCCATCGTTGGGTTGAGTGGATTGGGAAGGAGGTTGGGAATGTAACTTGTTCTGCGGAGAAAGAGAAAAGGCAATAATGAACTCTTGGTATTTCCATATTCGATAATGAAGATTCAGATCTATTCCCTCGTCTGATGGAAAGGGAAACTAGAAGCCACGAAGGAATGACAGTGGCTTGCTGAGCCACCCGAATCGGTTTCCTTGCGCTGGATCCTCAATCCTGTGTGTTTTATTGTTTTTTGTGAGACTGCTACTGGAGTTTTGCTTCTTGGAGATGCAGAAAATAATGTCTGATTCCTCCATTTCTCCGAACTTCCGAGCCCGTGGCCCCTGGCTGCAAATCCACGCAATTCACCAAGGACCAAGTCCACAAGTCCCCGGCGATCGGACGGCTAACAGTCCCCAACAAAAAAAACAAAAACAAAACAAAAAACCGCCGACAGGCTCGATAAAAGGAGAGACTCAAGACACGACTCCGGTGGGTTGGGACTCAAAATCGGAAAGTGACAGGTCCAATCTTCATCGCGACCTGTCCCCCGGTACCGTCGATCCTGGGGCCTGGCGGTGGCACGGCAAAGTTCGGGCGCTTATGCATCTCTCTCGGTTCCAGGATCTCGGGCTCAGTGGTGCTGTCGATCCGTCCACCGCCAGTCGCCGCGCGCAATTCCAATCCTTGGTCTCGCGGGGTCCTCGTGAAGTCGAAGCGGACAAATATCCAGGAATGTGATGGGTGTGGTACCGGTGCCCGGACAAATTGGGTCTCCATTTGACAGCGCGGTAGGCTTACTAGTCCGTCGTTACTGCAGCGTCGATCCCCGTCGCGTCTGGAATGGTGGCTGTCTGGACTTCGTACTCGGGCGTCCTGCACGTCTCTCGCCTGCAGGCGCACGAATGGGCAAGGTTCCCGACGTTGCCGGACGTGGCCGGACCTGCGCGGCCATTGTCCCGAGTCATGGAGCGTGTCATAACCCTATCCCGAGTCCTGCCAACCAACGCATCACAGACAACCATAACCCTAACAGGCCACCAAAGCGCCGACCTCTCCCCCGGCCTCTCCTCTCTATCTCTTTTTCTCAGCGCTACAAAGGCTCTTTCCTTTCTGGGTATCCTCTCCATGCTCTCCCTATCCATCTTCTCACCTTTCGCTTGTCTCTTGTCCCTTGTCCCTTGTCCCGGCGCTCGTGCTCGTGCTCCCATCTCGGGGACCATCGGCCTTCATACTGCATTCACCCCCCTTTCCCCTTTCGTCTCCTCTTGCCCTCCCCTCTTCCCATATGTAATCCATTAGTCCGGGTGGTTGGCTCATATTGTTCGGGGTTGATCGACACCCCCCGATAGCATATCGTGTCACGGTGTAACTGTCTGCGCGCTGCAGTTCGCCCTCTCATCGTCTCTCCATCGCGACATTCCTTCTTCGGGTTGTTACACCTCGGGGCCCGTTCCCCCCACTCCCTCCCCGGGAACAAGAGCACACTCAAGGCCAGGGCCCGTTGCTGCGCCAGGGTCTGGGCTCGATCTCAAGGCAACTGAGATCGCGCCCATCCTCCGGGGCACGGGCTCCCGGTTTGGTGCCCGGGTGCAAAAGTGACTTAGGATGGGTCGATCCATCCTTCTATTTCCCCCCCCCCCCCTCCCCCCTCTCTATCTCCCGTACTGGGCAATTATTCTGAAAGAAGCTTACGAAGATCGCCCACCTTGGTCTCTGCCCATCGATGGGCAATCAGACGGGATCCACGTCGCGGCCGTCTCTCCAAGCCACCAATTTGACCGTACTCATATTCTAGTGGCTAGTGCCTGGGTGCAGATAGAACGAGACCGCATTCCTTGAGATCTGCATGATAAAATGATGTCAGGGCCCAGGATCATCGCGCCGATTCCAAGTTTCCAGAGGTCTAGCAGAGTCTATACAGCAGTAGTAACTGTAGTGGTCGTAGTATTGTAGTATGATAGTATTGTATTGACAATAGGTATATCCGATGATTCGGTGAATTGTGGGCGCGTATACTCTATCGTCCAGGCTATCTTTTGATCGCTTTATCGTCCGGGTACATCATCCCCCACCCATCGCACACAGGTCGATCAGTTCGATCCGCTCTCCGCGATGCTCCGTTTATTCCGTTATTCCGTGCACACAGTACTCCGGATCATCTCTTCCGGCCTATCGAGCTACAGATGCTGATCCCCAGACCTCCATCAAGGAAATTCTGGTCGATCCTCGAGTCATGCTTTAATCGTAGCCAGAGCCTCCTTGAATCGACGAGGATCCCCGTGGACGTGTGAGGGCCTCTGGCCTAAAGCTTATCTTGCAGCAATAGTGTCTTTAGCGGCTGACACCCGCGACGGGGCGATTGGACAGGGCCCCTCGTGAAATGGGAGGGCGGCTTTCGGTTCGGTTCGTGTCGAACCCGGGCGAACGCTCAGGCACCAGAGATAGAGAGGGAGACAGACAAAGCAGGCGTCGATCCGGAGCGGAATGGACGGTGGCGTTGAGGTTCGCTCCCTCCCCCATACCTTTGTTTTTTTTTTCTTCATGATACAGAATGTCCAGGATGTAAAGGACAAAGATGTACCGGATGTACTTTAGTCTTCGGTACTCCGTACACTCTGCACGAGTCCACCGACGGTGAACTATACTCTCCATACGTCCGTGCTCGACATTTCTGCAAATCTTCGACGGAATATACTTCGACCCCTCCCCGTGAAAGACTTCCAGTCTAACTCCGCCGGATCGATGGCATCGAGGGTGTTTCCAGGCCCCATGCCAAGCTTGGAGATTGGAGACTATTCGTCCCGGCCGGCTTCACATGTATACATTGTACCCTATACATTCGCCCCTTGTACTCTTGGCTCTTGGACGTGAAAGGATCGACCTCCGGATTGACCCCACTCGAGTCGAGTCCCGCGAACACGAACCCGCGCCCCCGCCTCTAGACGGGATCAACCGAGCCGTTCGATCATTCACCTTTGAATGCGCCATTCAGCAATCGTCGCGTCCTCTTCCCATTCCCCGCTCGACACCCGTGCTCTGGGTGGCACGAGCGCCGAGAGGAAGGAGGAGGGGAACACCCATGAACTATCCTATGAACCTATGAACCTATGAGCCCACGAACCCACGAAACACTTCACGCCCTAGAACAGCAGTTACTATGCTCTCTCTCTCTCTCTCTCTCTCTCTCTGTGGCCTTCCCCATGCCGCTTCGGTATATTGTATCTCTTTTTCTTTTTTCCCGCCCCCGAAATCTGAAGCTCGCCCACCGTCCACTCCTCTATCGTACGTGAAGAATACAGGCTAGGTTGTCTCAGACGCGTCTGCGCGGGAAACGGCCTCGCCTATCAGACCCGGAAATGGAAATCGGCGAGGCCGAGACTTAACCCCCGAAAGAGGGGCGAGTGAAAATACGCCACGAACTGTGAACTCTCTGTGTAAGTCAATTTCAATAGTGCACTAGGTAGTGGGCAGTAGGTTCAGAAAGAGGCGTTACTAGGGAATAAGAAAAGGGAGGTGTGAGAAGTGTATGCATTCGCGGGTTCTTCTCTAGGCGTGTGGCACTTGTCCCACACTCGTGTTGATCATCCTGAACGGGAGAGACCCCAAGAGCCTAGAACGAGCTTTCGCTTCCCCCTCCTCCACCTTTTCCCTGGACCCTGAACTCTGAGACCCTCGATGGTCGACGGAACTTTCTGCGGGCGGAGGTGGGTGGCGCGCGTCAGATTGAACACCTTTTCCAATCGCTTCTTGAAACTATGGCTGGTGACGAGGCGTCGTATTCGGAAGCTTGTTCTTAAGGCATAAACGAGTTGGGGGCGGAAGGGAAGGAGGAATAAGCGGTTACAATACTTGGATACTAGGGGAATTTGGGAGGAGATAAGGACGAGGATGAGATGCAGCTCTGAGTGGATATCAAGTTGGAGTAGAAGACAAGGAGTTGGATATGAGGGTGCAGGGATAGCAGGATAGTAGCAAGCAAAGTATACTACGTATGCCTAAATATATATTAACATATATATACTAGACGTGTAGATGCCTTTGTAATCAAATAAAGATAAGCTTAGAATTAAATAGAGATACGTTAGAAATAAATAGAGACACGTGTATAGAAATATACAGTGATGTATGGAAATACGATATTTTGTTCTTAACAACATATACATTGTTTACCAACATCGTGAGGTTTGCATGCGTGTCAGTTGGGCCATCGATGAGGCCCGCCCAAGAGGTCCGAGAATCACGCTTGACAATTTGTCCTGACGGTTTTGACCGGCCGACATGGCACATACAGTGACGTTTCTACGGGGGTTGGAATGCCAGGGCCCTGCACGACAACGGGAGGAGAGGAGGGGCCGGTAGCAGGACTAGTTCCAAGAAAGGTATGTCGGAGAGGCCACGTTTTCTGTCATGTCGGACAATGGGGCGTCAGATATGCGAGGGACCCAGGATCTGGGATGGAGAGCAAACCACCTCCCCCCCCCCCCTTCTTCCCCCCTAAAAAAAAGAAGACAGCGAGTCGCTGTGAAGTCGAAGCGACCTATCATCCTTCCTCTTTCGGCCCCCTTCGACGTGTTCAGTTCGATGCGGGCGATCGCCCCCTCCCCACCAATGAATGGCACTGAGGACATCGCACGAGATCCCTGCCGTACGAGGGTTGGCTATTTCTTTTTATGCGAGTGCAGGTGCAGGTGCAAGTGCAGAGAAAGGGGGCTGGGGAAAGGATAAGGATATCTACATCTCGCAGGGTAAATGCGGAATGCATGGTCGCTACGCACATGGCCGGGCTGGGGTCTGAAACGAATTCCATACTGGGGAGATGGTTTCAAGGAGAGTCAGGCTAACGTTGGAGTAATATAGAGTAACACCACTCGAAACGAAACGAAACATAATAAAAATAAAAGCAGTCGGGCCCTCGGAAGGAGAGTGGATATATTTGGTTTGTACGACTTGTCCGTTGCATCGGGTGGCAGGGAGGAGAAGGGGGAGGAGGTAGGTTCGCGGACGATGCTTCCTCTGGCTATCATGAACTGCCCAGCCAAATCCATCGCGTGAGCATTCGGAAAAGCCCCATTCGTCGCGACCGCACCGGCCATGCTGGATGTCAGGGGGTAGTCCCTGGCTCCCGTTTGGGGTGGGATGATGGATCCGGACCAGGGCCAGGACCAGGATCGCTGCCCAAAAAAAGCAAATAAACAAAAACAAGCCGGGGGTTCAAGGGGCTCCAGACCAATTGACCGGGGGGAGGGGGGAGGATCCTCAAAACGCTGAAATTAGCAATGGAGGCCCTTTCGTGGCCACATGGACAACAGGGGAATCCCAGTTCCACGACGGGCACGAGCCAATCGCGAGAGGAGAGCAGCAAGGGGGCCGTGGGGAAGCGCCGGGGTTAAGCCTGGACTCCGGAGTCGAGGGCAGTTCGATCGTCCCCGGGTCGGGCCAGGAAGCCCGACGAAGCACCCTAATGCCCTATCGCCGTCGCATTGAATATCCATAATAGGTCGTCGCTGATTTGGACGTGTACCTGCCGCAGGACCGATCAATCTATTGGGTTGCCAGTGATGGCCGGGAATCGAGCAAGGATTGGAAGGAAGCGACATCAAAACGCTTGATCCGCGATGGGAATCCCGGTCATAACGGTCGACCCTGTCATTAGAACTTGTTGGGCAAGATGTTGGGGAGAAAGGCGACCCTTCCTGCACTCATCTCCCCTCGACAGGGCTGTACTCCACTTAGAAGGGCAATGTCGTTTGGATACTTATGAAGACCGGCTTGACATAGAGTTATAGTAAGGCCCTGGAATCCGAGAAACGCTGCGCTAGTTTCCGAGATTCATCCAGAGATATTCGAATATGTGAACATATAAATACGTGGATACGTGATTATGTGGATGTTTGGATGTTTGGATCGGGGGAAGAGTCTGAAGTGTATTGGGAACGTGGCTTTTGGAGAACCCCACGTGGCCGTGCGGGCGCATTCCACGAGTCTGGGGATTTGCTCGGAGATCTAGCATTCCAAGAATGCCAGCCAGGATTCAGGGATTTATTTCCCAGGACACAGTCTGCGCCAGGTGGGTTGCGGCTATACTTGAAGTTCCGTTGCAGGATCCATGGACTGGAAACTATGGCACTCCTTCCCATTACCACGGGTCACGTTCCACTGGGACCAACCGTTTGCCGAGTTGGGTATCATGTTGACGGGCGAATCCCTCCCGTTGTCGTCGACTTCATCGTCTGCAGGCCGGGCGAGAGGAGATGTCGGCCCTCCAATGCCCGGAGAGCTGGAGAGAGAGAGGTTGTGTGTGTGAGATAGAGAGGAGCAGAGAGAACCGTGTAAATGTGAAATGCCCACATTCAAGCCCGGTCAATTGCACAGCATCACCGCACCACCACATCTGGCCTCCACAAACTATCCGGAATACGGACGAGGAAACACCCTCATGACCGTGCGGACCCGAGACATTGGGATCCCATCCACCATGGCGGGCCTGGAAAAGATGGCGTCGGGGTCGCCGATCCTATCGCAGCAGGGCCACACACCTTAGGGTTTGGTGGCCTCGCCGACCTGGCTCGTCTGACAGTCCCAGGACCGTGGTGACGGCT